AGCAGTAGCCGCATCCAGGGATCACAGTGATACGTGTCTCATTCTTGAATATGCACAAGTTATATTGAATTCCATTGGTTTCAATGAGTGCAAGTGGCAATGTAATTGACTGGAGTATTTGGTGTTGTGATGAAAGTATTACTAGTGGGAATTGGAATGCAACACACATTTCGTATTTCATTTCGGAATTTCCCGGAAAGACACAGACTATTGAATATTCTGGTGAGCATGGCAATCCCTAATATGCCAAGAATCTAGCTGATCTGGATAATACACCCATGGAGCGGCGCTGCGATCTAAAGGTCTGGCCTGATGGTACGTAAATGACGGAACCCTCAGCACGCAATTCATTGGTACATAAATACGGTATTGCAGATTAGTGGCTGAAAATTTCCATGTCACAATTCACACGGAATCATCGGTTGTAGCCTCATTTTGCCGGGCAGGAAATGCATGACAGCCAGCCACGGGGAAAAAAACATGTTGCCATTGGTCTTGTTAGGCGAGTCAAGCCGGTTATGAAGTAGTCAGCCCTGTGACAGCTTTGATATCCGGAACCGACTACTTGAATACGATGTCGATATACTAGCCCAATAGCCTTACTGGGCGCACTCAGCGATCGATGCAACCAGGATCATGACATGAGCGCAGATGGATATGTTCTTATTCCAGGGTAGAGGTAGAGGAATATTGTGCGACCTCACATGTCGTCAAGCGTCATGCTTAGCTCATATTCAGCTCCTAGTTCTGTGATTACTCTTAGTGGAATAAACAAAAGCAATGAGCTCTTGCCTCCGACGTGATGCATACGAGTAATGTACCGCATAGCCAGCTGACCGATTCTAGTCTTCCCACATATTCACAGCAATCAATTATCAAATTCACTTCATTATGTGATCTTGAATTCACTATGTCTCCTTTTGCTGTGTCCATTGAAAAGGTTTCGCTGCCTGGGGCCAGTTCTATTTCTGATGGTTTGCAACTGCATCTTACCTCAACTTCGACCTCACCTCACTCTGCCTATCCCTTCTCACTGTTCAGGAATCACCATCGTCAACGGTACGCAAGGCATCTCCACCGAATCATCATGCTGGTCCTATTCGCTGCTTTTCTCGCCGTGCTGGCTCTCTGGAAGCCAATCTCAGCCACCGTTATTGAGAACCGTAACATCGATAAGGCTGCAATCGACAAGCGCGGCATCGGCTGGCTTGTTGACTACTGCGACGATGACTGGAACATCGGCCCCAATACCTACTTCCACGCGAACTGCACCAGGGGTGGCGACAAGCGCGAGCCCATGTACATCGAACTCGATAAATGTTTCACTGTCGACTCTCAGGGCCGACTGGCTGTGGACGTAGGTTGCTACCCCATCATACGGTTTACTATTTCCTCGTAATTGATGTTCTTTGGCTTGTTCAAATGGCACCTTTCCATGTGTGGCCCTTCACACCTGGATGGATCAACAGATGCTGACATATTTTCTTCGGTACAGAACTGGCGCAAGTATGCTAAGCAGAATCGGGTTCAATAGGCGGGCCGAGACAGCTAACCGTTGCGCAGAGGCGGTATGAAGGACAAATGCGACAGCTGCTCCCGATGCGGCGATCTTGACCTAGACGCCTGCCTGATGTGCCGTTGTCAGCGTGAGGACGGCAGTCGCGGCTGGACCAAGATGGACATGGGTTGGTTCTCCCACAAGGCTTACTCGTCAGCCTGACCAAGCTAATATTTTTTCTCCCTAGATGGTCCGCTCTTCGTCAGTCAGAAAGACAATGCAATCTGCTGCGGCGATTGGTGGGGTATGTGACGTTTCCAACACTCTCAAAGATCTTTGGAACACATCAGTACTTCGCCTCGCTTCTCGCACCAAGCTGACTCTATTCATTGACAGGCGGCCCTTACTGCGGCCAGAGAGGTTTCCCGCCTTCCAGCTAATGCATTTTGGGGACCTCAACCTACTTGAGTCTACCATCGGCGGTTGTGCTCAAGGAGGCGTACGCGCTTAGCCGGCTACGAAAAAGGGATCAACGTGATGGCGAGACCAAGGTCAATTGGGGTTGTAAACCGAAAATATGAGCAGTCGACTAGGAGGTTGAGATACCATAGCTATGATCAATTGACTACTGGTCCCAGATTACACGCTGTTCCATTGTGGGCTACGCGAGGGCGAAACTCGGTCGCTGGGATCTGTATTATACGTGAAGAAGTGTGATCCCACGGGTCTCTCGGTGCCACAACCGGGTGGTTGGGTAGCATCTCTGACGATATTACTGGTTGATACGATGTCTTTCAACCTACTCTCCTTATAAAATCCGTCATTTCCTTCTGGCGAGACGACTGACGTGTGTCAGTTTGACACAGATTTAAAGAAGAGTTCCTCGTTCAAGCTCAACATGAATCGGGAGCACAACTCCAGCCTTGAGTCATTTGGAGCAGCTTGGCAGACTACTAACAGTACGATTCGTGGTGCGTTCTCAGATGATCTTGACCAGATTGCGATTCTCATTAGGAACCGCCCTGACTAAAGCTTAACAAGACGGCCAGTGCCGCAGGACAATTAGCAACTACTTCTACACATGCCACATGGATAGCCATAATGGAACATAAAGTATGTTCATAGTTTAGTCAAGTATGTGAGTGTTGTCCACCAAGGGAGAATAGCTGTGCAGGCGGCAGCGGCGGGAGGCTGGGCCGTGATCAGGCGCCTCTCGACGGCCAGGTTCGCAGAGATGTGTCCTCGAAGACATCAACTTTAGTGGACAGACAAAGGGATATATGCTGCTGATTCTCGGTTCCCATAGTTAAGGTGGCGCTGCTCGTCCTGATTTGCCATACATACTCTGCTCTTGTTCTGAGGAGGTGTAGAAACAATTCGGCTGACGCCTCCCACCAATGAGTTCAGAATGAAAAGCGAAGATGAAAGACAAAGCTCTATCTCAGTCAAGAGCAAGCAAGGCAGCACAGCAGGTGTTTTATGCATGCGTAGAAGTAAAGTCTCATTCAAAACTAGGGTATTGGGTATCATCAACTACAAGTGAAACGTAACTCGCTAATACCAAGGGGGTATCATTGCACCAAAATCCCTTCCAGTCATATCAAACCATATCTCATGTGAGCTTAGCTCACCCAAGCCCAGCTCACCTCCACACGTCCGCTTTCCTCCAACGCGAGCTGTGTGAACACACCCAGGCTCACATCAAGATCAGTCTCTGCACACCCGGTACATCGATCGACCACAGTGACATCCACGCTGGTATTTCCCTTGCTCGCCTCGACGAAGTCGCGCTGGATCCGAATCTTACGCCCGCACAGCTGATTCGCGTTCGGGTTGCTGCCTCCCTCTGCCGCGGCGTCGAAGAGCAGGTGGCTTACGGAGGCGATGAAGTCCTCATCCGTAGATGTCACACCGCATGCGCCGAGACCCGGCGCGTAGTACGTCAGCTCGCCCATGAATGTTGCCGAGTTGGTGGGCAGTGGAAGGGATTGGGCGCCGCTATCATGATGAGAAAGTCCGACGCCGAGGCCGACGGCGAGGGGTAGGACAAGGAGCAGGAGGATCGCCAAAGGAAGCAGGATGAACAACAGGAACGACCGGCGGGAGCGCCCGAGGTATCGACGGTCGGGGGGGAGAACGGAGTCGAGGCGCTGGCGCATTGACGGTGCGGCTGATGCGCCATGGCCAGGAGGCGCAGTCGAGGCTGCTGTCGCGGCGATGGGAGCAGGTGTTTCTTTGGTGGCATTAACACTCTGCTGCTCAACGTCTAGCGCTGATGAGTCTGCGTGCGCATGCCCGGGCAGAAGGCGATCGAGAAGTGACCGTCGATTCGGGCGTGTGCGCGTCTCCCACTCTGGCGTCTGGAAGACTGGCGCGGCAGCATGAGAGGCTGTTGGAGCTGCCATCATGTGAACCAACTGGGTGCTGTAATGTCAACAAGAAATGTTACAGCAGAATTCACAGGAGCGCCTTAGATGGGGATGACAAAAGTCATCGACCGTGCTGAAGGTCTGACGACATTGCCTCGTGGGCAACAGTATCTGCGACTGGCAAAGTTGGCGACGTCAAGGCTCAAACCTGCTGTGGCCCTGGTAACAAGCCTCCAAGTGCCGGCAAGCTGTGCCCAGGGGTTTTGTCACATTGTCCAATCATATGTCATTTTACCCCTGGCAGCACTATTCTCTTCTGAGCCTGGCAGTTCTGGGCATGCCTACCCGGAACGACCCGGGAATTGTGCTGCTCGTTACATTCACCAGCAGCTTTTTGAGGTACTTCTGCGCTGCTAATGGTCGAGCCAGTGCTCGCAAGACCAAGATCGCAGATGGGATGCTGTCTCCATCCACAGAAACAGTTCCCCGAGCGGGACGGGGTTGACGGGCGACATGGGAAGCATCAGTTGCTGTTTCTGTGTTTGCAGACGAGTTATATGCCTCGTGAAGTTGTGATGATCCAGTGGCGTGACGCGAATACCAGTTCCCCCCTTGCCTATAACAGCGTACCCAAAGCACCCCTGGCAAATGCTTAATCAATGAACGTCCAAGTGTTTCGAGTCGAGCCATGGTGGTTCTGGTCGTGGCTGCACACGGACGATGAGAGCTGTAAATAGAAAGTCTACTAAGTTAGGCAGATGACTGGCCAGCCCTGAATGACCTCGAGGCTTTTGTTGGGTACGGGATCTTAGCGACGCCACTACGGGAGCTACTCGTTCAGCAGCTCCCGGGTGTCAAATCGCCGCCCGGAAATGGAAAGTATATTCTGCGACGAAAGGAAATCTGCAACATTCCCGGGGTATGATAACACACCGAGCGTACAGTAGTCAAACAGAACTGTCAAGTCTCAAAAGTTTCAGTGGTCGATTGACACAAGATCCTGTGGGATTCAAGGTTGTTCAGTTTTCAAGATGCCGTTCAGCCGCCGAGCTGCATATTTAGTGAGTGTTTGGAATTAGAGTTCACTATGGTCCGATCAGAGATCAACCAAACCCCAGTCCATCGATCGCATTTGCTGATCCCGATGACATGCGAGTGCGCGTCTTCCAGGCCTTTGCCCTGTGCCTCAAATACCATAGTACTCCCCATGCCCTCTCAGGTCGGCCACAGGGATAGGGGGCTAGGGGTGAACATGAGAACATGGGTGACGGGAGGGAGGCAATGTGGCACTGGTGGCATTGAAAGAGCAAAAGAGCAGACAACCCGTGGATGAGCTGGAGTGGTTGGCGAATGGGAAATCGATCCAGCAACCCCGGTGGCAGCATTAGACTTTGGCCAAGAAACTCGCGGACACGACTAGCGGTGGGTCTTGACTCAAGCTATTCCGCCATTCTCGCCAGGGCAACTTGAACGCTACAGGGAGCCGCGTGGGACGAACACCAGTTTCTCTCCTTCAATTTACATATGGACTTACCTTGGCCCCCTCATCAACTTAGTTCTCCGTTTGGAAGGAAGAAAAAGACCCCATACCCGCTTGGGCCCGAAATACTACTGCCATTGACTCAATTCTTCATGTTCCAAGGGAGATGATGCCTCGCATGGTATCTAATTCTGCGCATGTTGGTGGTCGCCCGTGATGGAGAGCCCCAGTTCCGTTGTTCAACTACCTCAGGACTCTTCCTACATACCCGAATGCTTAGTATGTCTGGATCTCCGTGAGAAGACGGGTGTGGTCGGCCGGCGATGCTAACAGAATCCCTCTAGGGCTGGTATGGGGCCGGGGTCCTCATCACCATATTACGATACGCTACTCGATTGCGGACTGTTGGTCTCGCCGGATTTCGTGGCGACGACTACTTAGCATTTCTTGTTTGTATTTCCATGGCAATCCAGCGAGCGCGCACTGATTTGTCCTAGTATCTCATTTTGTACACGGCATGCATCATCATCGTCTACGTCACTTACTATACAGGCGCCAGCCTCAATGTCGACCCGGCCAAGGTTGATTTGTTGACCGACAACGACATTCGAATATTGGTGAAGGGGTCTCAAATTGAATATGCTTCGTTCTTCATATACACAGGATGCATATGTACATACACGACCCCAATCCCGTTTTCCAGCATCCCATCTTGGCTAATTGGTTAACAGGGACGTTGAAGTTCTCTGTACTCTACTTCTACAACCGAATCACGCTCGGAGTGCTCAGGAGGAAAACCGTCACCTTTCTGTGGTGGTTCTGTAGCGCCTCCTACCTTGCAGTCTGTCTCATGGCACTCTCTTCTTGTTATCCGTGCGTGCTTTCCTTAGGATAAACCGGTGTTGGCTGAGTCTGCTAACGCGTAGACCAGAATATCGCGAAACTGGCAAGTCAGGCCGCTTCCAAGCGAGAATTGTACATACAGACCCCAAAATTTTGTGGTCCTTTCGATATTCAACGTCATGAGTGATGCAGCGCTCATGTCCATTCCGCTCCCGATCCTCCGGCACCTCCGCGTATCGAAACGCCGCAAAGCAGGGATCTCGGTCTTGTTGTCATCGGGCGTGTTCGTCATATCGACGGCCATAGTCAGAGTCACTCTGACCCTCGTCGGAGAACCGACCGTCATCACGATCAATCTCTGGGGGTTTCGCGAATTGGGCGTTGGGCTTATCGCCGTAACTGCCCCTATCATATACCCAATGTTTACACCTGAATTCTGGCGACCGGGACCCTACGTCCGCGAGAACCGACGACCTATAATACAACCTTCCATTCATATACCCACCGGCAGCTTCAAGGATCACGACATAGAGCTCCAACTGGCGGACGAGCGGACGCAAATGATGAGATACACAGATGCGAGTTGAGAAAATGTAGTTACTGTATATAGCATAAGCGCTTTAATCTTCGAGGACAAATTTCCAGGTATAGTTGCAGCGTTGCTGCCTCCCAATGTACTCGGTTCTCGTCTGCTGGACAGGCAGATCTCTGTGACGTATCGCAATATCGACCATGTGATTGTACTGCGTATTGGACTCACGGCCAGCCCTACCCACGTAGTATTTCTACCCTGCCTTCAAGTGGAGTTGGCCTGACACGGGATCTGGGGCCACGGAGTTGGCACGGAACCTGGGCCTGAATGGGGCCCACGGATCGGCGTCACGGTTGGGCCCCGTACGAGTTATGTCGCGGGCGGATTGGCTGATTGGGGGCTAATACAGCAGGCGCCTGAACCGCCGCAATCTCAGTGGCTTCGCATCGCCATAACTAGTGCTAGAATCCAGCCCAAGCAGACGATCCCAGAAGATCTGGCCAGCAGGGACCAATTGCTACTGCACACCTCGCTCGAATGCCTGCCCCTGTTCACGGCACGGCCAGCTGCTAGTTAGTCTCCGGCACAGGGGCCGTCATCTGTCAAGCCACGGGGCGTGCGCAATCTTGTCGCCGAGGTGCCGGGCAGTCGGGCGGATCCTCAGGCCCCGCAAGCGCCCTTTTGCCATACGCCTTCCCCCAGACTGGTCTAATGTCCCTCAGAGTTGCTCTCGCAATACCTTAAAGCGACCTTGGAAAGCTGTCGAGTCTCACGCCTGCGGATCTCGGGGTTTCCCTTATGCAAAGCCGATGTCTGTCCTCTGCAGGCAGCGCTGGAGTGATTAGCACGAGACGGCGAAGTACGAAGAGAAGGACAGGATCATCATGGCCAACATGGAAACCATCTATCGCGCTTGGATCTCGTCCATCAATGACCGGCGATGGGACGACGTGGTGCAGTATATGCAGCCAACATACGCGCATGGATCCACCGACATGATATCGCTGAATCACCAACAATTCACCGCCTACCACAAGCACGTCCTGGAAGTTTTCGGGCCAGACTGCTCTTTCACAGCCGACGCAGTGGTCGCCGATGCAGAAGCTGGCTGCATAGCGGCAAGGTGCCTCGCCGAGGTTACGCTAGTCCAGCCCTTCCTTGGGTTACAGCCAAACGGAAAGAGAGTTCGCTTCTTCGAGACCCAATTCGTCTGGTTCGAGGACCAAAGGGTCCGAGAACTCCGTAGGGTGCCTGACCTGGATGACTTCCGTCGCCAGATGTCTTCAAGGGCCGAAGAGACGACACCGGACCTCATGGGACTTCCTCTGGAGCTGCCAACTTCCCGGCATCTCGACAATGCCGGATTGAAGTCGTTCTACAGGTCTTACATCAAGGCCATCAACGAGGACCTCTCTGAATCAAGCCTCTCGGAGTTCTGCAATCCAAGTGTGGTCCACAATGCGAAGACATTATCACTTTCGCAGTATGTGTCGCTCATTGACGACAGCAGCTCAGCGGTCCGGGAGATGACAGCACACATTCACACCATCGTTGCGGACGAAAAGTCGCAACGCATTGCCGCGCGGATCGAGTGGTCCGGCGAACCCATCAAGACATTGGCAGGCATTGATCCCAACGGTCGGTCCGTGAGGTTTCCCGAGCATGTCATCTACCAGCTTGAGGCTGGAAAGATTGCAAGGGTATGGGCAATTGTTGATTGGGATTCGTTTCGTGCTCAAATGACTGCATAGGCACTACCTAGACTGATAGACAACCTACTCGCCTCGAAACTTTTGTTGCCAGAAGAAGCTCTTGGTCATGTGCTTCAGCGAATATGCCAAATAGCTGCGGCCGCAACCCAGAAGCCACTTCGAGTCAGTCCGTCCGAACCATTACCGATAGATTGGGCGACCAAGTCGAACGGAAGGTAATTGCCACCATGCACTATCTTATGAGAATACACACCACAGCACCTAGTTTGTCTTCTGTAAAAATGATAACTGATCAGTGCTTCCCATCCCGTCACCCCGGACTGGAGATATGCGCCAACGTCGATTTGGAGGGTCAACGTCCTTGCCTAGTGCAAACTCTCTTGCGGCGTGCATGCTACCAACCAATAAAGACCACACAATGCAGCAAACTTACTCGCAGCCATTTCGCCTCGCGGTACCCCGACGACCTAACCGAGGGGCGGTGTGGATCTGCTCTTGGGGGACACAGTAAGAGAGTACGAAGCACAGATACCGGAAGCTCTTTGAGGATCGACAATTATTTCATCCAGTAAATTGATGCAAGTCGATGCAGATTCCAGACTCTCATAGGTTCAGTCCAACCAACAGTAAAGGATGGCCGAGAAATTTGTCAAGGAGATGACTTGTATGCGGCACACAGAGAAGAGGTCAAAGAACAACACTAGAAGGAATTACTCCGACGGTCTCGGGATAACATACAAACGACGGCTTGTCAATGCCTTTTACACTTTTGTCATGCCAGGACCAAGTCTACAAATCCGAGGCGCGTCATGCCAAATCCCCCACCTTGCGGGAGCCGGCCGCATACATGAATAAATAGTACAACGCCTCTGCTCTTGTCTAGTTAACTTTAGGAGCACATGCAATCCCACCCTCTCCGATATGTCGTGACAAGCTGGCTCATGTTGTTTTCTCAGATGCATGCTGGCGGCTATTCCAGATACCACGTCTTCTGCACAGTCGAGGGGACAGATAATACACAACAATGGTTGACCGTTGGACCATTACGCTGGATCCAGATGATTGGGATCAGATTTTGGTTGTGACAGCCTTCAACGCCATCGCGCTATACAACTTTGTTGAGCTCAATGCCATGATATTCACGACCTTCAAAAGGCGCTCCGGCTTGTACTTTTGGAGCTTCCTGGTTTCGTCCAACGGGGTGGCGCCGTATGCCATTGGCTTCCTCCTCAAAGATCTTCATCTGTCGCCCTCTCCATACATCGACATTACCCTCATTATCATTGGGTGGGTAACTCTCGTCACCGGCCAGGCCTTTGTGCTATACTCCCGGCTGCACCTGGTGATGCGAGACAAGACGAAACTTCGGCTGGTGCTGGTCATGATCATTGTCAACGCCATCATCTGCCATGTTCCGACGACGATCTTCGTCTACGGTGCCAACTCGGCGAATCCCACCCGCTGGATCAAGCCGTATCAGATCTACGAGAAGATCGAGGTAACCCTGTTCTTCGTGGTCGAGTCCATCCTCTCGGGCATCTACATCTGGAAGACCTTATCGTTCTTCCGCTTCGAGGCGACACTGCACGCAAGGCCGCTGAGCCAGCTCATGATGCATTTGATCTGGATCAACGTAGTGATTATACTGCTGGACGCTACGATACTGGCACTCGAGTACGCCGGCTTCTACAATCTCCAGACGGCATACAAAGGAATGGTTTACAGCATCAAGCTTAAGCTTGAGTTCAAGGTCCTGAACGGGCTGATAGAACTCACGAAGTATAAAACGCCCCGAGGGAGCTGGACTAACCAGCTCGCCGCGCAGACCCCCTGCGCGCAGCACCTGCGGAGCGGTTCAACCTCGTCCGGTAGAGGTGGCGGCAATAGCTCCAACCGGGGCGGCATCTACGACGGCACCGACCCGGGCACCGGAACCGTCAACTTTGAGACGTTCAACGACACCCTTAGCCGCATTCACGACACGCACAAGACCGACCGGCCGGACAGCGCGTACGAGGTCCGCATCTTTGCCGGCGAGGGCGGGAGCCGCGACAGTGACAGCGCCAACGCCGACGGCATCACAGTCAGGACGACGATGGAGGTCACCACGACCAAAGCAGAGCCATGGGAGGCCATGTCTTGCCGAGGTATCGAGTCGTTGCACGGCAGCGGCGAGGCACGGCCCGATACTGCGTATTCCCAGGCAGACTCGTACCGCTTGTCCGATCTCGAGCTTGCGCAGAAAGTATGATTTCATCACTAAGCGACGATTACATAATTACCAACGCATGCATGCATGATACCCGAAATACTAGTGGAGCATCAACCCTCATGATTCGTACGATGCTCTATAAATTGTGCCTGATTCAGATATGCGGCCGTCCTGTCATAAGGCTCAACCAAACCCACGTCATGCCCGCTTATAATGGCCAGCAGCTACATACGCCCAACTGACTCATTGGTATCATTTAAACATTTAGGAGCAAATCGAACAGATCGATCTGACAACCATCGATCGAAATGGTAGCAAAGGTATTCCCTCATTACCTCCGAACCTTCCAACGCAGTTATCTTAGCCCTGAGATACAGATCATTTCGCCACCCCCGGAACTAGGTGTGGCTCCGTCGCCTCTAGTCTCGGCTCCGGCGTCTCGGGAAGTGGGATCATCTGCGCTGAGAGGGCCGACACGGCACTGAGCGGCCGGGGCGATCCGCCGCCGGCGGAGAGTGGAGTGGGGGGCTCCATCGGCGGTTGCAGAGCACCGTCTTGTCCTGGACGTGGAGAGCCCGACAAGGTCTCCGTGGTAGCTGGGTGGGATTCCTCAGGGGCGGTGACCTTTGTATATCCGTAAGGCTGATGTCCATGTTGAGCGCTGTGGGGTGAATCCCACTGTGGCGTTCCGGGAGTTGCTGGAGCGGCCACCGGGTCAATGCCAAACGCGATGGCTGAGGCAATCGCGTTACCGGCAAGCATGGGCTCCGATATCTGATGTTGGGCCTCCGGCCGCTCGATCGAGGTGCTGCTCGAGGGCTTGCCCGACTCCGCCGTAATGTGTGTCATTGGCTTGTTGGCTGGCCATGGCTGTGCCGACTCCAGGTCGATGGTGCCGGGCGTGGCGATGGAATGGCCGTTGTATTTCATTTCCCCCGCACCCGATTCCATGATATTATAGGTGCTCGGATCGAAGTACGCCAAAGTGCCCTCCTGAGGAGGCGGTTTCTCGCCCTTGTGTTTAGCAGTTCCGTGTGCGGTGATTTTATCTGCAAAACGGCATCAGCTATCTGTCTCTGAGTTGTCATAGACGGTGTTTCTTGGGGGAAGGCTAACGTACCACTGATGGTCTGCGCAAAGGTAAAGAGGACCAGGGCACTCAGAAAGATCGGGACCAGTTGCCCGAAGCTTGTCGCATCGTTCTCGGGGTTGCCGTCGTTCTCCAGTGCTATCCAGCCAGACTTATCAACCCAGCTCCGCAGAGCAAATATATAGGACCCGCTCTTGATCACCGCCGTGCAACTGATTCCCGCACCGCCTAGGAGGTATATGAGAAATATGAAGGAGACTGTCTTCCGTTGCCATGATTTGGGCTTCATGAAGCGGGAGATCCTAGCCCCGAGTCGGCCCCGCCACCCTGGCCTACTCCGACCCCGGCGACAAAACCTGATGAACTCTGCAATGATGGCTGCGCCGTAGAACAGAAGAATAACTATATACCAGTTCCAACCCTGGATGAAGTTGCTAGGTGTCGAGTCCTGCAGCGTCCCCAGAAAGAAGGCATTTGCGCTAGACGTCGTGTTCTGCAGCGTGGCCACGAAGGGCGACTTTGAGCTCTGGAAGCAGGCTGCGGGCAGGAAAAGGAGGCTGTCCGTCTCGTTGGCCGCCGGGAGGCCAGTCGGGAACTTGATCTTGCCGTCAGCTGCGTTCTGGTTGACCATGAGCAGGCCGGTGACGAGGAAGACCCCGGAGATGCAGATCACCCGCAGGAAAGCGAGCCACGGGTACTTCCAGTAGTTCCGGACAATTGTCACCGACATTAGGTGTGTTGCACAGGTCAGGAGCATCATGTTGGCGACAACGTTGTAGTGGTATGCGGAGATGGTACATCCCCTCCAGTATCGCAGAGTCAGCGCGTAGGCGGCGCCAGTAAACACTTGTTGATCACTGCACGCCAACACCACTGTCTCCAAGATATCTGTGAAGCTAGTTTTACCGACCCGTTGTTCTCGCGGTCTGAGCCTAGTCAGCATATGTGGCACTTCGTTGGGCTGAGGGTTAGATTTACAGCGTCTGCTTCCAGCCCAAAGATTTCGCCGATTGCCAGAAGATGTCTAACAGACTGATAAATAGGGCGAAGCAGGTGACGCCTAGAAACACACCGAGGATCTTAACACATTAGGGGTGGGTGTACAAGGAATCGCCGGGAAGATTAACTCACCCCTATACCAGCAATGTCTGGGTCGGCCTCAAAGGTACCACGAGTATATTCACCAATATAGTCATATTTATGTTGGTTTCCATTCTCTTGTTCAGGGAGTGAGCAGTTCGGTAAAACATTATAATGAGTCTCGCATGTCTCCACAGATACGAAGGCCCCCATCGTGAAGTGGGATGTGTCCCATGAAGAGAACCACGAGAAAAAAAGATATGGGAATGGGATGAGTCTCCACTTCACAGTGATTTAGGGGCGACCTGAGATTATATGCGCAGAAATCCTAATGTAGAATCAACTCCTGGGGTTCTAAGAGGGGTTGAACTGTGCGTACATATAACACAGGCACATACATACATACATACATACATACATACACCCACACAGCATCATGCAGTCGCTAACGGGCTCAGCTCTGTGGCACAGCACACAACATACTGTTCAAACCCCTGTCACCCCTCGTTGTGCATATGTTCCACGAAGGAGCCGCGGCTGCATGGGAAGGATCTTTGTTGGAGAGGGGAGCCCGCCCCTGACAGGTAGATCGGGGTTGGTAAACAAAATCATGGTCACATATAGCGTAGGGTCGAAAGGCACGGCTCCCACCTTGCCCCCAATGGATGTGAATTGATCGATCGTCAGTGAACGAACCCAGGAGAATGGCTGTACCCTCACTTTAAAAGGCCCAATGAACTAGCTGACTCGATGGGTTCTGCTCATTTACTAAATATTGTGCGGAGAGAGATAAACACACTCACGTGGGAAATTGTAGGCCACATCCACTTTTGGACGTGGACCGGGCCGTGTGTCGGCTGGGGAGACCATGGGGCGAGCATTCTGACTCCCGGTGGTAGCCCGATATAGACCGGCCTGGTACGATAATGGGCTGCCCCGGTGATCATTGCCCCCATTGCTGTGCAGCGCTGTCTGCATTCATTACCTTGAGAAGCACATCTGCAGTCATCCCGCAGCCCCGTGCACTTCCCCATCAAGACTACCTCACACGCACACCAATCGCGCGTTGCGGCCGTGCTACCGTTCTCCTGTCAAGAGGCTGGGCGTGATTGGGCACAGCCGTCGTGTGTTACCAAGGGGTCGGGATCTTTTCCAGAAGTTGCTGCAGTCTCCCAGGTGCCGCAAGCATCTGACTGCATATCGCGTAGATAAATATGGAACGAGGCTGTGCGCTCTGTCCTGCACGTGGGCACAAGGCTCGCGGCGACCACACGTTACCGCAGCGCGAGCAACTGCATGTCGATGGCAGTGTCTTTGGGGATATGTACGATCAAAGCGAATCTATAGAAGAAGAATTTTTCGTTGGCTACGGGGCTCTGTAACACAAAATCGTTTGATGGGATCTAAGCCTCCCTCATCGTTCGAAACATTGCCCAGATGCCCATTTCGCCGAGGGATGGAGACGACCGCATATGCGACCCAGTCACACGCAGTTGGCAGGGGGTTAGTGTTTCAAACCGTCCCATGCATATTGATTTCTGAACTCATCCTCGGGTGTGTTATAGAGAGTCATGGCTACCTCGTAAGCCAACCATCGCTCCCCTGATCCAAGGCTATGGATACTCACTCTATATTCAAGCCTCGCGACCTGCCGGTAGCAAAAGGTAAGACCCCTTAGTAGAGTCACAGTGACCTGACTTGAGCTGAAGAAAGGGCGCAGCTACTGTCCCAATCGCTTATTTCTACGAAAGTACCACTGCACCGAGCCGGGATGCGACTGGAGACAGGGGTCAATTTCCTCTTTGGGACCAACAGCAGATGGTGCCGGACCCCATGCTCCATCATTGTTGGGGGCCATTTCCATAAGCCAGCCGATCCGGAATCTCGGTTGAAACAATATTACACTGTTGGCTTCCGAGTGAGTGAAGCGAGGCTGGAAACGCATGCAGTGTGGCCCCGAAGGCCGGGGGTTTGGTGATGATCGGCCTGTTTTCTTCGCTGTTTCGAAGCACAAGGTCAGCTCTCGGTCCAATCCACTTGGCCGCTGCTGCGGTCTGCAAAGGTCTGGGCTAAATACACGACCATCACCAATAGGTACTAGAGGAGAGAATTTGGAACAGAAGTGTAGAAGTTGGCAAGGTGTGCTTTCGGCACCTTAATTGCAGCTCGCCTCCTCGCCCAGTCTTTCAAGGGCGAGGGGGGCAAGACCTGCAACTCCGCGATGGGAGTACCCAACTACCCAAACAAATAGATACAAAAAGATATTTTCCCGCCCACGGCCAGCCAGCCTGACTGGCACGGGAAAGGGGTCCCAAGTGCTTCCAGAAGAACTCCGCGCTAGACAACCTGGTCCATCTACCCTCTCTACCCATCCTGAAGTAGTATTCGTACTCAGCCCAGCTCCCATCTCTCCCAAGAAATAAGAAAGAACATTATAGCGCCGGACCAACCTGAAAATGCTGCAGATCGCTAAAGACAAAACCTCATAACAACTCCGTTACATGCAGTGAAACCAGTTTGAGCCGACCCGCCTCGAGAGTTTCCTAGCTCTCGTCGCCGGCAGTCTAGCCTTGATCCGTTTCCCGACCAGCCTGTGTAGTGATACTGCCACCTCTGGGGTGGCGTTGTAGTGTAAACGTTGGTGTTTGTACATGTTGTTCCCTGTCCCAGCTGGAGCTAGCTGGGAACCTGCCCTGTTAAGGGCCAGAATCCTGATCTTGAACGTATCCCCACAGACCCCCGCCCGCCTTCGTATGGTAAAGGGAGAAAAGCATTAGATATGGTGCTGGAACAGCAAGCCCGTTGAAACATTGAGAAACCCGCTGAACGGAGGACAAGACCGGAACGCGAACCCCGGACAGACGACGACGAAAAGGTACAATTAAAACCCGAAGGAAGCCAAGGGTCGTACCAGTCGCCGCCTCCGGTTGGGCAGTATGTTGCGTGTTGTTTGGTCTTGTCGAGGGGACAAGCCCCAAGAAAGAGAAAAAAAAATTCATGACCAGGAAGCAATTTACATAAACATCGTAAAATCATCAGTCGCGCATTGCCAGGACACTTCAGCAACTTCCCTGTGTCTGGTCTAGACCCTCGTGGTCTCCTTTTTTGTTGTTTTCGTTGATATTTTTCGATCATGTCGCAAATCTTCATGGTTGTGGGGAGATGAAACCAAGCGGGAGTCATTGCGGGTACATCATCTCGTCGAACTGAAGGTCGCCGACATTACCCATCGCCTCGCCGAAGTTGGCGGCGTTAGCCGTGATAGTGTCGTTGCTGGACACAACGCTGCCGTACTGTGAGACCTGGCTTGGGCCGGTATAGGGAAAGGTGCCGATCATGGGCGAGCACGCATAATCAGTGAATTGGGCCGAGGAAATCAGCGGCTGGTGGGCATAGAATGGGATCTCGGTGTTGATGGCCAAGTGGTTGGGATACATTCCGAAGCCCATCTCGGCCACCATGTTGTCGTTGCCGCTGTGCATGGGCATGGTGTAATCGGGAGCCAGTTGTCCGGCACCATGCTCAAGGTCGATATCCATGTCGTTCGCAGAGGAATCAGCGCCAGCATCCTCCTCATTTTCCTCGTCGGAGTCTTGCTTCAGCTCGTCCTTGTGAACCCAGACCTCCTTCATCCAATTCTTCAGCTCGGTCATGGGTGGCCAGTCACCACCTCCCTTGCCACCGCGCTTGTCGTCATCCGGGCGTGAGCTGGCGCCATTGTTCTTGTTCTTGGCGCGCGAAGGCTTCTCCTTGAAATGGGTCCGGCGCAGATGAGCAGCTGCGTTGTAGTATGCCCCATACTTCTTCTGAGCCTTGCAAGCCTTGCACTTATCCAAGGGGTTAACGACGGCCACACCGATCGGCAGGCCACGGGTGGCGGGATCAACACAGATCCACTTCTTGATGACGCCCTGTTCTGGATGCTTCGCATCGCGATGGCGCCTCAGCTCGTGCTCTCCACGAAACCCGTCCGGATGCTCGGTACACTTTTCGCAGAACACCTTGGGCTGGCGGGGCCGCACGTACTTGGCTTTGGTGATGGCGGTCTTGCCATCTTTCTTGGCCGAATGCGAGTCGGTCGCTTTGGCATCGCTAGAAGGCTTAGGCTTCAGAAGCGCGGTGTGTTGGTTCTGTCTGCGAAGCGACTCCTTAAGTCGCAGCTTGAGCGAAGACGTAGATTTGATACTGGCTGCGCTGGTGTTTGAAGCAGACCGAGACATATCTTGTGACATTAGCACACCTCCAGGCGGCGCGGGATGCCCATAGGGGTTCAGATAAGACTGCGAAAGACTGGTGCCGACCCCTTTCAAATCCTCCTCGGAAGGCGAGGCGCTCTTGGCCAGCGGTGAGTTGTACCCGCTACTGGCGTTTGGGTAAAAGGGGCTATCAAGCTGGGACATGTCCGTCCCCTGGTGCGAGCCAAGCTGCATCATGTGCATGGCACCTCCGACCGACTGGTTGTCAAACACGCTGCTGTTTTCCCTAGTCATTGGCGCAGTCTCCGGCGTCAAGCCCGTGGTCATGGAACCGCAAACTGATGCATTCGACATGCCATAAACGGGCATGTCTGGGCTGAGGTGGAGTTGGTCCGTTGGCATGGAACTGCTGAGGTAAGCGGAATTGCTCGGATACTCGTAGGCATCAAAGTTGGCAAAGTATGTTTCCGGATCCATCAGCTGGGACTCGGCCACCGGGGGCATGCTGGCCATGTCGGGCCGACGTCTCACCCTCACAGATTGCGAGCGATGCAGCGACTGGCCGGCGGCGCCAAAGTTTGCGAGCTCGTCTCTGCTCATGAAGTCTCGCACGGCAGCACTCCTGGCCGGCTGGTGGCCGGCGGTGTTTGGCTTGGGCGGCGGCGTGATCTGGCCGTTGAAGACAAAAGGGCTAGACTGTGTAGAGAGATTCGACTGGCTGCGGATCATTTGGTGCCGATGCGAGGGGAAAGTCTGGTGTGACATGGTCCTCTGTTGCTTCACGGCTTGGGAGGCCAGAACCTGGGGAGGCTGTTAGCAAGCTGCAACGGTTGTCCTCCGTGACTTCGAGGCCGCTCTTACAGACGATGGCGGGGTGCCAGGCAGACTATGGTGGCTCGCCAAGGTGCCTTGGCCATAGCCCGCACTCCGCGGTATCGACTTCCGTCGTGCCAGGACATCTTGCTGCTCGAACGGGATCGCCGTGAGCGATGTGTTGGAGAGCTGGAACTCGGCGTAGACAGGCGATGGGGCATCGAGGTTGCTGATGCTGGGACTTGACAAGGCGGGCAGCGGGGACTGCTGACCGAGGCCGCTCTGCAGGAAGGATAACTGCTGCTGTGCATCTTGTGCTTGCTTCTCTGCGGCTTGACGTGCGAGGCACTCCCGGTCTAGTTCCTTCTTAAGCATCTGGAGTTCGGCGTCCTGACTTTCACTTAACAGAGCCATGTGGATTTATTTGTCCTAGTATAGATGCCAACAGGATGATGTTGTTGGGAGCAAGTGAGTGAGTGAGTGAGGCGGGGAAGCGGAGAAAGGCGGCAAGGCAGGCTGTGTGCGTGACAGTGTAGCGTATTGGCGGCTGGGTACTGGGTATCCGGGGCAGCCTCGTGTTGTTGTGTTGGTGAGAACGATATCGGCTGCTGTCGTTGAGTATTACTATTGGATAGGGTGGGGGGGAGGAATAGAGTCCCAAGGCCAGCAAGGATGGAGCGGGCGAGTGCTGGTTGACTCGTCGTGAGAGTGGTTGAATGAAACCCACGAAAACGGGTCGAGGTATACTGGTTGGTTGTATTTGTCTGATCAGACGTGAAGCGTCAAATTGGAAGACAGCTCGAGGTCGAGGACTGGCGCATCAAAGGATTATGTACCAATGGGTTCGAGATGAGGCTTTGGCCGCATGCACGGCAGCAGGTGGAGCCCCAAGGACTGTGATTGTCTGGACGGACCCTGGTCGCGAGATCGTCACTTGAGTGTTAATTTACGAGATCCACGGCCCATTTAGGCTTGGCCCTTGCTGGGGGGTGCATGGGGGGGACCAAGGGACGAGCTGCGGAACAAGAGCGTGCCTTCGAAACGGGACGGAATTGTTTGAAAGCGAATGGTCAAATTGAGCAGAGGCGGCCAAGACCTGGGTGTGCGTGATGCGTTTGTTGTTAGGTGCCGGCAGCCCACGCTTGGCTCCTCCAGGTTTCCAAGGTTGCCAGGGTTGTGATGGGATGGGATGGGATGATAGGATAGGATTATGGATAACTTAGGGTCTAGCGTGCTCCATAGAAGGCATAGAATAGGACTCCTGCTTCTCTATTCCTCTGTCTCTCTCTCTCTGTTTTTCCCCCGTTCCTAGGTTCTCGGCCCATGTTCCTTGGTATCTCTCTGTCGTCGACTACCTCATGTGGGCTGAATGGGCTGAGTGGGCGGGCTGGGCTGTGTGGGAATACAGACACTGTAACTTACGTAGTGTGTATGTACATAGTAGTGGCATAGCGCCTTGCGATTGGGCTGACCACGCTAGAGTTGCTGGGCTGCCGGGATCAGGTATGCATGGGATGGGGATGGGCTCTGCCAGCTCACAGTTTCGCTGGGACGGCTGGCCCACCTCGACCTCATTGCTTGGAAGGCGGGCTCCACCTCCAGCACTCATGACTTGATGACATCTCCTTCAAGGGATACATAAGCTCACTAGCACCCTAGTGCGACGACAGCGCGACGGCTTCGTCGTGTGGGAAAGACAGCCCAGCGAACCACCAGCAATCACCAGCTGCAACAGAAGAGATTGTGCGGGGGTGTATCAAGGACGGCCGCCGTGTGGTGTGGTGTGTATGAGTGGTGTGCTAGTACAGCAGGCTGGCTCTTGGGAGCGGATGGTGACACACACACACACACACACACACATACATACACACACGCAAACCCAGTGGATATGCACACACTGCTGCCAGTACCCAGCAGCCCATCACGGACTCTCAGGTTGTGCTGCAGACCAGAGCCCGTTTCTGGTGAGGGCAATGCAACAACGAGCTGCGCGTGTGCATACCTGCACCAGACGCCGCAGCGCTCCATCCAGTCAGCCAGTGACTAGCCTCGCGGTCAGGTAGCTTTGCTCCCTCGCTGTGGGATCTTGTTGGTCAACATAGAGAACGAGCATCTACTTCGTACATAGTACGAAGAGGGAAAAGATAGTACAGTTGTCATGGACAGGGGACCGGCCGCCCGGATGACAAGATCGTCGGTGACGCAAAGCACGCCGAGCTGCGGAATCCCCCTTTCCCCCAGATTGTCAGCCCAGCAAGCCAGTCCCGTGCTAACTTGGGCGTTTTGGCCTTGCTTGCATGTGCTTGAAGACGTTCCATGCTGGCGCTGGCGCTGGCGCTGGCGTTGGGCAACGGTGGCGCCGATATTGCTTGATGCCCCTACAAGGCATTGACCAGGCCCTAGGCAGTCCCGCAGTCGCGCGAGCGGGTGAGTCAAACCATAGCGCCCTTCTAGAAGATTGGATAGAACACTGGTTCGGCTGTTGTTATTTTGGCAATTCCAGAATACGGCACTCGATAACATCAACGGGCCCCCTGGTCCACCGTTGAGGTCCCGCCCGGAGCCCACCTGGCATTCCTAGAATAGCCCTGAGAAAGACGGGCGCCCATCAAGCCCGTAGCAGCAGCCGATCTCCATCGTCTCTTCTGGCGACAGGATCCTTGCTTGCTGACCGTGGAATAACCGGGTTTGGTCAGGTACGAGATTTGCGCGAGAGAGAAAGAGCTTGTCTGATCTTGATGCGGCGTCGGTCCCGCGCCTGGCCATGATTTGGTCCAGGATCTCTATACCCTGCCTTGTCCGGCAAGCCTGGGTGTGTACCGGGCTTCCGTGAAAATCACTTACCGTGGACCAATGCACGTGTTTCAACTGATGCTCGCAAGGATTATCTGTTCATTGTAGTTTTGGTGCAAACATCACGATGACTCCCATGAATATCATACGGCTAGGCACCCTCACGCGCGGGCTCACGCACACCCAGTACATACACACCTTCGCACACACATGCCGTACCCTCTCTATCCATGTGTTACGTGGATGCAGGTAACCTCCAACCAGGCACTGACTAGTTAAGTAGTGCATGCATGCGATGCGCCTGAGATGCCGCAGGGTGACATGATGGGGAGGACAAAGGCCAGTCTCCTATAGTACTTTGGTATCAGCGACCGTTGGGAGGAATGACCGGGTCGCAAATCGGTATCCAGCCCAAGGCGACACCCCACTCGACTGACCTATGCGGACCTATGAGGCAGAGGATTTGCTGCCGAGAAGCTGGAATGGCACAATTAGTGTCCAGGTGCCCATTATGCATCTGAGCTAGCCAGCTGTCAACGTCACCCTTCAGCGATGACCCATGAGCAGCGAGGAACACGCGGTAGCGAAAAACCCACCGGTGGCTTGGTTATGCAAGGGAGCTCCCTCAAGGCACCACCCGCAAAAAGAAAAGAAAAATTGCAATCAGGCCAGAAAAAGGAAATATGCAATGCATAGCATGCTACCCAGTCAAGCCAGTGGCAGCGTCTGCCCTGCAGCGCCGAAAGGCCCTCTGCGTTGGCAGTGGCTGCGGTGTGACGGCCATTGGCCATCGACACGCCGCTCAAAGTGAGGCGACCGCCTGTCGGAATTTGAATGGCCAGCGACCTCGGGGACCCATGTGCGGGCCCCTCCAAGTGCCCAAGCTGCTCAGTGCCTCTCGTCTGCTGGGCGGAGTGGATCCCCCAGGCCTCTGCATCTATCGTCCACGGCAGTCCTACACCACAGCACGAGATTATGTACGGGCTTAGTATTATTCAATCAATCATGCACTGCGGCCGCCGAAGGATTGGATTGGCGTGCCATTTGTGCCAGCAGCCGCCATGGCATCAACGGCCCCGTGCCCGTGCCCGTGCTCAAAGGGCAGTACTTTGGCACTCTCTCGCCATCACTGCCACAGCCCGGCCAGTGGGCCAACAGCGCCCGCTTGGGCTTCCCAGCTTCTCCCGTTTCTTCCGGGTGCGACTCCAGAGTCCAGAGGGATCATGACACCGGGTTCAAGGTTGGACGCTGATCAGCACGTGCGCTGGTGAAATTATCGACCGACAGCAGACCGATCTACGCATCCCTGCTTCATCAGATCTTGATTGAAACCTCCTCGCACCCGTACTCAGCTCAGGGATGAACCACGATGCTTCGGTGAGCCCTACGGCACATCATCTATGAGCACCAGGATCACAGCCCAGCCTTCGGTTCTCGTCAGTTCGTTCCTTGTTGCCGAAGCCGAGCCCGAATGTGCACATTTGTCTGGATGGGCACATGGTGTGGCTTTTCCCGAGCCTTCTCACTCTAGGCCTGGATTGCCGTGCCACCATGTACGCCATGCACACCTGCAGCTGCGTTGATGCCTACCGTTCCTGCGCTTTGCATACCCAGGTCAGCCATGAAGAAAAAAGCAAAGCCAAACTATCCGGGGAACGGTCCCGTACATTCAGCATCAAACCTTCTTAAAACGGGGCCCGGCCTCCTGAGCAGGCCTCTTCTGCAAGTTTGCCGCCATGGATAGGCGAGCACTGTACCCCAGCTGTCTAACTTGGGTGCTCGCTGCGAGTGGCTTCTTGCTTCAGGCCCTGGAGGTAACTTAGAGGCCTATCGCGTCAACAAGTCAACAAGTCGACATGTCGGAAAACTGATCTAAGCCCATGAGATTGCCTCCTCTGCGGGACCGCCTACTACTTCTACATTCATCCTCTTCGGCTCTCGTTCGGCAGAGATCTGCGCGCTCTCGTAATAAGAGGGGGAAACCCGTCGTAGACCCTTCATGATGCTAGGAACAGGCGTTGAGCCTGCTCCCGCTGTCCCCCGATGTCTCAGGGTATTGGTTTGTAATCCACGGATTATCAATCTGATCTTGACCCGGTCCCACTGCGTTTTCCTTGCGATCCCCGCTGAACAGGTGGCTACATCTTTTTTGTAGAAGAAAGAAATGGGACTTTCTTGCGTGACCTCATGATTTGCGGGTAGAGTAGCCATTCTGACGCTCTTGTTACCGCACATCCGCAGAGCACGCGTTCTGCGGCACTGTCCTGCCCGAAATCTGTGTGCCGGTCGGGTGCGGTGAAGTCGTCAGGCTGGCCCGAATGTGGGGTCAGCCCGCCGGCCCAGCGTCCGGAACCACGATGCATACCCGGAGACATTCCGTAGATATGGCTTTTGGTGTAAGTCACCTCGACCAAACACTTTTTATTACTGTGGTCCGTCCCCTAAACCGCATTCAGAGGCATGCGCGACAGTCATCAAAACCCGGTCATATTGATTGTGCGTGGTGCGAGTTCTAGGCACCCGATGCGTAGCGGGTGTTGCTCAGGACGAGGCAGCAAATCATGTTTGCACCTTTGGCTTCGTTTAGTCCCGGGATCGGGAACCGCTCGGATCTTGACCGCCACATTGATATTGTATCGGATACATGTTACTTAGCTGGCTTCCGCTCTGCATCAACCTGTGCGGCTTCTGCTCGGCCGAGTTCCCCAACGTCTACAAATTAATACCCTTGCGGCCAGGGCCACTGCCGTACAAACCCTTCCACTACGCGATACGACGTCTTGGGCATCCTCCCGGGTCTACGGCGTCAGGGTCGAAGTTGCCATGGTCATTTGATATGCTTGATCGCTTGCCCTGTCCTGTGTCCTTATTCGAGGATAATGAGGTGTCTGAACAAGAACTGGGTATGGGCTCAAAGCTATGCCACTTGTGTGCACAACAAAGCTGCCTTGGTGGAGTCCAGCAGGTGGAACTGCCTGTGGTGGCGACTTGAATAACGGGAAACTTAACAGACATAACATTTAGACAGAATAGCAGAAGTAATGCAAGTCTCCTGGTTATATTCACATTCCAATGTGGTCATGCCGGACACAGATGTAGATCCGGACTCCCACTTAACCGCATGGCGGCCCCGGAAAAGCTCGGACCCGGGCCCGGCGATGATGCCACCTCAGCCAATGCGACACCACGTATTATCTATCTGGCTCAGCTCTCGTTGCTATCGCAAGCGTCCCATCCACAAGGGCCATCCTGCTCTGCCGCCGCACCCACCTGATGTGAAGCAGAACAAACCGTCTCGGCACAATGCGCCGTATCAGTACCGCCCTGCTGGCCGCGCAATTATGTGCGGCCACCCGCCATGGGTTCAGCATACATCATGACCTACTAGCATACCCTCAGGTCAGCTTCCCTACGTGACCCGGAGGCAGTGCCATGGTCTGCGTGCGCCACGCACATGGGCATCACAGCGAGCTGACAAACAACAGTTTGAGGTCGTCTTCTCAGACGCTTTCATATCCGAACCCGAGGCGAAAGTCCTGTTGGATCCAAGCCACGCCGTCGACGCAAACGAGAAGGACATACAAACCGCCTCTGCAACGTCGGACCCGACTGATGGCGGCCACAAGGTCACCGAGACGTACGAGATCATGACCATGCACCCGCACAAGTACTTGTGCGCGATTCCCGTTATCGAGACACCGCCGACCCAGAACAAGACCGAGACGGAGCTGGCGAAAGCGGAGGAGGCGCGTGAGCTGGCTAGGGCCTCGGCGCACGGCTGGGAGCTCGTCAATGGCCTCGACGGCGCATGCTTATATTACGTCTCGGGCTGGTGGAGCTACAGCTTTTGCTATGGCAGTGATGTTGTCCAGTTCCATGCGCTGCCCTCCAAGGGCGGGCCGCCACAGAGGGACCCAAACAGCCAGGAATATGTGCTCGGCAGAGTCGAGGGCCCGTCATCCTCCACGTCAACCTCCCGCCGCGGAAGGGGAAACAAGGCCACGCCCGTACCCGCCAAAGAGGCAAAGGCCAAGACTGCATCCCCGCCAAACACGGAACTGCAGGTCAAGGGCGACCAGCGCTACCTGGTCCAGCGCATGGAGGATGGCACCATCTGCGACCTGACAAACCGTCCCAGGACCATCGAGATCCAGTACCACTGCAGCCCTGGCAGCACTCAGGACCGTATCGGGTGGATTAAGGAGGTCACCACGTGCGCGTATCTGATGCTTGTCAACACCCCGCGCCTCTGCTCCGACGTGGCCTTCCAGCCCCCGGCGCCGTCACGCGCAAACGTCATCAGCTGTCGCACAATCGTTCCCGAGGCCGAGCAAGCAGCTTGGCACGCCCAGAAGACCCTGGAGGCGAAGGCTGCCATGGTCGGCCAGCAGCGCAAGGATGCGCAAGCACCCATCAGCGTTGGGGGCGTGGTCGTCGGCGCCAGGCAGGTTCAGGGCAAGGGCGAGGACGGTCAGGAACCCGCCCAGCTCAAGCCGCCGCGGAACTTTGCCAGCGGCAACAAGGACAACACCATCGTGGAGATCATCGCGCTAGGGAACACCAACGAAGATGGGTCCATGGAGGTCTTGAGCGACGAGGATCTGCAAAAGCTCGACCTCGACCCAAAACTGGTCGAGGAGCTCAAGAAGCAGATCCAGGAGATGGCCGGCGACAAGAACTGGAAGCTAGAGGTCGCCGAAGACCCGGGCGCCGCTACCCGTGAGATCCGCGGTGTCATTGGCTCTGACGACGACGATGACAGCGAAGGCGAAGGCGAAGACGGCCAAGGAAAGCAAGAGGGTAGTGAAGAGAAGTTCTTCAAGGAGGAACTCTAGTGTGATATAGTGCCACTTATATACATAGCATAGGCGAGGCGTTTATGGTTCATGATTAACAGATGGAAACTCGTAACAGTGCTTCCCACTTATTTCGAGTGATCTGAGATTTCATTCTGAACTGCACCAAGGGGACATGAGTGATTGGCATCGATTTCCCGGTGATAATGTATTTGTGCTCCGCCCTAGAGACTGACTGCTCAACCCGATGTGAATCCTTGAACCCCCTTGCAGCTTTGTGTGGGCTTGATGGATTGTCCCTGGAATGTTCCTGACGCAATACCATCTCCAACCACTTATTCAGTCTCTTATCCACTTCCTTGAACACCAACCCCATATCCGCTTTCTGGGCTCGCCGAAAGATTGATGGGTTATCCCTGAAATACTCCAACTTATGAGGGATCAAGATTCCTTCGACCTTACCGATTGGAATGGGTTCTTGTTGGCTTGTTCTTGTTGGCTTGTTCTTGTTTGCCCCTTGGTATCTTCTTATCTTATATATTTCAGTCACAAGGATCTCATGTTGCATTGTGGCGGCAAGATGATTCCGAACCCGGTCACCTTTTGTAGTGTTCAGGCCTGGCCAATGAGCACATGGGCTGCAAACAGACTCATATTAATTGTTAGTAGAGTAATTCAGATGTTCGACGACGATGCCCATCCAGACAACGTTCCCCTTCGCTCCTAACATCCAACAGAAGGTCGAACACACAAATCCGGATCATTTGCTGCCATGTCTCTCTTGAGTAATCCCTGAACTGTGACGCTGATACTTGGCCACAGCTACTTTCCTTTGTCCTAGCGTCGGACTCAAGCAACCATCAATGTTTTACGTAGGCTAAAGCAGTAGAGCAATCAGCTCAAAGTGCGTTATAGAATATCAGACATCTTCTACTGGTTGATGTTGGTCGCCAACTGAGGTCCCCTCTAGATACGACAAGGACAAAGAGAGAGGAGGGAACAACGAGCTGGGCGATGCTGCGTAGTCGAGTACATATCATAATGGCCACGGCGACCAGAAGACTGTCTGTTGATGAATAGCCCTACATCGCCAAGCCAAATTACTTTGGGAGTTGCAATGCCGCCTCATCTTCACCGCGAGCACTGCGTGGTATTGGTCGATGCTTTCTTCCAGAGTATTCGGGACGGCAAGAGTAAGAACGACAAGGTCACGCCAACCGACCTACGAGAAGTGGCTCGTAAGCAGCTTCGGGAAACCAGAGATTTGGTGATGATGTTCTGTAAGGCGCGAACGGAGGTGCCAGATGTCGAAAGCACAGATGATGCGTTGAAGGAGGAGTTCAAAAATGTGGCAACACAGTACGGGGCTGACAACAAGCCACACTGGATCAGGAAGGACTATGAGGTGATCTGGATGAAAGGTGAGGAGATATTAATGTCTGGCTCAACATCAAAACCATTCCTCCCTAACTGATCTGGACCCAGACGACCCGCTGCGAAAAGGAAACGCTCATGTGTCTACACAGGAGCCAGAGCCTAATCTTGACGATGTACCACTCCTAAGCGACCTGTCTGAAGCCGAGCAAAAACGGCATGACATCAATAAAGCCATTATAGATACTGCCTCAGCCATAGTCGAAGGGCCTAATAAGCTGAGCTCTGTGTCCGACGAAGAGGACGACCCGACTCCCACAGAAGTGCTAAGGTTATGAGCTGTGGTTTACAGATAGATTAGTGTGGTTGCACACTTTTGTCGTGGTCTTCGATCTTTGAGGACATGACCTTTCTGGCTCTGTCTTTTCTTTTGGGGCGTTGGGTGATTCCAATACAGCCTCGTCTGTACTTTCATTAACCTGGTTTCTCTGGTGTTGGTACTATTCATGTCTCAATGGGTGAGGCACGACCGGACTCGGCTATTCTGTAGTAACAAGCCTGTTCTCCGCATCCCCAACCATCCTTCGCGTCACGGGTTGATACGCAAACATGGAATACTGGGCCTCATCAGTGTCTCCCTATTCCAACTCGGGGGATCTCTGCAATGCGCCAAACAGTCTCGGAAAAGTGAGGCGCTCGTTCGGCGCATTGCCTTTGTCGCATTTCACCGGCAAACTTGCATGAGACTAATTTTCTCTGCAACCTTGGCTGATAGTTGCAACCAGACCGAGGTCACTAGGCACGTCATCATTGATTATTTGCATAACAGAAAAGGACCAAAATAGTAAGAGGCCGATGTGTACAACACTACCTACAGCTGAGTGAGGCGAGTGAAGGGAAGTCGCGTCGAACCCTTGGTTTCAGTCACCGGGATTCTTTCCTTTGAATGTCACCAGGCTTGGGCGACACAAGCAAACCAACATTCACCGATTAAAGCTCCTTCGTCATAGAAGCTGTGCAAGTGAGACTACGGTCCTTGTCGTTATCAGCAACCACCGAGGAACAAGGAACTAAAGACTCATGTCAAAGAACATCTGTTCTAAAGAACGCTCAGAATGTTTTAACGCACATCATTGGGTTAGGGAGAATGGCGCTGACATGCACTCAATTCAAATATAGTACACTGGTCCACAATAGGAAGTTTACCCAGGAAGTAATTGAGACTTGGAGGGTCACTCTGATTGTGAGATTGACGTTGGGTCGGGCAACTGTGTGATAAGCTTGTAGAATCTCAAGTATAGCCATTGATTGCCTTCGAAAACCTGGTACAGGATCTTCCTTGAGGATATTGACAACCATAAGGGACGCATTGCGCCATCCGAGTCCAAAAGTAGCACGTTCTCAAGATAGTGAATACAGTTGGGAGCAGCAAAGTTACGTGTTTGTAGGAATATGAAGCCGGCGTAGTAGCTCCAAATGAATTTCATTTCGGTCATATCGATAGGTCCATAACATCATGATACTTTACAGTGCCTCTAGGGTATAACGTCTGCTCATCTGTGGTCTCCGGCCAATGCACCATTGCTAAGCCGTCTGCACGGTCTCCCTTGCTCCGACTGTTCAGTCTACTCTGCTGGTCTCGCCGCTCCCTGCGTCTCGGGGACGCCAGTAGCCTTCTCCCTTAAGCCAGTACCAACGGGCATGACGCCATGCTTAGTTCCAATTCGCTGGTCCTCCTCGCGCATCTTCTCGAACCCTTGCTGCTCCAGCTTCTCGTTCCGGGTGACGGCGCCGGCGCCGGCCTGCACCGAGCCCACGGTCGTGTGCACTGCGCCCTGGACGTCACCCTTGAGCTTCTGGGCTAGGCTCGCATCGGGCCGAGCGGACGGATCGTTGGAGGCCACGATCGAGCCCTTGGTGGTGACATTGGTGGACGTGCCGTCTGGGAGGATGTCGGCGCTGTTGGGCTTGCCGAGGATGGTCGTCTTGTCGGGCATTGTGTATGAAATGTGTGGATTGTCTAGGCTTGACTTGGTGATATCTGGAAGACTTGAGGCTTGCAAATAGTTATAGAGGATGTGATCTGTTCCTTTTCCCCTTGATTTCTGAATATGTAGAGTCGAAGGTTAGACACAACCGACCACAGGAGCTCCATTTGTACTGTCGTCCCACCAAGATCAGCATGACGTCACCGGGCTCTTTGTCTTCGGCGCTCCACCAGAGCTCCATCACAGCTGTGTACGTAATTACTTTAGTAGCTGACAACATGAAGCTCAATTTACAAGGTATGTAACCCCTTCAGTTGCATCTTATCTGGTAGGGACCATAGGATATTTTTTTACTTTGTATGCAGGCTCAGCGAAGAGCTCGTGCTATTGGGTAGTCGCATTTGTTCGGATACGCAATGTACCTGCCGAGATCCAGAGGAGATCGAAATATAATCAAGCACTCCCGGACACTGACCTTGTGGTAGATCTTGGTAGCCTGCCGAGAAAGGCTACTTTTGGCTGGCTTTGCGATATACATCCGTTGCCCATGATTGTCCCACAAATGAGACATGTTGGAGATCTCCCTCTCTAGGTAACCCCGGGGCCGGCACACAAGAGGGTTCGCCGGGAAATTTCCATTTCGTGCCATTGGAAGCTCAAACCTGCTCTCCTATAAAGACCAACGTTTTGATAATCAGCATGAGCGTATCCGCCTATATCAACAAATCGTATACAAAAGGTCTAGATCATTCCGGTAGGTCTTTCTCAAAAGGGAACATTATACATGTCATTGGGTTCGGAAAGGTCACGATGGCACCTAGTACGAGTTCATTCGAAACAATAACGCCCACGAAGTCACAGGCAAGGTTTTACCAACCACTGCATCCATAGGGATCAGTATAGCTCCGACATCTTTGGCGCAACCATCCCAATCTGCTATTACAAGGAACTTAGTAGATGGAAAGTAAGTATGTGAGTGAACTTGAGTAGTCTTCCTATTGAGCCGGATGATATGTGCATTAGCGACTGGGCCTTGTATTTTTTAGTGAAATGGTATGTAACTTCTATCTCTAGCGCTATGAGCCGGGCTGGTGTGCCAGCATAGTAAAGATCTAGTTCGGAAAAAGAGTGACACTGTGGATGCCTTGTCTCAGCCGCGGCTGATTGCATTAGCTGCTTTGACTCAAGCCTGCGGAATACTAGGGTTGCCAGTGATACAAGAACGATTAGGTTTGGTGATGGGGGAGGGGGAAAAGAATATATATATAACTGGGGGGAGGATGGCGCAGGGGGAATACCATAATTGAGATCCAGACTCTATACCATGGGGAAGGAGTATACTACAGCAGCGCATTCTTCCTTCCAGCTACTCGCCATATTCCCGGTAGCTCCGGCAATTACATATATCGCCAGAAAAAGGGCGGGGCGAGAGGGCCGCAACGCTGAACTTCAACCCTCCCTAGGTAGAACCAGCGCAGTACTTTTTACCTACCGTGGTACTTCCTGGTGTCGCGTCGCGGGTGGCATACTACACGGCTGTGGTGTTTGCTGGCGAAAAATGACTCGTTGAGTTGCGTTGGGCCGGCTAGTGAGCTGCTCCAAAGAGGCGACGGTCCAGATGAGAAGTTTACCAGGCGGGGTGGTGGGTGGGTGAGTGGGTGGATGGATGGCTGGATACCCAGATGTACTAGGCAATGTAGTAGGTATGAATAGGGATTGAGGGTTCCATACCACTTGACTGCTCCGTAGCTGCTGTGGCCTTAAGTCGGTGGATCATCTCGGAAGGGGAGCCGGGGCCCCACAGTGGATTCTACTATGTTACCTTGGTGCAAAGAGCAGCGCGCTGAGATTGGAAGGTCTCGGTCTAGACAGGGCGCTCCCCAACAAGACGAGCAGGGCTGGATGCTGATAGGCCGGCGGCTTCTGCAAACTATGCTTTGGGAATAGCCTCAAGATAGAACGCCAACGGCCCTCCTCGACCATGAGGCATATAGGTGTAGGAAATAGTAATAGGAGATGGTAATATTGCATACCAACAATTACCTGCAACTACTCGAGCCGAAAAGGGTGAGGCCTCTCTCGCGTGATTGGTGCAGCCGGGCCCCCAATGACGCGGCGCGAAACGCCACCGATTTGACTTTGGATCCCAGGGTTCATCAGACAGCTTTCCCCGCACCGCGCTCGTCCAACAATGAAGCTCCAAGCTAACCCCAGATTCAACTCAGGCCGTGATGTGATGTCAACTGGTCCCAGACACTGACTGACCCCCCAAGGTTCGTCGTTGTTTCGTCTCACAGCTCGCTGGAATTCTCGCGTGCCCAGTCCTGCTCCTGAACACCCAGAACCCAGAGCCTGGCGACACACGCCATTGCAGTATATACCCATCCCCCTCGGTTTGCTCTTACATGAGTCCAAAGCATGCAGTATGATGAGCCTAGCTCGAGCAGGCCGCTAGCTCAGCCCGCGCCACGCACAGCGACGAGCACTCAACCCGCTGTCGCCGCCGCCGCTGCTGCTGTTCCCGCTGCTGCCCCGAGGGTCCAGGTCAAGAAGGAACCGCCCGCCGAAGATCGCATTGGACGCATCCAGGCCGCGGGCACGAGCAGGCGGACGGTGTGCGACCACTGCCGCAAGAGGAGTACGTGACCACCACCATGTCCTACATCAGGCCGTCGGGCATATCGTGACTTTCTTGGCGCTGCTTCCTGCCTCCCTGACATGCCCAGCGTCCGCCAGTGGTGTAACGTGTCTCACCCGGGCTTGCCCTAGCTTTCTGCAACGAACTTTGAGTTGCGTGTAAAGTTTATATAAAAGTTATATGCTGACCGAGATTGCCTATATAGGGATCAGATGCGATGGGCAGTTCCCCTGCCAGCAATGTGCCGGCGCGGCCCTGACTTGCAAGAGGGACCATGTCCCCAAGAAGAGGGGCCCCAAGAGGGGCCACGGCCGTGTCATCAATGAGCTGAGGGCTCAGGAGATGAAAGGTCCTCGAGGTTTGGAGAGTGCCAGCGGCTCAGAGTAAGTTGTCATGTATTCGCTCCAGCGCCTGTCTGCAGTGACTGAAAAACGGGGTGTAGTGTCGACACAGACCAATTCAACTCGGCGCCGACGTCTGCAGCACCCTCACCGCCCGCCCAGCCCTTCATTCCCTGGGCGACGGTGACTCCAGACCCACGACACGTACCGGAGCCGAAGAGTGCTTTCACGAGCGATGCATATCAGCCCAGAACCCGGGACTACCTCTACCTAATCCCGCGCTGTGTCGAGCTGTACTACGAGCATATATATCCCATAATGCCGCTCTTATACATGCCCACGATACGAAACACCATCACACGGCCTATGGTCCCCTCGGAGAAAAATCTCATTTACGCGCTCAGCGCTCTCACCGCGTTTCACATGGCCGGGAAGTCACTGTCGGCAGCAGCACAGCCGTGTTGGGACGAGGTGGGGCGTTTCTTTCTTGACGAATGCATCTCAATCCGGCAGAGATACGACTTCCTTGAGGATACATCTCTCTACGCCGTCATATCATCCTTCTGGCTTAGCACCAGCTTCTTCGAGATTAACCAGAGCCGCAAGTCTTGGTTTTATCTGCGCGAGGCGCTGACTCTAGCCATTGACCTCCGGCTTCACGATGACGCGGCTAACTTCGGCCTACCACCGGAAGAAGTCCTATGCCGACAGCGGGTTTTCTGGATCTTATTTGTGACGGAACGCAGTTTTGCGATTCTGAGGAACAAGCCCCTTACTTTCCGGAAGACTCCCTCACTGCCGACGACGATGCATAGTTATGAGTCACCTGAAATACATATCGGGTTTCGCCAATTAGTCAGCAGCTACTACCCTCTCGATGAATCTTTTGTGGCAGCCTGGAATGACGGGAGCGATCCGCGCATCTCGAAGACGACCTACATGAACTTGCAGGAAGTGCTAGCACAACCTCTGGAGTTTCTGAGACCAAAGAGGAAGAGCCCCAGTCCCCCTGTCGCGCTTCTTTCTAGCAGCGCATCGTCATCCGAGGAAGATCCTGATGAGCCGGACCCGACGGCGATTCAGAAAGCAGATTTGTTGATTACCCAGCAATGGCTACGCCTCATTGTTTGGCAGTCCTCCTTCCGGCAGGGTCTCTTGTCTACAGCCTCGTCCGACGAAAGCTTCTCTTTCTCGTTCCCACTGTCAATAGCCCGTGACACGGCAGCAATCTTGCAATCTATCCCTAGCCGGGCAGTCGAAGTCCACGGGATGGGCATATTCGAGAAGATCTTTGAGATTGGCACGTGGAGTGTAAATGTCATGGGCGCATACGACTCAGGAACTACGAATCCTAGTCGACCTTTCGGAGGAGCCATGGATGGAGTCGGTGGAATGGATTTTGTTGGTGGCGAACTCTCTCTGTTTGGACGATCCGGACGAAGCGGTGCAGTACTCGATCCTCTGGAGTTTTTCATCAAGACCTTGAGCGCCAGTCCCAACAGCCAGACCATGTATGCCGATAAGTTACTCCTATTCGCCGAGCAGACGCCGGGTAGACTCAGAACCAACCTCAGTCCTGTGTTGCCTAGCTTCGGTCGACCTTCAAGGCAGCAATCCTGGGGAAGCACCAGCAGCGGCGTTGTGGGGGAAGTGCCCGATGAGAACGGGTCAGATGAGATCTTGGGGTCGATGGATCTTGGTACTGATCAACTAATGAATAATGGGATCGGTTTTCCTGCGAGTTCGGCTCGCGGGTCCGTGTTGGGAAGTTTCGACACGACGAGTAGTGATCTTGGATTAAGCATCGTGACTACACGGAGTTCAGGGTACAGCATTCCGGATGGGCCGATGTCTGCAGGCCTGTCGACAGCATTTTCGGACCTTAGCACGGGAGGCGACGAGTACGGGTTTGGCAGTGCATTTACGAGCGACATGACGGGTATTGAATCTTCAAGGGCAAATTCGGTGTTTATGACCGGTATGGCTGCGCCATGGGAACATGCAACGGACCAAGGACGGAAAAGGGGCGGACAGGCCAACGGCAACGGCAGCACGGAAAGGATTATGGGTGTTTGGTGAAAGGGGTATACCTCGTGTGTTTTGATAATCGTTTTTTTTTCCTGCTCCGGGCTCGCAGTGTACATAGCACCATCCTGATAGTCTCCCAGGGGTTTCATCTACATCATTACACCATGGCTTGTTTCCTATAGCAGCACCAGGTACCCAGTCCAGTGACATGTACCCAATTGCGCACCACAAGTACGTCGGGACTTTGATAGAATTCACCGCTACTCAAAAACTTGAGGCGCATCATGTAGTGCCAAATTTGCAACCGGGCCAAAGACGCAGTCTATCGACACGCAAGTTGAGCTGACATACGAAAGAACTCACCTCGGCTCACACTGCCATTCCTAATTCCGAACCTGATATCAACCGAAGACTATCAGCAAGGATTCTTCCAGATGAGGGGCGGCCCCGGGGCGGGCCCGGGCCGTGGTTGGCACGATTCTCGGAGGATTTGCTGCATCTCATCCTACATGCATCGCTGGTATCCGGTTTTACGTGCAACCGGGGACCCGGGTGTGTCGATGCGTACTCCATCGCCGTGCATGACCCGCATGCCCCCATGTTACGGCCTCCAGCGAACCCATAATTAAATCCATTTGCACTGGTGTTTTGTAGATTCGCCCTGTCTAGCCTCCAGGCCCTTATTCGCCTGCTCTCACGCGCTGGCGTCCACGGCGGGAAGTTGATCGAACAATAGGCTATTCAAAATTGCCTAGTATGATGTTTCCCTGGACTTTACGTGGTTTAACTTGGTCTAACTTGAGTACATTGATTCGAAGTATAACTGCGTTGTACGTAGTGATTGTGCTCTAGGAATGCGACAGGAGGGTACAAGCAAAAACACCGAGAGGTCCGTCCAGGAAATCAAGGAGACCACGCATTTGGCACCGAAACAGCCTTGGATCGAATCTTCCCAATCTTTGCATAACACGTTTTGACGAGAACCCCAAGCACTTAGAATGCTTCTGATCGAGATACACACCAGGTACAATTCATACGCGAGCTCCCAAACTGAAACTACGGCACATCATTCCTTATCTAGACGGCACCCTGATAAGATTACAGGGAACTTCATATTTAACCGTGAGGTATCGTATGGAGATTCTAGCGACTCTACGAACAGGAAATACAGCTCTGCAGCCATGGTTGTGTTGTCCGGCTCACATGCGGCTCCTCCACCGCCACGCAGGAAACGCTACTCGGTCCGAATCATCAACCCTGCATCAATATGCAGCTGGCACAATATTAGATGCACATCATCTTAAGAAAGTCAGCGCGTATGTGTATAGCCTGTTACTGGGGCATGGCAAGTTGTCTGACCGGGTTGGCGGGTGCTGGATGGATGCAGGTGCTTTCTGGGAAGCCAGAATTCATCGGTCCGTTTCCAACCAGCAGCCTAACCCTGAAGATTTATCGCAAGTCCCTCAAATGAGAGAATGATGATGTATAATGAAATCCTAAGCCCAATAGGACTCTCTGAATACTCGTGTCGACTGGGGCTCGATCTCTGTTATGAGTAGAACAAAAAGTGGATGGACTGCTGGTTTGGCGTTTGACGAACCCGGAAGCGCACGGGCCCACTCCTTAGCTGGTAGGGTTTTACGAGCCCAGAATGTGATGGCACGATACTCAGGAAAGTCCACAATCCGGTCTACCCAGAGGCTCTCAATCCAGGTGAGGTTTGGGTTTTATCATCATCCGCCTGCAGAATCCCTAATACTCTGACAAAGGCCGCCGGTGTACGTCAAACTGCCCGATCAGATCCATTCGAGCGCAAAGAAGCGTGGGCGGACCAGAACCAAAAAGCCTCCGCCTCAGCCTGAAGTTTCTTACATGGATATTTTGAAGTGGTTTATGGCAGCGGTTCTGGATCATGGAAGAATTACACATCACTCCGTCGGGGATCTTCTGGCAGGATGGCTTCATCACGCCGGAGCATGAGAAGCAGCTCATTCAGATTTTCCGCAATGAGCTCGAGTGGCCTGACCGTTCCGGCAGGCTATCACTTCATTATGGCTACACCTTCGACTACAAGACCTTCGGTGTTGACCCAAACGTGCCGTATAAGGACTTTCCAGAATGGTTGCAGCCCTTGATCCCGACCAGGGAGGGACGGCCCCCGGAGCAGGTCTGCCTACAGCATTACCCACCAGGCGCAGGCATCCCACCACACGTTGATACTCACTCGGCATACGACCAGCTTTACGCGCTCTCCCTTGGTGCCCCGGTCTTTATGCAATTTCAAAGAGGAGATGAGAAGATCGAAGTCGATCTCACGCCACGGAGCATGATGCAGATGTCGGGGGACTCCAGGCTTCATTGGACCCACGGGATCAAGAAGCGCAAGACCGACACCCTGGACGACGGCACCGTCAGGAGACGAGAGGATCGGTGGAGCATCACGTATCGCTGGGTTCGGGAAAGCGGGGAATGCGAGTGTGGAAACGAGAAGCTGTGTGATACAGCGCAACGTCGTGTCGGCATCGAGAAGGAGTACAGGTGGAAGAAGGAAGATTCGAACGCAGCACCGGCAAGTAAAACCGTTGAACCTGATAATGCACGCACGTAGTGCCGCGCCGGAACCCCAAAAGTTGGTGCGGTACATTAATGAGTCGCCGCACCGAGCGGCTTCCGAGATGAACGTATCGCTGATGTACGTTGTCCCAAAGCTGCCACCTGGATCAGGTACAGCAACACTTCTACGCTGGGAAGATTGAGAACAAGGCCAATCAAGAGGTAGAGGCAATGACGACTTGATCTTTCCTGGCGGCCTGGATGGTCTCGACTGGAGCGTGGACCCCGCATCCGTTGCAATCGGCCGCACTACGGCGTGGCCGGCTTGAACCTTGCTGGATGGGGAGGAATGCATATGCGGGCTTGGGGAGGAAGCACTCACGGTGAAAATTCGAATGGGAGCAGTCTTCAACTTCGTTACTCATGTATAATAGCAGCTCGAGCATCTCGTATAGCCCGTCACGCCAATACTCTGGGCATGTCGAGATTGAGATAGGCCTCGAAACCTTTCACGCGTTTGTGGCTTGACCCGGTAGCCTTGCCACTCCATCATTTATCATGGTTCCTTCACTGGATTTTGGAGGAAAGCATGAGGAGGACTTGGGCGTTGCGGAAGTGAAAGTGGACGACGCAGTCTTTCGCAAGATGTCGCACAGTATCGACAACTTCAGCGGCATTACCCTAGAGGCGTGGCAGGCCACCGAGTTTGAGCGCAAAATGACGTTACGCCAAGCTTTGAGGATGTATCCCAAGGCCATTTTCTTTTCCTTCATCATATCCCTCTCGTTGGTCATGGAAGGTTACGATACGTGGCTGCTTGGCTCCTTCTTTGGGTACCCAGTGTTCCAGGAGAAGTTTGGCGAGCCGGTAGGCGACGGAACCTACCAACTGACTGCTTCGTGGCAGTCAGGCCTCCAGGCCGGCATGCAGGTTGGTGAGATTGCTGGATTGTGGGCAGCGGGTATCATTGCCGACAGGTATGGCTACAAGAAAGCGATGCTTGGGTCCCTGGTCCTGATGACACTCGCGGTGCTTGTCTTGTTCTTTGCGCAGAACTTGGCGATGCTGCTAGTGGGAGAGATCCTGTGCGGACTGCCCTGGGGTGCGTTCCAGATGTTGGCGACCGCCTACGCGGCAGATGTAAGCCCAATGGTCTTGAGGCCGTTCCTGACCACTTATTGCAACATGTGTGTAAGTAGCTATACCTGGTGTTGACGTTAAGACAGCCGTTCTGACTCCAAACAGTGGGTCATTGGGCAGACACTCGCAACCGGAATCCTGCGCGGACTCTTATATCGGCAAGATGAATGGGGTTGGCGCATCCCTTATGCGACGCAATGGGTTTGGCTTGCCCCTTTGCTTGTCGGGGTTATTTTTGCCCCTGAGGTGAGATACTTGCCCTTACGCCATGTGTTCTCAGCAGTGAAGAGAGCATGTTCGGTGGACTGGGCCTCGTTTTTCGGACAAATTCTAACAATTAGTTGCAGTCTCCATGGTGGCTGGTTCGTCAAGGTCGCATCAAAGATGCACGCGAGGTACTGCGCTCTCTAGTCTCGTCCAAAGTCATCGCCGATCCATCCTCGTCTTACTCCTTGGACCGCAATATCGCAATGATCATACATACGAATGAGCACGAAAAGACTGTCAGCGAAGGCACTTCTTACCGGGACCTATTCCGCGGTATCGACCTTCGCCGCACTGAGATCACTTGCGTTGTATGGGCCATCCAGATCGGATGCGGAATCTGGTTCGGGGGGAATGTGGTGTATTTCTTGCAACAGACCGGGTTCTCAGCGGAGCAGTCTTTCAACTTCGCTCTTGGCAAACAGGGCGTCGCCCTCTTTGGAACGCTGGTCAGTTGGTGGGTCATGCCGTATGTCGGGCGGCGAGCTCTCTATCTGTACGGACTGGCTGTCATGTTCACGGTGCTAGTCATCATCGGGTTTCTGGGCATACCGAACCCGAGCGACCCTATCAGCTACGCAAGCGCCGCGCTGCTGATGGTGTTCACCTTCGCATTCGACGTCACCGTTGGCCCGGTATGCTACTGTCTCGTGGCCGAGATACCCTCGACCCGTCTACGGATCAAAACGGTCGCCTTCGCGCGCAACTGCTACAACGCCTTGAGCATCGCGGCCTACTTCTTGAACAACCCGATCCTCAACCCGACGGCCTGGAACCTGCGCGGTAAGGGTGGGTTTGTCTGGTGCGGCTTTGCTTTCCTCTCCTTCGTCTGGGCTTACTTCCGGCTGCCCGAGCCGAAGGGCCTGAGCGCTGCGGAGCTGGATGTCTTGTTTGAGCAGAAGGTGAAGGCGAGGAACTTCGGAAAGGTTGGGGCTGATCCGTTCCGGACTGCCAATGTGGATACAGATGTGATCGACGATAGAAAGGAGAATGCGGCAGCGGTGTTTGACGAGACCAAGCGCTGAGATTCATCGCTTGTGATACAAGGCAGCTATAATGCATAATAGAACATTATCGAACGCGTCTCATGGGGTTCAAATATCCATGAACAACATACAGCATGCGGGGATTTCGACATGCGCATATTGGATACTAACGTAGGTGACGGTCTTTAGACATGCCAATGCTATGGGGACCGCCAAGCTCACTCAATTTCTCTACGAGAATGGGCTGGATCTCCGAGTCAGCTTACTGTTTCAAGCACCGAAGTTGATGTACTGCGCGATTGGCACTGGACAGTGGATGCACCAATTGCTACCTCTAACGGAAGACTTGATGGTGTGAATGAGCGGATATCGACATGCGATTGCTGCCCAACGCAAAAAGACACATCCGAGCGCCACGACCGTCTGTCTATTCGACGTGCATCCAACGTCTGCGAATAGTTGAACGGCGTTCTTCCTTCGATGTAGACGACTGCAACCTACCATGCATAGGTAGGTCGGACGTTGAATATGAATAGTCTTTCACACACACGATTATCGACGGGGCCACTCGAAGCGAATCAAAAGCCTTCCGCACTTAGCTTTTTCCAAGCCAAGGAAGCAAAGCCTGGCAAACGTCTGGCCGTGTTCCAAGCACATAGGTCCGTGTTCCTAGCCACATTGACCCGGTATCCAGAGACGCGGGTGTCATCATCTGGCATCTGCCAGACTAGACCTGATGTCGGCAGTGGCGTGAATGCTGAGCCAGTACAGGGAGTTTGCCAGCACCGGGAGGGCCATTCAATCTGCAGAGACTCAACGAGGCCACACTGCAGGTGAGGCTGGTGGTGATCATGTGGTCACAGATGATGACATGTGTCGCAGGTTATCTCTCCCAAAAAAACCTAAGTTAGATAACTTGTTTGTGCTGGTATAGCCTAGTACCCTGTCGGGTGGCTGAGAGTTCTGGGTTGTCGCCGATGGATCTTGCCCGGATTCATCTCTTAGAGCACAGTCTCCCAACGTTCTGCGTCGAGCCCGCGTTGGGTTGCTTCTGCAAGCCGAAGCGGCAAACGCGGTCGTTGAGGCATTATCCGTTGGAGTTTCAAGGTCCGCAGCCCATCAATTGTGGTAGGCCACGGAAGGGGAAAAGAAAAGATACCCGGTGGGCTAAAGTATGCAACTAGACAGCCCGCGTCAGTTCCCACGCCGCGGGAGCGCGGATGAACCCAGAAACCTGCAGCTAAAGGGCGACCGTCAACCGCCTAGAGCTGCAGAAATCCTTCTCGCTTGGAGACTAACCGTCGACGAGGGTTCTTTCAAAGCGTGCTAATTGCGCTTTGACGCGAAGAGTTCCTGGTACGCATTGCAGTGGTTCTGATTTCTGGTAGAGGTTCTTGGTTCTCATCTCGCCGGCCACTTCGCCCTGCGCTCACTGGTTGATGGTCCCATGACGAGCGTGGGAGGACGAAGAGACACTGTCTCACGACGCACAGGCCTGATCTACGGCAATCCGATTCCATCCCGCTCGTAATCTGCGAGAGGCGACACTAGTAACAGAGTTCGGGTTCGACGGGGGCTTGTGGACTGGCTGTTTGGTAGCAAACGTCTTGTGGTGACCAGGTATAACTTGTCGAGCGAGTGGCTGCGCGAGCTGTTGTCAACTCGTCTTGTCGTCCTCCCACGCTTGCTGCTGGCCCATCCTTGCCCATCACACACTTACATAGTACTATCTTCGGTTCGCTGCAACTGTAGGAAACCAGACCCCCGCTGTGCCAGTGGCTCGCCATTCTCTGGCCAATGGCACCGCATCCCAGCCTCACGGACGGCGTTGGAGCCTGACAGGCCCGCTTCGGCCCCCGAACGCAACCCTGGAGTCCAGCAGGGGACAAGTGCTGAGCAAGGGCAGCAAAGCCTGACCAGGGCCCTTCAATCACATCACATCTAAAGTGCGTGCAGGAGGGTGGAGACGAGGCGTGAGACACGGGGTCCACCGCAAGTCGCGTGTTTCTCTTCTGAGGGGGTTATCGTACTGCACATGTATGCATGCGTTGAACCAGATCAATGGCGTAGAGGAAAACTCTCGTGGCCGTACAAACAAACTCTCGATGCTCATGTCCTGTGATGACGACACGCATACAGCTAACTTGCCAGAATGTAAGCATGCAAGCATGCAAAATTTTCCCAGCCCAACGTTGCTCTCACAAATCAAACCGGCCTCGGAGACCAAGCTGAAAGCTGGTGCAACGGCACGGCACTAGCAGGATTAACGTCCCCCACTAATTTCGCGTTCCTGGATGAGCGTTGCAGCCCACCGCCCCGATTCGCCCAACCGCTGCCCGTTCCAGGCCCGTTCTGTCCTAGAGCGCGACGCTGCGAACCGGATGGAGATACGATCGCAAGGCACGCGCGGGGCGGGCCAGGGTTCGACAGATGCCGATGGATGGGATGGGGCGGCCTGGAGGGAGGTTGTTGGAATGTCTTGGTTGGTCTTGTACTGCAGTAGTTAGCTTCCTCTCGTCGAAACGGGGCTGGCGTACGCTGCTGCTTTGGTGTGCTTCGGGGCGTTCTCTTCTCCAAAAGCTAGAACCCTGCTCCCAGGGAGCGCGATAGACGCACCTCGGCGGCTTAGTTTCTGGAGGGGAGATGAAGCAGGACTTCCCTTGCTAAAATCTGCCATTGCCATCGTTTTCCACGGCTGGCTTCTTGGATCTTGCCAGTTCCCTTTTCCGTGGCAACTCATTGACGGCTGGCTCAAGCTTGTTACTGTTGTTACCGTTGCTGTTGCTGTTGCTGTTGCTCGTGCTGTTGGTAGAGCAATGCATGTCTACCATTTTCTTTCTTTAGCTGTATGAGCTATCTGTCTGACTTGTTGTTTTCTTCTCTTTTTCCGCCGGTCGATTCATGGCTTGTGACTCGTCATTACACGACTCTTTTCGCCAGCAACAGGGGCCACCAACCAAAGAAGCAGCTGCCCGCAGCACCCCATCACCAACTTCGCTTTCGATTGAACCCAGCTTCGTGCTCGGCTTCTGACGAGAAACAGTTCCTCGTCATCCCGTCCAGCACAGCACATGGCCCCAAGTGCCGGGAGCTACAGTGCTGTCGTCCGAGCTGCAGCAGGAACCGGGCTGGAACCCAGCAATAAGAGACCCTGGTATAGGTGCTCAAGCCTCCTCTATCACTCACCACATCTTAGCAGACCAAGCCCCCGTCCGTCAGGCGGCTGCGAACATTGAAAAATCACATCTCATCTGTATGTATGTCTTAAGGCAACAAGAGACTTTTCCTTGGGCTAGTTCTGCCTTGGTGAGAGGCGGTTTCTAGTGGTGGTTTCCCGCCCGTATTCCCAGAGTCGTATCAGCTAACCATTGACTACCAAGTCCGTACGCCCAATCCTACATTGCATTACTCGAGTCCTTGCAACAGCGTACAGAAGGCGCCGTGCGATAGGGGTCCGGCAGGTGAAGACGTTGTATTCGCCCTGCATCGCCTCCCAGACGACACCATATCCTCGAACCTAGACAGACAGACCGCCTCACCAACGCATTCCTCTTTCTCGATGGACGGCGTGGGGGACCTTCGAGAGCGTGCGAGCTCCCGCGCGCCCTCTCGCACGAGCACAAATAGCTCGCATTCTCATCGCTTCCACCACGCCAATTGCGCCTCTCCTTCTTCCACAGGGCCCCAGGTCTCCAGCTTTCTACAAGAGCGGATCCAGCGGCGCCAGGCCGAGAAAAAGATGAGCGGGGAACTGAGCGTCTCGAGCGGCAGTGCACGCGATGGGGACCGGGACCGAGACGTGCACAGCTCGCCGATCCGGAGGACTGCCACAGCCATGAGCACGCACGCTCGCTCGAACAGCGGCGATGAGGACAAGGGAAACATGGGAGTCAAGGAAATGGAGAAGGTTTGTTGCCATCCCTGCCAACTGGGCCGACTAGGCTAACGCAGAGCCACAGGCTGCCTCGACTTTACACAAGCAGAACTTCGACCTGAAGCTCGAATTATATCACCGCCGTGAGAAACAGATGGAACTAGAGGAGAAGACAAAAAGGTTGGAGCAGGACTTCACGGAACTGCGGACACAGCATGTTGAGGTGGCGGAGATGAACGATAGTCTAGTCTCGGAGCTGGAGAAACGGGACAAGGCCGTGGCCGAAGCCATCGAGGTTATCTGTGATCTGCAAGCCAGGGTCGACGAGCTACTACGCGAGAGAGAGATGGTCCGTATAGTCGAGGAAGACTACCAACGTCACGTACATGCAAGAGGGGTCGATGCATCAGCCCAGGGGGGACCGGAGGACGGCCATCGGGTTGTTTCGCCGGCAGAGACTTTTGGCGCGCCCAGTCGGCTTGGAGATTTGAAGACGCTCGAGCGTATGTCCAGCTTCCTTTCCGAGCCCGAGCGGAATGAGACCACTCCCAACTTGCGCGGCTATATCCTCAACAACAAGAGCAGTTTGCTCCATATGCGCAAGGTCTCGGAATCGAGTGTGGATCCTAGCGAGGTTAACCGCCTAGCTAGCCCCAGTGGCCTCAGTGTGCTGAGTGAGAGCTCGTTTGCGAGCGTCTACGGCAAGAATAAGAGGACGCCGGCGACGACGCGCTCACCAGCGCCGCAGAGGCAGTTCTCTACCACTAGCAGCAACGGAACATTCACCTCGCCTAATCAGCAAGATGACGATGGTTGGCAAGCTCGTAAGAGCAGCAATGCGCGCAGCGCTAGTTCTGGTGATATCATTAGGGGAGGGGCCAGCCTACTGAGTCAAGTGCAACCCGGTGGTGATATTAGGAATATCGCCTCTCCACTCCAGCAGGTTGAGATGCTTGGAAGGAAGCTATCGGTGGGTGATTCCTCACGGCCATCAACCTCGAGTCACGGTAAGGGGGTGGATACCCCCTCCCGGCCTCGGCCCAAAAGTAAGACCAAGCAAGAGAAGCGGGAAGCGTTGCGAAAGGTCATTACGAGCTCGCCCTCCGCGAATGACTTTGATAGCTCACGAGTGCTTCCTCCGACGCCTGATACGATATCTAGCTCCACACTGCGCCGGTACCAGAACTCCAACGACACCTTGTCCAGGGACCCCCGGGTAACGCCCAAAGACAGCTTCACCGATAGTCAGGCACTGCCTGTTAGTGGTGCTGCCATCGACTGTGAAACCAAGTTAGCCAACACCAACTTCTCCAAGTCCACGTCCTCGGCCTACATTGACCGCAGAAACGCAAACGTTCCTGTCAATCAGTTCGCCACGTTTGGTCATCATGCTCACGCCCTTCCACAGCGCCCCCGGTCGGCAGATGAGACTACCATCTCCCGCCATCGTGCTAATAGCTGGATGTCAGATTCGGACTCGGATGGCGGCGCGGATGCATGTTCTGATGATGACGACCTCGATCCTTGGTTGCGTGAGAGCGTCAGCTCAAACAGGGGAGCCGGTTCACCTGACCTGTTCAGCTTCCCGGCAGAGGCTGGTAGATGGCAGAGTGATGCTCTTTTCGGAGCACTGCGTGGAAGCGGTTTCCTCGGGTCCCCTCCGCCGGAGTTGAAACGTGAGCCTCTGGATCACATCCATGGAGCCCTGAGCACCCCTCGGACAGCTGTCTTCCAACCCCCCACTCCGGCTGATTCCAGCGAAGCTCCAGAGCCGCCTCCACGCCGATCTAGTATCACCCGGACAGGAAGCAGTCATGCTGCTTCGCCTAAAGGAGGGAAGATCAGGAAGAATCTCCTTCGGGCGAACAGTGGCGGGAAACGCGCAGGGAGGGCCAGAAGCAATAGCATTGACTCGGCACAGGTTGCTCCGCCGGCAGCCATGCAGGCCGACTACCAGACTGACGGAGCGGGCCAGGCGAAAAGAAACCAATATCCTCCGATATCCGGTCAGCTGACAAGGTCCAGGGGGTTTAGTGGACTTGGTGGACTTTTCAGGAGATCGCTCGGAGGAAGCCAACAAGCAAGCCCTACAGAGGCGGCATTCACTCCTGAGCAGGTGCAGCAGCCACTGGCTCACACGCAGGCGGAACAGCGACGAGCTCAGTCAAGTGGGAGGAGCAGCGTACCTCCACCAGCCGTTAGGCCCTGGAAGCCGCAGGCGGCATTCGACGATGACCTGACGAGTGCTACGCCGCCTCCTATCATGCGTAATCGCGTGTACCAGCCGAGCGTTGCTTTGGACACTGGAGATGACCCCACGACGCCGCGGAAGCACGTAGCTGCTGACGCCAACGACGTCGATAAAAGTGAGACTGTAGTCAGTCCAGGGAGCGGCACCGGTACACCTCAGGGTGGGCGGCGCAAATGGTTGGGGCTGGGGAGAATGAATAGCTTGAAGAATCGAGCTGGCTGATATCGTTAACTGTATTCTTAAATTATACCCCTAGGACATGCCTTACATAGGTTAACAGTGTTTACCTGGCCAGTCCTGGCACTAGGCATCACACAAAATTGATATTCCCGTTTTATGATAGATCTATCCCAATGCTCTGGCTTGTTGCAGAGTATTAAGTTGTCGCCTTAGGCTTGACCACCTGAGATGGACACCAGTGCCATCGGCGTTTGTGCTATTATTGGACACCCTAACGTGATATTACTAGACATCCATATAATTTGAGATGAGTCTGTCCGGAAACGGCTTATAGAAAAGAACAAAGCCCCATCAACATGACTGCTATCTGGCAGCCTCAAACCCAATTCTTCAATTCCAGTGGCTTCCTTCGCGCAGTGTGTTCTACCGGAAGCCAGCCTTAAGTGGATATCTCTAATAAAAGCAGTCTCCCTTGTCCGCCCACCCACAGTGACCTGGGCCACCGGATTGGGGACTGGGGAAGGCGCCCAGACTCAGCTGGATCGATCCACAGCGCGTCTCGGCCCGCTAGCGCAGGAACCGATCGCTACAAAACGGGTGACATCACCACTCCTGTCGCTAATCATCTTCGACGAGCAAGAGGCGCAAGGTATTGGACGCAAGTCCTGGCCATCACCTGCGGTAATCCATTTGTCCTCACTGCGATTGTTCGGGCCCATGTTGAGCGCTTTAGCCAGAAGGGCAGCTTATATACAGACGTCTACGACATTCAGGAGAACCATGGCACGAGCTGCATTTAGCTCGTCTAGCGGGACGCCGCGGCGAAGTCAGAGGAATATCAAGAAAGAAAGCGATCAAGTCACGATCAAACAGGAGGAGGAAGCACCACGGGGCAAAGGCACCAAGCGGTCAACTCAGTCGTCCACGCCGAATGCGTCGAGCAAGCGTGTCAAACTCTCAACGTCGCCTGACGCGTCAATAGGCACAACAAGCCAAAGGAGAGCCAAACAGGAAGAAGATGTGGACGCGAAACACCCCTCTCCCAGCCCACGGAAGCAGAAAACTGTAAAGACCAAGGCAGAGAAAGCGGCCGAGCTCCAGGAGAAGAAGCTGAAAGCATACACTCAATTCAGCAACTCTTCCCCATTCCCGGACTTCCAGCACCCCACGCCGGATGAATGCAAACTGGCGCGCCGCATCCTGGCTGAGCTCCACGGGGACAGGAACCGGCCAGAGAAGATCACCGCGCCCACGAACCGCGCCGGGTGCGGCGACTCGGCGTCTGTACTGGATGCGCTGGTGCGCACTATCCTCAGCCAGAACACGAGCGACAAGAACAGCACGCGCGCCAAGCTGAACATGGACAAGGTCTACGGTGGCAGCGACAAGTGGGATGCCATCGTGGCCGGCGGCCAGCCCAAGCTCCAGAAGACAATTGAGAGCGGCGGGCTGTCCCAGTCGAAAAGCAAGGTCATCATCGATATCTTGACCCAGGCCAAGGAGAAGTACGGCGAGTACTCGCTCAACCACCTTTTTGAGGCCAGCAACGAGGACGCCATGCGGGAGATGCTGGGCTTCCAGGGCGTGGGCCCGAAGACGGCGAGCTGTGTTCTGCTCTTCTGTCTGAGGAGGGAGAGCTTTGCTGTCGATACACATGTGCACCGCATCACGGGCTTGCTAGGATGGAGGCCCAAGGACTGTTCCAGGGAGGAGGCGCATGCCCACCTCGATGCAAGGGTGCCCGATGAGGACAAGTACGCCTTGCATATCCTCATCATCAACCATGGAAAGAGATGTGAGGAATGCAGGGCGGGAGGGAAGAGTCTGGGGAAGTGCGAACTGAGGAAAGCGTTCCGGAGCGGGAAGGTCAAGGGAGAGGCCGGCGAGGATGTCAAGATGGAAGAGATACAGACCATCAAACAGGAGGACCGCGATGTCAAGACGGATCATGATGCCATTGCGCATGCAGTAGAACAGCCGGCATAGTATAGCACACTAGCGAATGATCCAGGAAGTTGATGAATTCAAACTCGTTCTGTAGCAAAACATCGCAGGCTCGGTTCCAACTGTCCCACATTATCAAAAAGTTTGGTCGCTTATAGGGCGGCGCCGAGCATATACCGCTTCGAATTTCCAATTATAGCAATAGAGAATTACCAACACGCGACAAGACGGCACAGTTCATCATCCTGGTAGCTGTGGTGTGCATTCCATGTCCTGTTAAGCACGGGCAACCTGATTCCGCATTCGAGCTGAGAGCACGCGCAGGCCCGTCAGCTGTATGGAGTGGTTGCATGACACTAGTCGCGCCTCATTGGGGACCCAGCGGGACTTCGATATAATCCGATAGGCCTGGTGCTGAGGTTCCCACAATCATTCGATATTTGCTGGCTAGCGAACGGCCTCAATGGTCCAGCAACACCGTACGGCTGACATCCCTTGACCAGGTCATACGTCATCCACTCCCTCGTAAGGTACTCGCTTGCTGAGTTCGCCGTGCCGCACACAGACCGCCGCATCGACAGCTGCACATGCAGCTTGCAGTTTGACAGATGCGGATGTTACGGCGTTGCATGCTCAGGTCGAGCTAGGGTGACACACCCTTGCACCTGCTTACATTCCACCCTCATATAGCGGCTGAGATCAGTCAACCTATGATGCCGCTGGTACTCCATGTCGGGCTCGCATCCATGTACGAAAGTGGCACTGCAATTCCCATCCTGTACACAGAAAGCAACTCAATAGTTCAGATGAATTGGGTTTAGCTACGTCCCATGTCAAGGCACCTCTGCATAGTGGCGCTTGGTTATTACTTGGTTGTGTGCAGAGTAAAAGACACACCGTAGACACGTCAGATTCGGATGGTTATATAAACCCTCTCAGACATATTTGCATGTTTAATCAAATCACCAGCCACTGCCGCGTGTATATTGAGAAGCCGGGTAATATGCACCCGATTCTTTGCCTTGTTGCTGCCGCTGCTGGCCCTGTGTTTGCCTTGACCATACAAAGTGCCGGCTCCAATGCTTGTCTAAATCTCACATCCTCGTTAGGGTTCAGCAAGGTCGCCACGAGCCAGCTGGACCCCGAATACATATCCAGCAGAGGGGATTACTGGAATGTACGCCAGAGTGTCTATGCACCGTCCTGCGTCGTGCATCCGGAGTCAGCACAGGATGTGTCCGTTGCGATACAGGCAATCAGAGCAGCTGACAGCCGTTTCGCCGTCAAGGCTGCCGGGCACAACACCAACAACTTTTTCTCATCTGTTGATGGCGGTGTCTTGATCGACCTGAGTTCGATGACAGCCAAGTCATACGACAGTGCAACGACCCTGGCAACGTACGAGCCGGGCAGCAATTGGGGACAGCTGTATGAGTATTATCAGCAGTATGGCAGGACGGTGATGGGCGGGAGGCTAAGTGGCGTCGGGACTGGGCTGGCTCTGGGCGGAGGTCTTAGCTATCTGTCGCCACAATACGGGATCGCTTGTGATTCGTTTCGAGAGCTTGAGGTTGTACTTCCGAATGGAAGCATCGTGACGGCATCATCTACTTCGAACCCGGACCTCTTCTTTGCCATGCGCGGTGGGGGCGGGAACGCGTACGGAGTCGTCACCAAGTATACTGTCCAAAGCCGGGCAATCGGGAACTTCTACGCTGGAAACATCGTCTGGCTCTTCCAGCAGAAGGACACGGTCCTCGAAGCCATCCGTGATTTCATTGCGTACAACACGGACCCGAAGGCAAGCATCTTGCCGACGTACGAAAAGTTGACAACTCCCGACTTGAACTTGAATCTGGACGAGCTAATCACCATGTTCCTGGTCTACGACGGTGAGGATCCAGGCACGGCTTTCGACAACTTCACCAGGATTCCGCACATCATAGACACACGTTCCATCAAGACCTACAAGGAAGTCGCTGACATGCCGGTCCCGTTCACCGCCGAACTCACGCGCGCCGATAATGTCTTCCGCTCTGGTGTGCACCGTATCGAAGACGACAGCTACAATGTTTTGCTTGAGACCTGGAGAGAATGGGCCGAGACTCACAAGGCTAGCTATATCCATACGGGCTTCTACATGTACCCTGTCCCCCGCAGTCTCACGGACGGGAGCCATGCACAGGGCGGCGATGCCATGCAACTACCTGATGGTCCTTGGTACTGGACGGCCTACGACCTTGCGACGCCGCCGGGACTGCCGAATGCGGCGTACAACGCGATTCAGGAGAGCTTCCGTGAGATGGTCGAGTCGACGCCCAATGCTCCGGGTCTGCCCCTTTTCCTGAACGAGGCAGCGTGGGACCAGGATCCGTTGGCGACATTTTCTTCTTTTGAGACACTGAAGCAGATCAAGAATAAGTATGACCCTGATGGGTTCTTTGCGACGAGGACTGGAGGTTGGTCCTTTGATTGAGCTATAAGCCCCATTGCTCTTTGTCGTGTTGAATTGTATAATGATGTCTCCATGCTTCGTATAACAGTTCAATTACCGGGGGTTTATAGGAGTTGGCCATGTTCAACATTTCACGTAGCATATCATAGCGGTAAAATATATCATCACTTCTCGTCCTATCAGGTTCCCTAGACAGTAGCCGTTTGGTCATTTGTGAGCCTCAAAAAATTGCGATATTAATATGACGGCCGGTGGGAAATCTCCTTCGCATATCCCGCACATTGCTGCATAAACACGTGCAGCCTCATCAACACATCAATGCCACACACTGAGATTTGGTAATAATATGAATAATGCGACAGTTGGCATTCTACTACATGAGGTGTTGGATTACAGCCGACTTCGGAGCACCCACTCAATAATGGAGAGTTTGCGGGTCTTAATAAAGGGGTAGCATAAGAGATGAACTTCAAGCGTATTTACATCAATTTGAAACTGGCCTATGTACGTAGTTATTCTCTGCTTTGTCAAGCTGTTCTTAGAAGTAAGAAGCCTCGACCAGGAAGCCAACAGTAAGCTTTGCGAAGTCAGCATCCTGCCAATCATGGATAAATACATAGGAATCGTACCTTTGCGTGCTGGAACACATGAGGGATGCTGACAGTAGATACTGTGTCTTGTGCCGAGTGGATATACGGACTGGAGTCAGCCATTCCCTCGTCGCATACGTATGCAGCCGGGTAACCAGCGTCCCGGGCCGACCCGCTATTGCTTGTTAGTAGAAGTTTCGTGGCTTGGATATTTCACATACTGGTCGCTGCAGGCATACCCGCAGGTGTCGGTAAGCAATGGCAGATCACTGTATACAGGGACAAGCTTCTTAATAAAGTTGGTGAGGCCGGTGTCGACGTAGTCAGTGTAGACCGCAATAACATTGTTGGGGGAGTATCCAGTCATATCCTGGTTCATAACAGCCAGGACTTGCTTCGAGGCCTTCTTGTATGATTGCATGACATCGCGGGAGCCGAGGAGGCCGCCTTCTTCGCCTGCGGTAGGTTTTAGAAACTAGAACGTTGAGGGCAATTATTGACAAAGGCTCACCAGAGTAGAAGTGGAACTCCAGGGTGTTTCCGCCCTTGTACTTGGCCTCGGCAAGAACGCGGAGGGCCTCAAGGATGACGATAACGCCCTAGTCATCTGTAAATATTGAGTCTTTTCCGCAGAGTCACAGCCACTGACCGAAGCATTGTCATCGGCGCCAGGAGCTTTACCACTAGTGGTGCTTCCAATGCTGTCGTAATGGGCCGACACCACTACAACTTCAGCCGATGTTCCTGGGATTGCGGCAATCACACTTGGTTGATTGTAGGAGTGGGTGACTTTCTTGACTGTGATCACAGGGTTGGCGGAGGAAACCTCGACAACAGTGTCGTACATCCAAGTCGCGCTGGTAGCAGCATACGAGCCCTTGTAGTACCGATTGTAGATGGCAGCCATCTCATTGAGCCAAGTCGAGAGGTTGGACTGCACTAGCTTGGCAATGAGAGCTTTGGCCTCCGTCTGGTGGCTTGGAGCCGAAGGGAATGCTGCCGCCTGGACCTGCCTTGTGGCAACTTTATCGGCACGTAAAGATTCCAACTCCTGACAACTTTGTTAGTATGCCAACTTTACAGGCACCGATGGATGGCAGCCCATACCAAGGTATCCGTGATATCCATAAAACCCAATCGTTTCGAGATGAGCTTCTCAAACTTCTCCTCCTCGGTCATCCAGGTACCGGGATCCTCGTCCGAAGTTTTAATCAACCGGAGCTCATCTGCCCGCCGGTCCGGGGACGGCACGGCGCCGAAAACGGCCGAGACATTCAGCGCGACGGCACCAAGGGCTACCAAAGACGGAAATCGAACCATATTGTCGTAACTTTTGTGGGAGTGACTTTGCGACGAGGATCACAACTCCATCAGGACGACGAACGAGGGAAAGAGTGGTTTATTTATCCAAACGCACAAGTCAGGGCGCAAAATGTGTCTCCATTCTGAATTGCGATATCCTTCGGCAATCGATCATACCAAGTTGCCAAGCACTATAGATACCACTACGCAAAGGCGCCTTCTCTTATGGTTTGGGGCAATCAGTTGGAACTGCCCAGCAAAGGCTTTTCTTCCGAGAGCCAAGACAGACGAGTTGCGCTTTGCCCCAGAACGTGGGGTTCTGCCGATGCCAAGGGCCTTATCCATGGTGAACCACATTATGCACCGAGACTTTGGTGGTCACTGCTTCCCTCCACAAATATTACCACCAATGACCCATAACATACAATTTGTGTCATTAAACGCTATACGAAAACGTCTAGTATCCGCTCTCGGGTCTAAAGGCTCATGAGACAGCCAATTTTCAAGGGTGATGTCCTCCTGGCCCATCTTCAAATGAGGTTTCGTTTTCCGTGTGGAGCACAATTCTTCTATCCTGGAACCCTTCACTTTTAAGATGCTGATGCGACTGCGCATTGACTTCATGACGGAACAACATGCGCAGTGCTGTGATCGAGGTTCCACTACAGGGAGCCTTTGAAGAGCGTTGAGGGAAACAAGCTTTCTGTGTTTTCATCCCTACCTTAGCACATACCCAGTCATGCAGGTACGTTTCTAAGTCACAATCACCCACTTATTTGGTATGGTCGGGCTGCTGTTGATAAAGAGTATCGGGAACAGTGTATACTATAAACACTGCTCTTCTGCATCCCCAATGATCTCAAGCGCCGGGGTATCGCCGGCCATCTGAACTAAGAAGTTGGGCAGTATTAAGTCCTGCAAAAATGTTATTGTATACAAGACAAGAATACTTGTGATAGCGATATCGATTCTGACCGATGGACGAGCAATATCAGAAAAAAAAAGTCTGCACTATTAGTCGCATAAGGGAAGTTCAACGTCTGAGAGGTTTGGAATACGCCCGCGTCATCGCTGTGAAGGACACTACAGGTTCTTATGAATGATGACCCCATTACAGAAGATGATTCATTTACTGAATCGATGAAAGGATACCATACTGCGGTTGTCAGTCTCTCAACCGTGTTTCATTGTACTCATTGACTATTCGCCAACTCTAGGCATTTGCCTTTAACAAAGAATGGATTCGACACCACAAGATCACTTAACATGTAGATGACACACTACTAGTAGTTAAAAGTATAAAATATTGCAACTTGTTTGGCAATGCCTCCCGTGTCCACTCTACTCCACGCATACAATCAAAAACAACGCTCAACAGTAAATTGCAACGAACACTACCATACTAAGCCTAAAAACTTTCTGCAACTCTAAAATGGGTAGGGTAATATCAAAGTTGTGCCCCGGAGATGGGAGCAGCACAAGCAGTGAAAGCACTGGTCGTCCCGCAGCATCAAGCAGCAGTTCTTTCCAGCAACAAAGTTCTGGATCTTCTCATAATTCGGCTGGCGCTCCTCCCCAGCAGACACAGCAGACACACGGCGCTGCTGCATCTTCACAGTATTCGGGTGGCGAACCTCCCCAAGAAAATTCTCATTCCGAACATGGGTATACTGTGCCTTCGTACAATTCTGATGCCAGCAGTATTAGTGCTTCCACAGCTCCGTCTACTTCGTCAAGTTCTTCACACGAGTCCAAGATTTACGCCCCTTCGCAGCCCTCTATCCACTCTGGCGGCTCTGGTGTCCCTCCACCACCAGAGAGAGCCTATTGGGGACCAACCCACGATGGCAATTGGTTGCACACGCCGCCTCCGAGCAGCAGCGGCAGTAGTAGTGATAGCTTCGGGGAGGGGCCATCGAACCCGCGCTAACCTTCCTTTGCACAGTGGAGCACTTTACAGTCGCTGAGAATTGTAAAAGATTCGATTTGACTTCGTGGGGAGCCATGGTATGAATATTCAGCCTCAGATATCTATACTAGCAAGACTACTCAGCTCTCTTGTTGCTGACTAGGCGTGACACGTCTACTTGAAGTAAGAGTTTAAATGCTTGTTACAGTTATTTCATCGTTGAAAAAGTAAACACCCATCAAGAAATAACTCATCCCCCATATTAAAACGCGACTTCAGTGCCGAATGCTGGACAAGTATCAAGACAACGAATAGTATGCGAGGTCATGTCTGAGGTGATCAGGTCCAACATCTTGGGGTACGCATACTGGAACATATTTTTCCTCAGTCTCCTTTCTCGTTTATTTCTTCTTTCTACCCATTTATTTTCTGGTTCAATGCCCTTGGGTTCCTTCATACAACTCAGACAGCAACCCCCTGAGTGTTTCTAGTTTTAGTCGTCATCGGACACAGTGACCGGGCTATCTGGTCCGGCATTATCAGGTGAATCAAGAGTCAAATCAACGATGCTCCCTCTTGGCATGCATTTGGACTGCTGATTTGAGTCGATGCAACACACAGCTCCATCGACCTCCATCGGCTCCAGACTCTTGTCCGACTCCTGCCCACTCTCTCGCCTCCTAGCGGTCTCCCGGATGAATTCGAGTTCGTCATCCTCGATATCTGTCACAGTCGCTTCGTATTCCGGTTCATCCTCGTTTACTGCCTGTTCTTCTACCGGGTTGACTCTGTCCCTGCTCTCGAGCCATTTTCGAATATGTCCAAACAGAACTCTGACGACAGACGGAGGGAAGGCATTCCCAATCTGTTTCTTGGTATCTCGGTTCGAAAACTGGTAAGTAACAGGAAACCCGTTCATGGTAGCAAGCTCGCGCAGAGTGAAGTCGCGCCTTCCGCGCCAATGGTAATTGCCATACCCTCCATGTGTAGTGATGCATCGTGTAAGAGGGACATTTGGGTCCCAGGACTTCTTGTATCGATTGTGTTTCTTCTCGTGCATTGTAGCATTTGGTGAGATCTTCGCCAGAGCTTGTGCGACCGTGACATGAGGCTTGAGGTTGGACTTCGGAAATGGGATTCCGGTATGAGTAGATCGAGGGAATGGTGGAAGGTTCTCACCAGGACAGGCGCCTATCATGACGAGCCTATTGCGCCTCGATGGTAGGCCCCAATCACGGAGATCTACAACTTTCCAACGGACAGAGTAGCTGAACTGAGTGAAGCCCTGCACGAGAGCATTGAAATAGTGCTCGAAGCGAGGGTGGAGGATGCCGAAGGTCTGTTCCAAGGTAAAGATTCGGGGCTTGAGTTTCTTGACCAACTCTCGACACGAGAACAAGACGGCTATGTTAGCTTCATCATTCACGCCTGGCACTGTGTGAGCCGGAGACCAGAACTGGCAAGGAGGCGACAGATGCAAAACATCCACATAGTCCCTTCCCCCACCCCAGACCAAATCCTCGTGAATGAAACTATAAATATCGCTTTCTCGGAGATCTGTCAGAGGGAAGTTGTGCCGATGTGTCATACAAGCGTATTTTGCATGATCGCATGCCACTCTAATATGAAAGCCAGCTTGCTGGGCACCCAGAGAAGTGCCTCCTGCACCACAGAACATATCGCCGATGGTGTACCGCTGGCCAGGCTTCTTATCAGTCCAGTCGGGATCAGCATCAAAGTCCTCGTCAACATCTTCAATAGCTTGCAAGTCTTCATTGGTGTTAATGTTATATGAGCCACCACGAGCAATACTGCCGCGCCAGGCGTTCAATCGCGCGCGATCGCTGACTCGACTGTGATCTGTGGAAGCCTCGTGGGCTGCTAAATGGGCGATAATGTACTGCGAAGGAGCTTGCTTCTTGCCACGAGCTGCAGAATTCTTGTACACAAGGCGGTACTTCCAACGACAAGCAAGCATGGCTTTCTCTTCGACCTCATCAGTGCCGTGGTAGACACTTGGGTATCTGTGGCTGGGAAAATTCGAGTTGGTGCAATGAACATCACGGAGTCTAATCACACTTTCCACGGGGACTTCAACCGCAGCTTGCTCCTCGTCTGGCCTGCCATCGTCGGCGTCGATTTGGAGGATCTGGCAGACCTCATTCCGAAGCCTCTGCAGCTGGCCTCGGAGGTTTCTGGTCCGAGTGAATGGCAAGCCGCGGAGTACTGTCGTTGACGAAGACTGAATGATGTACTGAATCTGGAGGAACGATGCGTGGTACAAGTTTGTGATTTCCTCAATCTCCACCACCACTCTTGGCTTCAGCAGAAGCTTGTCGTCGCCATGCAGGATGAATGGTATCTTTTCACTCTCGCTAACAGGGGCATTGCGAACTGGCGATGGAGGCCTCACTTGTTGGTTGTCCTGGTCAGGAGATTCCGTCGCAGGTTCATCGCCTGTCAAGTCGATCACTGTCGCGATTTCTGAGCACAGATCCCCTTCTGTCGTCTCCTCGTCCATGCCTGATGACTCAGTCTTGGCAATGCTGACTTCATTGCCGGTGTGTTCTTCATTGCTGTTGGCCGTGGTCTGGAATTGACTCGGCGCTCCTCCCAATCGAATCCGTTTTTCAACAGAGGCTTGGATGTCGTCAAGGGCTGCCTCCTCCTCTTCCTCATTAATCATGCATGTTCTCAGCTCTTGCTGTCCTACCATATTATCCATCATCTGTGAGGAGCTCTCCGGGGGGATTGTTGGATAACAGAGTAAGCCAATTTGCTCCATGTAACGACAGCTCTAAGAATCTCAGATCTGTGCATAGTCTCCACTACCATCTTGAAATTTAGTAAACTATTGATCAGTCCTAGCTACCATTAAATTGCGGGAATCGCCGCTCGTCCCGAACATGTGTGGGAAATGGTGAGCATGTGTCGGACAATGGCTCTGCAAGTTGCGTTAATTCGTGGATAAAGCCTATCAAACAACGTTTGCCCAATAAACCAACCCAATCGTGATCGCTCATGTGTCCCTTATTTCTGCATCAAAGACTTTCTTAATTGGAAACGTCCTGAAGCTGCCCTCCAATGCGCTGGTTGGTCGCCAAGGGCACAATATGATGCAGAGCTGATTCACCCGTTTTCCTGAAACGATACATTGCAGTGAGTGGCCATTCATGCTTGTTTAGCAAGCTAAACTAAAGAGTTTGCCCATTCGCTTACTCACTCAAGTATAGCGAACATTCATCAGGTTACTCGGCTTGGAAGGATACATCACACATTCCACTGGTAAAGAGGCTTTTGTCCGGATCCAAAACGGCCCCTCTGATGATTGCATTCAACTATTAACGATAGCAGTCTGGTGTTGTGAACTCGCAGAATGGCACAGGCTCTTTTCCCACGTTGCATTCGTGCAGGTGATCCATGCAGGTAGGTCCGGTACACGGCAGGCACATGACACGATGGGGTTATTCCCCGCATCCAAGGACGCCGGCTGCCGAAGCCCCTTAGATATGACCTGAATTTCGGCAAAGTAGAGTTTCGGCAAGAAACCTTCTTGAGAGATATATTCACTTCTATTACTGAAATGGGTTCAACGGGCCACCCGAACGTCTTCCGGGTCGCAATTGTCGGAGGGGGTATCGGGGGATTGTTTTGTGCTTTATCGATCCATCATCACTGCCAACGGGCAAAGGTCCTTGTCCGTATTGATGTCTACGAGCAGGCAGCCGAGTATAAAGAGATCGGAGCTGGTGTGGGACTTGGGGTCAATGCGGCTCGGCTGATTCACAGGCTGGGACTTGGTACCCAGCTCAACGCCATCGGCGGTGACCGTCGTGGGGTATGGTTCAGTTTCCGTCGCTTTGACAACAGCGAAGACATCATCACGACCGCACAGCCAAGCCAAGGTGAGGTTCGGGAGGCTCCTTGCGCTAGATCCAATCTCCTCAACATGCTGTTGGAAGCTGTGGAAACCCGACAGGCAGCCACACTGCATAAGAACAAAGCCTGCATGACGCTTGAGGAGCAAGGGGACACAGTAGACATATGCTTTCGGGATGGCAGCAAGGCTACAGCGAATCTGGTGGTTGGATGCGATGGGATACACTCCGCCGTGAGGAATCAGTTTGCCGATGACAAGCCTGTCAACAGCGGTACGATTGCCTACCGAGGAGTCGTACCTATTGCTTCACTCACAGACTGGCCCTTCCAACACTACAACAACATATGGGCAGCGAAGCACAAGCATTTTCTGACGTATCCAATCACCAAGAATAAAGACATGAACATTGTTGCGTTTGTAACCAAAGGCAAACGTGAAGTGTCGGATGTGAAGGAGAGCTGGACTTCGATTTGCGACAGGAAAGATGTTAAAGAGGACTTCAGGGAGTTCGACGAACCAGTGCAGCAGATCATATCCTTGATGGAGGAGAAGCCAAGTCGGTGGCTCCTCAACGATAGGGAACCACTTCTACAGTGGCATTTCCTCGAGGGCAAGGTCGTAGTCCTCGGAGATGCTGCTCACGCCATGCTTCCACACATGGGTGCAGGTGCAGGACAGGCCATCGAAGATGCGTGGATGCTTGGAAGGGCCTTGAGTGATCACCTGTCACCATTACTAGAAGAGAACTCTTCCTCAACGTTGAAGTCTGCAATGCAGTTTTTTCAAGACCTCAGATTGCCGAGGGCTCAAAAAGTACAAGCAAACAGCAGGATAGCGGGGAACACGTACGAGATGCAGACAGAGGAGATGGCGCCTTTGACTTACGACGAGTGCATCCCGATTCTTGCCGAGCGCACCAAGGAGCGGATGAAGTGGGTGTGGAACGAGGATATTGATGAGGCCTACGAGCACGCCAAGAGTGAGCTCAGATAGGCCTGATTCTGCTCAGAACTTGACATTCCAAGTCATAAATGTAGTACTGCTACAGCTTATGTACCGTATAGAATTCCATCAGTGCGAAAATGGAACCTCTCCGCTAACCCCCATACTGACACCAACAGCCGTGCAGTCATCCAAGTCCTCGACCGGTAGATCGAGTATGTCATTGTGGAGCGCTCTGTGGGATGCGTAGTCACCGCCCCCGTGAGGGACAAACGTGCGGCTGTATAGCATCTTGGTATATGGCCCCCAGTTGCCTTCTTGTAAGGCTGCACGGCTCTCTCTCCATCGATGCTCAGCAGACTCGTGTGTAATGTCCCAGTCAGAGTCACTGGTGCCAGTGACACGCTTCACACTCTCGAACATGTCCCGCTGACTCAGTCTGAAGCTTGATATGTAGACTGAGCTATTACGAAACTGTGACAAGGTCGGAGATTGATCGGCCTCATTGTCGGGAAACTCCTTCAAACTGAGAAGGTTGGCGATAGCTCTACCGCACTGAGGCCATGTGCTGGTGTTGATAGCTACGTTTCCATCATCGAACAGCACCAAGGATCTCTTCTGGAAGTCGAATCCGTAGCGGTTAGGTCCACCGCCTAGGCTGAACTCGTACCAGAAGTTGCAAACAAGAAAGATGTATGAACTGACACCGAGGCCTTTTATTTCGGCGCAGATGTTGTCGCGGATGGGACCAAGCATGGTGTCGTTGCATAAATCATTGTTGGAAGCATCATGGCCATACCAGTTTGGGAACACATAAGACACGTCAGCCTTTGCGGCGGCGCGCAGAAGTTTGCTAACGGTGTCCCTGGGTGCAGCTACTGACATTGTGATGATCAGGACCTGTTGACCCTGCAGAGTCCGCACCAGATCAGCATCATCATTGCTGCCGTAGTCAACGCGAACCACCTTCGCTCCAGCTGGAAGGTTGCTGGTGCTTCCGGGTCGCGTAATTGCCGTCAAAACATGCTTTCCAGTTTTCAACAAAGCTTCTGCCAAATGCTTTCCTACCTGGCCACCAGCCTGTTACACATAGTCAATTATTGCCATCCTCGCCACAAGAATCAGAGTCATCACGAACACCAACAATAGCAACCTTCTCAATATGGTTGAAAGGAACTCCGAACTTCTTTTGATTATTGTCCCCAGGCATGGTGGTCTTCGGGATTCAGACGAATGCGATGCGGACTAATACCGGGTGCTTTCAACTGCAGACTGTATTGTGTCTGGATTAAGAAATTATATTCAATACTCCATTGATGCAAAAAGATCTTGGGCCAAGGACAAAAAGTATTAATACATCCTCGGGTGAATTGAATTGACAGTCAAGCCAGCAATCGGTCATGGGCGGAGATATCGGCATTTCCTCATTCGGGGCAAGCGTCGGGTCTACGTGATTCAAACCATGGACTTATGCCTAACTCCAGCGCCGCGATGACAGCACATAGCAGGATGATACCTATCTCATTGATTCAAGACCTAAAGGCTGATAAGTGATCTCATTTCAGGGTATTAGCTACAGTCAGCGCGGTTCTCAACGAAATATTCAATGTCCCCAAGCCGTTCACTGACAACGCTTGCTCATTCTGCTTTGAAAACCCTCAGCTCAATCTCAATCATAATTCAACTTCCTTTGGCATCTGTGCCTATGGGAGCAATAAGCAAGATATTTAGACTAATTAAATCATCGTAATCGACAACGGCTCTTGGTTCATAAAGTCCTCTTCTTCATGATGGACTACTCAAATAGCCAAACTTGAAGTCAGTGGAAGATCTCTGCTACTCGAGCCGACATAAATACTGTATTGTCCCTTTTGAAGAAGCCATTCCTGGGAAGTCGTGTCCCAGATACTCAAGTCGCGGCGCGTCAAGTCAAAGTCGACAGTGGCGGACTGGCCGGGAGACAATGTGATCTTTTCAAACCCTCTCAGCTGTCGGACGGGTCCAGTTGGTATGCCGACATAAAGCTGTGCCACCTCAGCGCCTTCGACGGAGCCGGTGTTGGTGATAGTGGCAGATACTTGTGCGACGTTATCCCAGAGATCAGCTCGGCCGCCCTCGACAACAGGGCCGGATGGATAAGCTGTTGTCTCTGCGCCTTCCACGATGGATGACTGGATATTTGAGAAGCTGAAGGTAGTGTAACTCAGGCCGAAGCCGAACTCATATCGTGGGGTGATATTCTGCCGATCAAAATCACGGTAGTCAATGTAAACGCCTTCCGAAAAGTCAGACTGAGGAAACTTGGAATAAATCCCCTCTGGCAATGACGCATCTGCAAGGACTCCGAAGTCGCTCTCATTGCAAGGGACAGAGTAAGGCAGCTTTCCAGACGGGTTCGAATCTCCATACAAGAGTGAGACTAGCGCCCTACCAGAGTCCTGGCCCGGGACGTGGGCAAATACCAGAGCTAACTTTGTCAGATGAGTTCCTTTGTATAGGCCGAGTCCTTCGTCTTACCTGTGATATTCGGGTGATCGATGAACTGGTCCACCAGACGTACCCCTGCATTGTGGAAAACAACGACCGTGTTATTGCACTGTCTTGCGACCTTCAAGATAAGGTCATCCGTGAAATCATCGCGCAGTCTAATGAATGAAGGTCAGAAACAAGAACGTTGCATTATTTTTCATCGGCCATGCTTCATACCCTGGGCGATCTGCGCCTTCAGTAGCATAGGCGTTGACATCGACGATGCAAGCATCAGACGACTGATCAACGGCCGAATCATTTCCAAAGTGGAAGTCCCACCAGAGGTGAGTATCGTCATCGTAGGCGCGCTGGCTCAAGGCTTCGAAGCTCGAGCTCAAGTATGCCGGCTGGTTCGCGCCGGATCCGCCGCCTGTCAAAAGCGTTCCGTTAGGGGCTATCTGTGAGCGGGGACCAGTATAGGTGAAAGCGGCCTCGACAGGAGAGACAGACTCTGAGCCTGCATTCCAGCCAGGGACACCCTGTGTATATCGGTCAAAGCCTTTGGCAGAGTACCCAAATAGGGAGATGAGTTTTGGGGATTCCAATGGCAATGCATTGTTGGCGTTCTTGAGAAGAACATGGCCTTCTATGGCACCTTGTAGTAGAATATTCTTGTTGCTAGGATTCGTACCGATAACTCGCTGATGAGGTGCAGCCAGATTGGACGGCATGCCAGCACCAGTGGGTGGGAAGTCGGTATCCTGCTTAAACTGGAACCACGATGCGATAACCCTTGGCTAACTCAGCAGGAAAGCTTTGACTCCTCGCACAGAGGATACTTACCTTGTCGCCATGTCATCGACTCTAGACTCCGGGACAGATCCGTTATTGACCGCTTCGGTTAGATTATCTCCCCAAAAAGGCGAGGCACTGGGCATGACCATGTCAAGACCTGCAAGGGCTGTCGCAACACCAGCATGTTGAGCACCCCAGTCAGAGACAACAAACCCCTGCTAAATTAGAGTCTCAACTACAGAAGAAGGGGTAGGTGTCCCACCTGGAATCCTAACTCCGTCTTGAGAAGCCCATTCTGTGTTTTGCTGTTGGCACAGCCGTAAGAGTTGTTTATACGATTATACGAGCACATGATCGATCCGGTTCCAGCTTTGACAGCATCCTGGAATGGCCTACGTGGAAACTTTAGCACGTCTTCGTGTGTTGTTAACTCAAGTATGTAGCTTCTAACTTACCACAAGTATAGCTCGTGCATCGTCTTGTCGTCAATGTTGGAGGAAACGGCACTAATACCGTTACTGCTGTTAGGGTTGCGATTTGTCTCCTGTTCATTGGCGATAAAATGCTACTTCATGTTAGCAATGGTTCGAGTGGGCGGCGAAGTCACTTCTGGGTTTACCTTCGTACTTGCTGTCACGCCGACTGACTGCATGCCTTGGACGGTATCGTACGCCAGTACACCAGCAAGGTAGGGATCATTGCTATAGCCTGTTGAGAGGATTAGAGAAAGGAGTCGGTCGGCCAAATTTCCTTCTTTACAAACCTTCCCAGTTTCTACCGCCAGTTGCGACTCGACCCAGTGGTCCCACTACTGGCCCTAGAACAACCTGGACTCCTTTAGCTTTGAACTCCGCGGCCATTCCAACGCCTCTTTGGTGGGTGAGATTACGGTTCCAGCTGATGGCATGGTCGTTAGAAAAACTAATTTCAATATAGCACGTAAGAAAGACACACCTGGCACCGACCGAGAATCCAGCGGGCCAGCTGGACACAAAGTTGGTCGATCTGAGACCGCTCGGTCCATCACTCAAGCATAGACCTGGGAAGTTGAGGCGCGGAATGGGGTATATGTTGCCGGAGCAAATATTGTCGCCGCTGAAGCCGCCAGTGAGGTTGACCTAGATGATGGTATTCAAGTTCAGTCTTTTGTGACATCAGTTTTCCCGGTGTGGACTCTACTCACCTTCTCCTCCAAGGTCAACTGAGATACGAAATCAACAGCCTTGGCATACGCATCCTTCCAGTTGCCAACTCCGGCCCCGTTGGCTGTTAATGCTGTTAGCTTTCTCTACACACGGGATGGGGACCGGTCCTACACACGAGAGGGGTAAACCGGAGGTGAGTGGCCATAGAAAGCTGTATCTTCTGAAATTATATCCTGAGCTACCACCTGCTGCGCCGCCAAGTAGACGCAACCAGGCAGGGCGAAGGCAAGTGCGGACTTCATTTTCAAGACCGTCAGATGGATAAAATCGAGTAAAATTGATGACCCAAGACGCAATACCCGCTATCAATGACAGGATGGCCATTCTCTATAAAGATCCGGCTGAATACATATCGAAGCACGGGAGTCTCGGGACTCGTTACGCGGAATGACTGCCGGCCGTCGCAAATGCACCACCACCTGCATAGCCAATTCTTGCCATTCTGGGAAGCGGTATTGGCAGAAACGTTACCAACTGACAGTGTAGAGGAAGGCACCAGTGGTACGTTTATGGCCTCATGACGCCATGGTCAACAAAAAAAACCGCCTAGCTCGCAGCTGCACGACGATTCTATAGGGAAACGCGGGCAGAGGCGGGGGAGGCACAGATGCACTATTGGGACCAACGTAGTATCTGTTTGTGAGCCGCACCCAATTCATGTAACCCCGTGGGGAATCCCTGTCCCGCCCAGAACGGTATTTGCTCTCGGCTGCGCGTAATTCCCCGGCGTCCGAACCAAGTAGCTTGGTTCACTGCTCTAGCCCGGATTGGACTATACCGCCGTGGAGATTCAGCCAAGGTATTCCTATTCAATAAGATAGCATCTGCCTAATTGTCTATGGTATGGATCGGTTATTTGAAACCTTTGCAGAAGATTCCGTCATCAACTCTGTCTTTTTTGTGTACAAAGGCAGGACTCCCGTTGAAGATGAGATGAAATAAGCTACGAAAGGAGCGTCCTCGAGGAGCAAATACCAAGTAACAAGATGACACCACTCGTTGCGGGGAAAACCCGACCGTGGTGCTTACCAAGACTTGTCTAATCCGACTCCATCGACTCGTCGTCATCAGTTGAAGCGGAATTTGTTCCGTGCGAAGAACCGATCGCTTTGCCAGTAGCACTGCACGGCCTGAGAAGGACGGGTAACAGCATATGCTCCCCAACTTCTTCGTATCTAGCGCCAGGCCAAGGACGATCCACCATGACTTCTGCGGGCTCCCCGATCTCAAGAGACACTGGCGTCCGGTGATAATAATGGTCAAAAGGGCCGCCATTTTCGAGCAGGATTCTGAAGTCTTCCCAGCGATTATCCACAGGGTCTGTGGATTGGGCCATGTCTACGGGTGGGAAGATATGGTAAAGCCACCGCAGGTGAAGCGGCTGGCCTACCATGGGAACTGTGCGGAATCCGAAGAAAACCTCGATGCACCGCCTGACTCCGTGGGTACATTGGCCCTCCTTCAAAGAATCTGTAGGGCCCAAATATACTCTCAACACGGCTCCCACTAAGTCTGGTACACAAAGTGGTTCAAGGGCCAGAGTACTATTGTTGTAATCGACAGCGGAAGGCCGCGAGGTCCACCTAGCACGTTGGGCCAGTGGTAGGAATGCGCTCGTTACGCGCCAACCTAAGTCGAGTGTTTTCAAGGGGTGTAAGTCCCGGAACATCAAAATTACTCCATACTTCGGCAGCTGCGTGGCGTCAGACATCGGTGTCCTGGTGAATCGCTGGATAGGCGGAATCCAGGCGTCGATATCATCCTGGGCCCATGCCGCCGATAGACACAGCGGAACAGGTGGGCTCAGCACTCTCTTGAACACACCACTAGCGATAGATCCTTCGAGCGGTATGCATAGTCTCTGTCCACGGAGACCTCGCCCGTACGTATGGCTTGCCCAGCTGACATCAAGGACACCATAAAACCCCGTCAGCGTCCGTATGAGGGGCAGGCGTATATTCAAGCCTGCGTTCGTCAAGGAGTAAGCGGACTTGCGCCAGTCCTTCTTGTTGGTTTCCACTATACTTCTTCCTCCTAGCTGGAATGCCTTGGGGGTACTAGCCAGAATCCCATCGAATGAATGCGAAGAAGACCAATAATGCCTCCAACAGAAAATGGTGTGGTCGTTGGTCTTTCGCAAGATCTCTTCTTGGAGGCGGATGAAGGCCCGGCTACCTTCACCGTACAGCAAGGGCATGTTGATGTCGAACAAGCCCAGCATGCAATAGGCGAGGTCTTCTGGCCGAGTGGTCGACCTCTTGGCGACCCAGTTCATCTTTTCTGCGACACAAGCTTCGCCTGGGCCCAGGCCCGTGAGGTATCTGGTATCAATGCCAGTTGCACGGCTGATGGCAAGGTGCCGGCTCTTCTTGGAACCCATCGGCTCCCAGTCCCTTGTGTAGAACTCGAGTTGATGAGGGGCCAGAAGCTCTTGGAGCGTCCAGCCTCGTGTGAACCACCGGCTCCTCTCGAATAGAGGATCCGGGTCTGTCTTGGCCACGCCTACAACATCGAACAGATAAGCGAAGCAGATGGTGCTATTACGGTACCAGTTGAACATGGAGTTGATTGCCTCGGTCAGCTCAGCGGAGCTGGTCTTGTCGATACAGTTGGTGTCTACCCATAGATAGCTCAGCCCCTGAGAGCTGGCTAGGAAGCAAGCTGCCGTGATCTTGTCGTAGCCTCGCTTCCGGAATGCAGGCGCTAGATCTCGGCGGTATGTCTTCCATTCATGGAGACTCACCTCCTGGTTTTGCTCCCAAGTGTGGGACAGAATGGCGTAGCGAGGGATCTGATCTCCCAAGAACTCCTCCAGCTCATACGACTCGGTGTTGATGAGTCGCATGGTCGACGATCCCGGGTCCCAATAGGTTGACTACCCAAGTCGTATGTAAACGAGAGGATCCCGAGGACTGCTGTGAATTTGAGCCAGCCAAGCAGCAATGTCAGCTCTTGTAGAACTACCTAAGCAGGACAAGGTAGCCGCTGCGCGACCCCCTGTTGGCCCAGCCGCTCTCACCTCACCGGGATGGACCTCAGAGAGGCGTACTTGTTCAGCCGCATATTGAGGATTTGCCCAGGTGGGAAATCCCTTGGTCGAGAGGTGGCGCAATATGAAAGTCACCCAAGAAATCACCACGATACGAATATTGTCCATGTTGGTTCAATCGGTCTTTATATACTTGAAAATTCCCACGAACGCCCTGAGAGAGACACGCCAGGGAGGCATCCAATCCAGTTCGTAATAATCCAGTGTCGTCTTGATGGAGAGAGAACCATCACGCTGAAGGTGCCCCGCCATCGCGTGAAAAATTACCCCACCATTTGCGATTGACGCCAAACCCTCGAAAACTGTCGCTCGCATCCAGACAACAACAAACACTCTCAACCTCAGAACCGTGCCATTATCGACAACGATTCCTCCCAACACCAGCGCCCGCCATGTCCTCCTCACCCCCGACCTCGAACGCGCACCCGGAGCTCCGCGCCTCGTACAGCAACGCGTCCACGACCCCGGCCACGTCCTCGGAGCCCTTCGTCCTGGCCGCCCCGCTCCCCTCCGTCCCGTCGTCATCGTCGTCGTCGTCGCCGCCGACCGCCTACCTGGCCGCCCTGCGCTCGGCTGTCGTCGCGACCCAGCTGCAGATCAACGAGGCCCTGACGGCGCGGATGGAGGAGGACAAGGCGCGCGAGGCCGCGGCGGCAACCGAGGGCGGCGCAGCCGCGGCAGGGAACAGCGCCAGCAATAAGAAGCGCCAGAAGGGCCCCGCGCCCGCGGTCGACGAGGACGCCGAGGAGGAAAACTACGGCGAGGAGGTCGTCGAGGAGGACTGAGAGGTCGGCAATGGAAAGCCCCCCTCCCACGCCCCCAAAGGACCGACTGAAGAAGCCCGAATGGCGCGGCAAAGTGTTATCATCAATGAGAGTTTCGACGGGCAACGATTCGAAACAGCCCCCTTCTTGCTTTCTTGCTTGCTCTATGAACGGGTATAGCCTGCGCTCTCTTTTCACTATTGAACACCCCTCCACCGACAAATCAAGAACAGGCCAGAGAGGAAGAAACAATGCCATGCATGCGATATACTCCATGTATGCCCAATGCACCACCCCCACCGCTCCCAGCCTCTGGAAATCACAACATTTATACACATGAGGCCCAAAACAACTATGTACTTCGTCCCCAGGCCCCGGCAACGACCCTTCCGGCACTGATACTCCGTGCTCCTCCGGCTCCCTTCCCGCTTCGGCCGAGGCAGCCGTAATGGACCACCCCGTTGTCGGGCAGCACCGCAACAACACTGTTGCCCAGTCTCTTGTGGCAAACCCCGCAAACCCGCTCCTCGCCGACCACCACCCTGCGATTACGGCCTCCCTGGCCTCCGGGCACACCGTCACCGAGGAGCAGCAGCGCCTGCGTGTCGACGAGCAACGTTCGTCTCAGGCCCTCCATCACCCTGGTCTCGGCCAGCCTGGAGTTGGCCGCCCGGATGCGTCCGCCAAAGTAGGATTCCAGCTTGCTGACGGGGAGGTCGTCTGGAATGACGGACAGAGTCGACGTCGCAGGAAGGCGGGAGCCATGCTTGGAGAGAAGATCCAGAGCCGGGGCTAGGTTAGGTTCGTACGGGGACGGCGGGGTCAGGTAGAGACTCAATAGAGTCTGGTAGATGGACGGGGTCGAGTCCGGATCGTCCAAGTCTGCACCATCGTCATCGGTTTGGCGTTGCTGGGACGAGGACGGGCGAGACGATGCCCGGCCGAAGACTGGTGACGTCGGCGATGATGGAGACGCTGGAGGCTCAAGCTGTGCTTTGTGGATGCGGTTGCAGTACCTTAAAGCAGGTCAATAATCAGTAACGCTGGGTGAAAGGGGGGGTGGGTTAAAGGGCACGTACTCTTCCGCCTTGGCAAAATCTTGCATCTTGAATATATAGATCTCCAAGGCTTGCTTGTGTTGTCCCATTCTGCTGTACACAACCGCCGATGCTTCGTAAAAGGCCGGATCTGGTCACTGGTAAGTACTCCACGCGTCAGCGATAGGGGTTTGGGGAACTTACCATCCCTTGGGATCAATCTGTACGCCGGGCCCAGACTATACTGTCGGCTGTCTCGGAGGAATTGCACCAGCTTCTCCATGGATTCATCGCGATCGTCGTCGCCCTCGGTCTTCTCTTTCAGCATCTTGATGCGTAGTTCGACGACTCGGTTATGGAAATCTGGCGTTCCGTCGCCTAGTTCGTCAATGATGTGCTCAAGGTATCTGATTTCCAGGGATTCGTCGATATCTCCCAGGTATTTCACGACGCGATCCCTGGGCAGGGTCTCTGCGTTCTCGGAGTCCGCCAAGAACACCTCCATGCCTGCATCCTGGTCTCGACGTAGTACCCAGTCTGCAAACTCAAGGATCAGATCGATGAGGTCGGGCGGCAGAGATTGCAGGTACATGACTGTGCGCTGTGTACCACGCAGCTGAGCGGGGATTTCGTGGGGGTTGATGGGAATGTCCTCGGCGTCACCATTAGGCTGATCCTGCTCATGAGTATGGTCCACCCCTTCATGGTGGCGTTGGTCATCTTCGTTGCCGGCACCCAACTTGGGCTTCAGCCATTTTGCCAACGTACCCTTCTTCTCCGCATGGCCATCATCATCAGTCGTGCCGAATCTCCTTAGTAGAGTCAACGCCTCACGATGTAGCTTCTTGCCGTAGAAGAAATCCACCAGTTCACTATACCGGTTGGATTGCAGCAGCTTCTCGTTGACTGCCTTTGGGTCACAGAAGTTGGGTATGCGGAACAGATGGCCGGCCAGATTAGGTTGGGAGAGCATGTAGACACGGAACAAAGTGGTATCAACCAATGTGAACGTGTCTCTGATGGAGGCCTCGAGCAGCTGCTCGGAATCTAGCTTCGACGGGTCCACGAGGAACGAGGTGTCGATCTGGGAGGATGTGAAGGGGTCTCCAAGCGAGGATGTCTGTGATTCCGACGTTGTTGAGGATTGACGTTTTAGTTTGCCCGTTTCCGGATCGAGCACCCGCTGCAGACGCGCACGTGTCCCAGAGAGGAAGAACTTGAGCTCCCCCACAGCTTCCATGAGATCCTTGCCTTCCAGAGCCGCTGGCTGGGCTCCGGCTGCAGTCGGCTTGGGTGCTTTGATGCTGGCAGCGTCGCCATTGTCCGTGGCTATTGGGCCTTTCTTGGATGCAATAGAGGCCGTATCCGAGTCTGCCTTCTTCACGGCTCCGCCCAGTGGCCAATACCTCGCAAATCCACCTGCCCTGGTCGGAGACGCTGCCTGCGCCGCGATAGACTCGTCCCCTGGCAGCTTCTCCCCGTTGGCCTTGTCGTTGTCGTCGTTGTCCGTGTTGTCGTCCTCGGACGATTGCTGTGGCGGTTGCTGCTGGGGCTGCTCCGCTTGGTGTTCCTCAGGCTCGGGGGACGATTCTTGGTCGTCCTGTCCTGGTCCGGCCTCGGCGGATAAATCGCCAGATATCTCCCTCGGATACAGCTTGAGCACCCTCTCTGGCGGCGCGTGGACGTCGTCCTCGTTGAAAAGGTCCAGACTCTCTCTGTACTTCTTGGCCCTGAACAGCATCTCTGCCTTGCGCATCTTGACCTCGCGCAGGGTTCCGGTCTTGTCCTTCAGCAGAGCATCCTCGAGCATCCCCAGCACGCTGATAGCCTCGTCGTACTTTTCCTCCTGGATGAGCCCGGCCACCTGGGAGTCGTAATCGGTCGCATCCATCTTCCAGACGGCGCGGTCGCTGCTGATGTGGAAGCCCTTCCCGGCATGGGCGAGGCTGACGGTGGGCGGCGGGAAGTGCAGCTGTGCAGCACCTGGGAGGCTGATGTTCTGCAGCAGGCTCAGCGTATCGGGGTTCCACACCTCCAGGGAACCCTTGGCCGGGGGCTGCAATGCCAGTATGTACGGGTAGCTGTAGCCAATGCTGTCGGGGGCGCTCTGCCAGGGGAGCTGCCTCTTGTCGAGTGGCTTCCCGTCGGCGTCGATGAAGAGCGAGCTGATGTCCTTGGCCAGCAGCATCTGGCCCTCTGCCAGCCTCGTAGCCAGCGGCCTGGGCATGTAGCCGCCCAGCCCCATGTAGCCCATGCTGGCAGCACCAAAGCGACTCCCCTGGCCGGCCGCGGCTGCGGCGCCGGAGCCGTTGATCTCGGTGGTGGCGGAGGTCTCAACATCGACCAGCACATAGCCCGCGTTCATGCCGCACACGACCTTGGTGGCAGTGGCCCAGGTGACGGAGCGCACGGCCTCGGGGAGGACGATCTCGGCGACGTCATCGCCGAGCTCACTCTCGTGCCAGCTCCACAGCAGCAGCCTCCTCTTGACGGCGACGGCGAGGCGGGAGATGATCTCGGGGATGCCGGTGGCGGGATCCTTGACGATGTTACTCGTGACGGCAAAGCAGGATGCGTTCTTGGTGCGCGCGAGAGTCTCGACGAGCTCGTAGGAGGACAGGTCGTGGAGCGAGACATGGTAGGCGGAGAGCGAGACGATGGTGTTGGCCTCCTTGATGATGGCGAGCTGCTCGACGGCGCGGGTGGAGAACTTGTCTACCTCGCGCAGCAGGTCGGTCGGTTTGGAGCTGGGCCGTTGCGACGTCGGGTCGGGCAGGCTGGTGCCGGGCGCGGCAGAAGACGGGGGGTTGGTGGTGCCATTGGCGTCGGGGGCGGCGAGGGTATTCAGGCGGTAGATGCGAAGGGCGCCCGTGTTGAGGCCGACGAGGACTCGATCGCCTGGGACAGGGCAAGGTCAGACGAGGCAACGGACGCATTGAACGATCGACCATGTACATGAGAACATGGACATGGGCATGGACTTGAAGAGACGTACCATAGGCGAGGATGGTCTCGATCCTGGACTTGTCGCGCTGCTTGAGCTCGATGATGGGCCGAGCCGTGAAGGCGGAGAGCATGGCGCCTTGCTCCGGGGGGACTATGTCGGGATCAACATCAGTGGTGGCGCCGGTTGGTTCTTGTCGCCGTCGCCGCTTCTACCGGGTGCCGAGTGGCATCAAAGAAAGTCAAGCAAGCTGTCGTTGTTTTTGGTTGTCTGTCGTTGCTGCTGTGGTCGGGGTTGGGGTTGGGTGGGCGGCATCATGGCATGGCGTCTCTATGTCATTTGACCTTGGCCCGTCGGCGTCGGCTTCCCCAAATGGCTTGGGGGGCCCTGGGAGGCCAGCCTTGGGGGCCGGCAGGGGGGAGCTTTGCGCCGGGACCTCCAGCCCTGAGGCAGCCAGTAGCTAGCTACCGGTACCTATAGGTACCCACCCAAGTTGGCTAATTTAGGCGGGCTGGGCTCGGGTACCCTTAAGTTACACCTATCTTTCCCAAACAGCCCTTGCCAGTCCACCGGAAGTGGAGGCCATGATGGCATGGCTGCGGCCGGGGACGCCTTTGGTGGTCCACGATCTTGATTGGTCGCGTTGGACGTCTCTCTGAATGCCACCAACACAAACCTCCCGTCACCTTCGTCGGGGCACGTACTGGTTACCCCTTGCCTCTTTGATTCCGACAGCACGGGTGCTCGATGCCCTCAAGGCCCGGGGAGTTCGGAAGGTAGAGTAGAGCATCCACAGCGGCAGAGCGCAGCAGTGCCTGCCACGAAGCAAAACCAGGGCTGATCCGAGGCACGCGTATTCTATAAATATTGTCAAGATGCTGTATAAGCCGCCTTGAACCCGCTTTTCGGTCGGCAACATGCCCGCAAGGGAGACAACAACATCAAAGGAGGAGGCTTAACCTACAATGCCAGTCTTTTGCCTAACTTGGACTTCCGCTGCCGAGGACATTCCCTACGTATTGTATCCTGTCAGTTCTAAACGTTGCGATTACTCGATGCGGTCCTTGCTGGCCAAACCCATGCCAGCACCTTATCCTCTACGTTCTTATTATATCTCTGCCACGGGAGACTTGTCACACTTGGCATTCCATCTGCACGGAGCATCTCTGTCTTTTGATCGGTTATGTCCCCAAATAAATCAGTATCATAGCGTGTGTGGCCAGAAATATGCCAGGGATACCGCTACTCTCCGCACGTAAAGAGGTCAACTCTCGCACATGTATACAGTTATATATTGTCGATCGCTAAAGACTGGCGATTCTTCTAGCTTGCATCTACACCATAACCACTTTCACAAATACGTTCCTGTTCCTTGGCTGCCTCAGTTCATATCCATAGCAGACCTTTCACTGATTCGTCCTCCTCACTTTACTTTCACTATGTACATCAAACTTTTCACCTTGTTGGCAGTGGCTTCTCACATCGCAACGGCTCAGGACAATGATGCCCAGACCCTAGCTCGCTACGAAGACACCGGCGAATGCTACTGGTATAACGGCATCCAGAGTAATTCGGCAAAGTCCAAACAGCCCTGCGAGGAGTGGTGCCATACTCACTTCAACCCAGAGTCTGCATACGGCGTAAGTAGGAATGTCTCTGAATCGAACCATGTTGAGAGTTGACGGCTTTTTTGCTTGTCTAGTGCACAGCGGCCCAGTACGGAGATGTCGATCTCTCGATAGTCAAGCCGTCGTTTAGGGATGACGACGGTCTCAGCTGGATCCCGGCCACCTGTCAGTGCGATGGCCTCGATTTTGCATTGGAGATATTCGACGTTGTTGCCCAGGGACTTGAAGCGATAGACTTGATCTGCAAAGCCGTTCTGTCGGTTTTGAACGAGATAGCTCAGATCGGGCTTGACTTCGTACCCGGCGCCGGCGAGGCCAAGATAGCCTATCAGGCCCTTGTGAAGGGCGCGAAAACCTTCTCTGAGAACGCCTTTGAAGCGGCCGACTTTTTCGGGGGCTGGGTCGGCCCTGCCTGCGGGGATCCCGGCTGGTCGGGCGACATCTTCACCCTTTTGACGGGCGCCGATGACTCGTTTGGCACAAGTGTGGGCTGCGTTCGTAGGTCCAGGGGGTGTAACAAGGCCGCGCCAAGGCGAGACGGGCTCAAGAAAAGCCATGTCGTTCCGACTGGGAACACATTGAAACGGACCGAGGCACCAGACACCAACTCGCTCACCTCTGGCGCAGCCTCCTCCTCACAAGCTCGCAAGGTGGCCAGACAAGCTCTGCCTCGAGGCCAGGGAAGCCAAGTTTGGCGAGGAAGAAACCGACATGGAATGTGAAGACGAGATCACCGTGGGACACATCACAAAATGGATGCCAAGAATATGATGTGGAAATACCCCATCTAGTTGCAAGTTTTGTTCACAAAATTAGTGAGGCGGCATGCTCCAAAGAGCTAGACTTGCCACCTCGTCACTTGAATGCGTACCACTTTAGTTGGCATTTCCACCGTTCTATTAAAGCCTGTGGACCATTTAGAGTTCGCGTAGAGCCAGTGACCGCTTCGAGGGGTTGCCGGCGCAAGTGTCTCGTACGGCCTCGCAAACTTAACCCGCACCCAGGTACAAACATAAATATTAGGTGTTCCCTCATTCCTTCCATCATTCCCATTCTCTCTAAGGCACATTATACCCTTCAAGTGGAGGGGGAGGGAAAACGGGGGGAACATGTAACTGCATTTCTCTAAACGAGAAATCATATTCCGTTCTTTTCAGGGAAACTACCAGTGAACAACCCTGACGGGAGGCTGAGGTCGCCGGTGGATATTTCATTCTTTCGAATGTAGGTCCATGACGGTACCCATAGAAGATCTGAGACCACTGCTTGTGATTCTATGCATTCAGGGCGGACGTCACATGGTGGTGGGCTCCGTGGAAGCATATGTTATGACCTCTGGGGATCAGTACTTTCCTGTCGTTATAGTAGCCAGGTGGTGTAATTAGGGGATTTGACCCGTACTACTCCGATTCGGCTCGTAACCAGTACAAGCCATAGACCGCAGAGTTTTCATCTTCAGTCAAGGAGAAATCGCGACGCAATAAATTGGGAGAGACTCTCGGTCAACGCAACGACCAGCAAAAGTTGCATACAAAGGTTGTCTGCTAGGCATTGAGTTGTCCAACAAATTGAGGTTGGGGGAGGCTCAAATGGAGGCATTTATGCCAAATGTAGGCTCTAAAAATATCTTATCGTATCAGAGAATTATACACTTATATGATATATAATTGCATTGAACGACTGCAGAGCAGGTAAAGTCAGTTGAATAGAGTGACCCAGCTCTTTGAGATGTTGTCGAGAAAGACTCGGTGGGTCCCCTCCAATATTGGCTTACTCGACACATGGACGATGGTATACGCGATGCGACTACTAGAGTGATCCAGTTGTGATCATATCTACGTGATGATTCTCTATAAGCGACGTACGACTTGTGGCAATTTACCAGCGTTACGGGAAGTTGATGTTGTGCGCCCGAGGAAAAGGGAATTTGTTGGCTAGGGTGTGAATCGGTGGCACTCGGCATGGTCCGGGGTAAATCAGAGAGGGCTTGCTTCACAGCAACTCGCTTTTCTGTTTACCGTGTATCAGACTGTCATAACCCAAGATAGTAACTCTATAATTCACGGATCCTTGAGTGCCGACATGACAAGGCGTTAGTACGGCAAGCCTATACTCACGATTGACTTCCGCGACCAATGTGTTCCGAAACATATTCCAACGAAACGCAACAAGGTATATTTATTGCCCTTCCATATGTGTTAGGCTACTTGCAAGGAGCCTATGGGCAAAAAGACGCTCAGTTAGCTACGCCACGGACCTGCCTGTAGTGGCCCATCGGAAAGCCGAGGCCCATGCGCGCCTGACCCTTCACATCTGTAGCATCAGCTGTCTCCTTGCTCAACACTCAACTTGTGACCCCTAAAAAGCAAGTACGGCCTACATGGCGCGCGCACCAAGCCGTAGTGATGGGCCAGATTCCGTGGCTCGACGTGTCGGTGCCTGTGTCATATCCTGACAAGCTGTGGATATACATTTGTCACACTAATACGCGCGTGAGAGCATGGGAATTGACTTGAGTTGATCCTTGAGGAGCTACAAATGAAATGGGCTGATGAGCCTGCTATATAGGGGGCGATCCCCCGGATTGATGTTGTTCCGCTCCTCTATATATCTCCTATATTGTGACACATTTGATTCTGCAATTATGTAGCAGCCACTTGACAGTTTACGACTGCGTAACTACCACCCTCGGCATTCTCAGGGCGGAATACGCTGCTAGCCAGCGGCTGCAGCCGCTACGGCCCTAACTAACTTCCACACTAGCACGGGCCAGCCCGTCCGGGGTCGTCGGCTTAGCCTTGACTCCCAGAAAATCACGAATCGCTGATGCACTAAGTTAGTTGCCAATGTATGTAAGTTATATACTTGATGAGCTAGTCAATCAAAGCATCAAGGTTTACCAAGATCCCCGATGAATTCTGTTGGAGTATTGCGACCTTGTCAGTATTTCACCCTCATTATCCTGCTCTTGGAGAGAGACATATCTGCCAGAATGACAGGGCACGCACGGTCTTCTGTGTGTAGATATCTACCTAGGCGTTCAGCCTGCCTCGGATGGCAGGGTAACAATGACTTTGCCTGATCTGGCCGTTCTGTGCTGAAATATTCAGTTGGCTGGGCGCGTAAATTACCCCCGATTCTCCTTCAACTTCGAGGCGTCCTTTTGTGGCGATCAACAGCTCTCTGCAGTCGAGCACCTCAATCCACGGTCAGCTTCGCACCATTGCGGCAGTACAATCCGTAAGGCATTAGTTGCATCACAACCTCACCTATGCCGCTTGACCGTCTAGCGAAGATGGCACAAACGGAGCGCGAGGAAGAGCGACAGCCGCTCATCAACGATAATCCCCTGCTGCAATCCTACTACTACTCCCTGGAATCGCGCATAGGATACAGACTTGTACTGGGAGGCACTCGCCACTTCGGCTACTGGGACCATGACACCTACTGGCCGCTCCCCATGTCCAGAGCCTTGCGCGCGATGGAAGACAAGCTCGCCGAGGTGCTCGCCCTCCCGGCTGGCGCTGAGGTCCTTGACGCTGGCTGCGGAGTGAGCCATGTTGCCCTGCATCTGGCGAAAAAACATGAGCTCCGAATAACAGGTATCGACGTGATTGACCATCATATCGTCAAATCGCGTAGGAATATCGCAGGCTCGGGCTTACCGGAGGGACGAGTCACTGTGCGGAAGATGGATTACCATCATCTAGAATCGTTCGCGGATCAATCTTTCGATGGTGTCTACACTATGGAGACTTTTGTCCACGCGACAGACCCAGAAGCGGTGTTGGCGGAGTTTTACCGCCTGCTCCGGCCAGGTGGAAGAATTGCGCTTTTCGAATACGACCATAACCGGCTCGCAGATGAGCCAAGTGAAATGGCCCAGTCGATGCAACAGATCAACCACTACGCAGCTATGCCCACGAACCAGGTCTCCGACGTCGGTGTCTTTCAGCGGTTTCTAGAGGAGGCAGGATTTCAGGACGTGGTTGTTCGAGACTTCTCTGACAACATTCGCCCGATGACGAGATTCTTCTTCCTCCTCGCCATTATTCCCTACTACATAATCGAGTTATTCCATCTAGAACGCTTCTTCATTAATACTGTAGCTGGTGTCAACACTTATCTAGGACGTGGGCGGTGGCGTTACGTTGCCATTACAGCCACCAAGCCTGGAAACACAATTGAGGCTCCCAAGAGGAAGTAGGGATGAGAAGCAAGCATAGAAAGCCCTGGGAACTGGTTGAGATGCCAGGCAATTGCAGAGATCCAGCGGACCAGAACTGGACTCGCGATGATCACATTGGAGTTGAGAGCATTGTCATACGCTTTCATCATTATTGTCACTTTAGTTTACCGGTACCGCAAGCCGGTTATCACTCACCCAAGTCCAATAACAACAAAGGACAACAAAACGATAGACGAGATCCGCGCAGCAATCAAACAGACTGTCAGTGATATAGATTGGGAATCTTACAACTCCCCTTTGCTAAACATTACGAGACACATCCAAATATGGACCTTGGAGTTTGGCATAGGACTCCGGTAGACTTCCTCAGCGGCCCAAGGTGGCGCATCGAAGCACACTAGGCTTATTATGTACGACTATACTCAAACACTGTCTTACCTAACCTAAGGGCACCTCAAGATTGCCGGTGAGTTCCGCGTGTGATTGTGTGAATATTTTGCTTCTTTTCTATCGGCCATCCGGTTCTGTGATGTTTACTTGCTAATGCGGATATTTATGGTACTACTTACCGTTCACACAGGTTGAGTCAGCCTGCGGTCCGCATTGTCTTGGTCGTCTGATCTGACAAAGCCTACGTACTGACAAAGAGCCAGCCACGCCTTCGCACAAGAAGCAATTCCCCTTAGTCCACGATGAAGTATCTTGACCTACCGTGCATCAAATATGTACGCTATACTGCTAGATCTATATTCGGGAGCAATGTCTTTGTGAAAAATGAAACAACGCCATAGATGCACCTCCAGTATTAATACACCGCCTTACCGTGACCAGGCGACCGTGCGTAACTGCAGTATGGTGATGCACATATCAAGTTGTCTCGTCTATGAAGAAGCAGCATGTCCCAAGAATGAACAGAAAGAAGGTGATCAACACTGATCCACTATATAATCTTGCCTACCGTCGTCGTACTTGACCTTGAACTCACTCAGTATCAGAACGGAATGTGATAGACTACGCACAGCCATAAATAAGCCCGCTGATCCGAATAAACCATCCAAGATGACTTCAGAAGACCGTCACCAGCCCCTCACCCCAGGGCGCGAGTTCTGGATCAACACTCCTCATCGCATTCCTTTCTGCATTTTCTACGACGAGAACGACGATAAGGGTTCTATCGTCGCTACCATGCAGTCAAGTGGCTGCATTTCCACCGCCCGCTTCGATTTACCTCTCTGCCCTAGTGTCGATCCCCAGTACTCTGTGCGACACCGCAAAGATTGCGTATGCTTGATTAATGGTTTGCAGGGACAGTTGAACCCTCCCTCGGAGTTCGAGACGCACCGTCGAAGGTTGCTAGCTGCCGGCCGAACCGATTTGAGCGGAAGTTATGCGGTATTATTGGCGCTGTGGATTGGCATCGACGTCGGTGAGTGGGATGAGGGGCTCACGATGGGAGGAGGCCAGGAGGCGGAAGAGGAGAAGAAAGGTGAGTGAGTGAATACCGATGAAGTTGCCAGGTCGCCAACTCTGACTTTCCTCGGATTTTGGGAGCTTGAAGTTTGCTTCGATGTAGCTCCTAGCAAAATGAAGAGGGTATTACACGAACATTTGAGACAACGTCAATATGTGATCCACCAACCCTGGTGACTTGGTAATATCGATTGTGTCATTTTGTTTATATGTGACTTCCAGTCCCATACACCACTTATAACTGTCCCTTACTCTCTGAAGATTTGTGTTGGAATTCTATCACTTATCTTAAACCTAGTTCATAACATACATTCATTGACTATCAAGCACAGGCTAACTTTCTCTCACGATCTTGGTGACAAAGTTCGCAGACTGAATGCGTATACAGAATTAATGAAATGGCTAATTGTAGATATGGGAGTCCATCACTGCCACCAGTGTACTATAAATTGGGGCGTCCTTCCTCGGCTTGCTACCTTATGCCCAACAAAACTGCAAGGATAGCAATACAAACCGACAACACACCTGAATCGACCACTACAACAAGAAGAAACTCCGGAAAACAAAATGCCTCGGCGAAGTAGCAGCCACCGCAGCTCCTCTCATGTCCGACCGATGACAGTCGACTGGCAGTCTCCTGGTCGGGTCGCTTCCGGCGGTAGAGAATACTACTATGGCGGCTACAACCCCAACTCCTTCAGGCCCTCGGACGTGTTCATGGATGCGATGCGTCTGAACCAGCGTCAGAGTGACTCGGCTCGCCGAGTTCGACCGAGAGATGTTACCCGCTGGGCCGAAAACAGCAGCAGGTTCTGGAAATAGACATTGTTCAGGATGGAGGATCTAGGCTCATGGCGAACCAGTGGGCAAGTCGTCAACTCGATATCGACACAACTCCTAAGCGTAACTATAGCTGACCATTTTCGTTTTATCCGTAGAAAAAGGCCCAATCTGCATGCTTGTATCTCAGTTTCATTGATATTTCTACAAGCCTCCGTCATTTTCTACCCACCGATGCAGCCATTGACCCAGCGTGATGGTCAGGCTTCATATGAAGGTTCTGGGCGTTCGAATGAAGTTTGATACGCATGCTCCTTGCTACTCTTGCAGACAGCCCATATCTCCGCCGAAATACCACCCTCCATTCAAGTGGCGAGTTCAGTTTCTTCAACAACCAAACCGAACCAACTGTTCTACTACTGCCCTTCCCACTGCACGGTCATAATCCACAATGTGGACCCTGCTGGTTGCTTCGCTTCCTGGAAGCTGAACCTGGGGTCAGCCGTCTTGAAGAGGTTCTTCCAGTCGTCTAGTCCACGCTCGTGGGGGTTCTGTAAGACCTTCATAGTAAGATCGGTGCTCCTACAAAGTTTTCATTAGCACTATATGAGAGGGGGTGCAACATGGTCTTGACTGCCAAGCGTGGGTTTAATCGGATCATCTTGAGCGACGTGCCTTATGCGTGCTTCCTTCCAGTTAGACATACTCCCGGGCTCCGGCAACACATTATCATTCACCACAATCTTCGCCGCGGTCTTAAGCGCGGTAACAAGGTGTCGTAGGATACGAATGTAATACTTGTCTGACCAGTTGTGTAGGATCTGGCGCAGGAGATAGACGTCAGCATTGCGGACTGGTTGCTCGGTGAGGAAGTCATGAGCCATGAACATTATGCGGCCGGCGACATCGGCTGGCACACGACTCTTTCTTTGGTTTACAACTGGTTGGAAATCCTGTACGATGGATTCCAGGTTTGAAAACTCGTGCGCGAGGGCAGCGCACGCCTGACCCTCGGAGCCACCAACCTTGACAAAGTGTTAGTGGGTGTTTCCATCTCCAGATAAAGGTATAGCAGGGCTTACGTCTACAACCGTTCCGATCCCAGTATTTCCCCAACAAAACTCATGCACTACATATTTGAAGTCTAAATCGCTGCTTCAGCCCAGTGCTGTCATCGCATTGGAAAATCGATGGCCTCTCTCCGAGTGGCCAGAGAAGAATTCATACATAAATTTTTCCGTATGGTTGGCCAAAGAAAAGCCCTAAGAAAGGTGAGTCTCTAGAATCTGAAAAACGGGAAAAAAAAAATAAGAAAAAGAAAAAGGAGAGGGGGTACGTAGATCACACGTACCGTTTCCGTGGGTTCTTCAGATTTGGGATACTTGTCCATGACGTTACACGTCTGGGATGCTGCAGGCCAGAGATCATCCACGTTTGCTGCGACCCAGTCGTGGAGGACTTGATCCTCAGCTAGCAGTCGCGATGGCGCGGTGTGCGAGAATATTCCCCGTCTTTGTTCCGTGAATATCCCTTAATTAACATAGCTAGGTCAGCGAGTCTCCCCTTCAGGCCATTGAAGCTTGACTACGGAAATAGAGCAAAAGGTCAAAGGATAAGAAAGGGGGGAGAGTTTCACCTTGCAAAGCAGCATGACGAATGATCTGACGTATATCAGCTTCTGTAAGCCCTGTTGACCCGGAAATCTCAGCTGCGCTCGCCTCTTTGCCAACAGGGAACGAGTGAGCTAAGCGAAAGCGGGTGATGGCTTGCTGGCTGAGGAGCTCGTTGGACCATTAGTGGGGAAGAAGGGAGAACCGCTCATGCCAACGTACTTCCCACGGCACAGCAAGGCCTGATCTTGTGGCCCGGCGGGCAAACCAAACGCGACATCCCTTGCTTTGTACCCAATACCAACTCCGTTTCGGGATCAAATGTAATCCTACGTTGCGGTCGTGGTGGTATCCAATGCGGCAATGGGGGGCCAAGGTCACATGGGAATAAAACCGAAGTTCAATGTTCCTGGTCATTGGGTGCATCTTTAACCAATGTGGTGAGGAAGGATAGTAGTACAATCTGCTACTACACAGAGCGTAATTTCAAGACTTTCCTTAGCACTGCTGCTCCCAGCCCTGCCAAAGAGACATTCAACGGTTGGCAGGCTGGTACACACCGCAGTTATCCGAGGGGCTGGGAGTGTCTGATGTTCAACTGTTGGGCGGCGCATCATTCCATGAATACGGGCTGTTCGAGGTTGAGGATAGTTTGAAGCTTTTTTGTTAGTACTTTATCTTGGCACGATGTTGATACTAACGAGGCAGGAATGGTCTCTAGTGAAGAAACGAGGACATGACACGTTCACTTATAGTGTGCCAGGTAAGATGGCAGCTTGCATAGCAATCTTGAAATGTACAGTTACTAACAGATTGACTACTACGAATTATTTATACTTCAACACAGATTACCTAATGCTAATGCAGTCCTAGGAGCGAGTGAATGGATAATGTAATATTTACATCAATGTCGACAGAAGGATGGTATCTGGATATTGACATCAGTCTGCAAGGAACATAAACACTCTGGACTGGTCCGGGAGGAGAAAAGGGGGGAGAGTCCGGGCTTTGTGCTCTTCCCTGCTGTTATCATTCCATGAACTAGAAATCTGTAGATCCATCAATTTCTATCGAGGCGACCTCCAGGTGCAGAACGATTGTCCAATGTTCTCGGGTTCGGAGAAGAAAAGTTCAGCTTACTCTTATCCCGATGAGCGCGTCACAAGAACGACTGGTATTATTCGGCTCGATTATAATTTTGGGTTCTAGGAAGTATTCCTTATCTGAATCAGAGCTCACGTTCATTGGTCAATTTCCAAACTCTGTTCTGAACATGGGAAGCTTCTCATCCGAGTCTAAAGCCCTTTAAGTCCGTCTCACATTCGACACTGCAGTTTCGAGCGACTCGCGGTTCGGCATGCGGGGATAATATATGCGACACGAACGGCCTCATTCGTTCCTCCGAATTCCACTGCACTTGTGGCTACTGGACATGACATAGCTTCGGTTTCGGCTGGAGTACCGGGACTCGTACCACTTCTCACCCCAACTGATTATAAATCAATCTATCAATGTAAGCTTTCCCGCTCATGTGGATCAAAAGCCAGAGACAGCAGGCTATATGAGCCATCATCCGTTTCCAGATAAGTTTGCTTGTCTCCCAGTCCTGTCAGAAGCTACTCTCATATCTTAAAGTCTGCGACGCCCCCAGAATGTCCTCCTACGTCCAGAAGAAGTTGGCCTCCGGCTCCAAGCTACACATATTCGTCACTGGAGCCACAGGCTACATCGGGCATGTCTTCACTGAAAAGGCCATCGCCGCCGGCCACTCAGTCTCGGGCTTATCAAGAACTGAGTCCGGTGACGCCGTTCTCAGAGCATTAGGTGCCACACCCGTCCGTGGAGACCTGACAAGTCTGGACGTCTTAGCCAGAGAGTCCACCAAGGCAGATGCCGTAGTGCACCTGGCTTGGGTCCACGACTTCGCCGCGGACCTGCAAAAGATAGCCGACGGGGATATTGCGGCCACCGACGCCATGATGGAAGGTCTGGCCGGCACGGGGAAACCGATCGTGACGGCGTCCGGCTGTGGTGGATATGAGCCGACTGCCGACGGGTCGCCTGCCACGGAGGAGACACCAAAAAGGAAGGGAACGCCGTTCATGGATGCGCGGAAACGATCCGAGGACAACGTCTTGAACCGCACAGACGTTCACGGCGTGGTCATCCGGCTGAGCCCCTACGTGTACGGCCGAGGGGGCAGGGGCTTCCTGATGTTGTCCATGAGCCAGGCGCTGAAATATGGGGAGAGTCTGTATATCGGAGAGGGGGATAATGTGACTAGCACGCTTCATGTGGATGATGCGGCCGATTTGTACTTGAGCGCCATCCAATACGCCGGTCAGGGGCAGCTATATAACGGCGTGTCATCAAGCGAGACCACATTGAGGCAGATGGCCGAGGCTGTGGGTGAGGTCATGGAAGTTCCTGTCAGATCTATTTCGTTTGGAGAGGCCGCTGAGAAATGGGGCGAATTCCTCGCGTTCTTTAACGCTCTCGAAACCAAGGTCTCTTTTGAGAAGGCGAAGCAGCAGCTGCACTGGTTGCCGAAGGGTGTGCCCTTCTTGGAAGACATTGTTCGAGGATCGTATCGTGATGTGGCAGCCCAAATGAAGGCTGAAGGGAAGAAGAACCTGCCTGCCATCTATGGCTTCGGGAAGAAGGAGGACGGGCGGGTCTAGGATCGAGATGCTTGTGTGTTGAGGAAGCACTGGGAAGGGTCATCGAGTTGTATTATTTTCATACCGACCTTTTGGCTACCGTGACACGTCTAAAGTAAGAGAACCAGAACCACGCCTAAACGCCGGTGCAAGAATCACTACCGTTCCCGCTCTAATGTCCTCCAGTGGTAGGTAGCTTTTGACGGTTAGTGAAATGTGAGCCAAAGGCACGCACGCAGGGGAGAACTTACACCACAGTACACCTTGAAGGAATCATAGATCAGCCACTGGAAGGCCGTCAAGGTACCAATCATGAAGATTCTGACAGGCAGTCCGTTCCACAGCCCGGCGAACCCAATGTTCTTGTATATCCTGCCTACGGCACTCATGGCAGCCTCGCCCGACTTGCGGTCGGCGTTGAGCTTGCTGACCATGACATCGGCGGGATGCGAAATGACGGCACACCCAATGCCAGCAATGTACCCACCCAAGAACGAGACGCCAGTCTGCTGGAGCGCATTGTAGGACTCCTTTGGCTTGCCCAGTTGCTTGTAGATCATCTCGACGGCCTTTTCAAAGGTGGCAAACTTGACCATGGTGTAGGGGATCTGTCTGGCCCACAGGGGATACAGTCCCTTGTACAGGCCGGCCACCCCCTCCTTCTCGACGACCTTGCTCCACCCTTCCCGCAATGTCCTGGCATAGGGCGGGTTCGTGGTCTGCATCCGCACCTTGATGGACTCCCACGGGCACAGAGCCATGTCGGCCAGAAACTCAGCAGAGGCCGAGGCTCCTAGGTAGACCAGGGTCTTGGGGGCGTTGGGAAACATCTTCTCGCCATAGTAGTACTTGAAGACCTCGTAGAAGCCGTACTTGCCGGCGCCCTGAAATGCGTAGCCCACAAAGGTCGGCGACCAACCGGTGAAGACGCCACGGAGCCCCTCAGCACTGTATATCTTCTTGAAGGCCTGGGCATTGGACTTGTACAAGGAAGAATCGACCTGGCGGCGGCATTTGACGAGATCGAGCGGCGTCACGGAGGTGTGAGTCGGGCCGCATGCTGCAGGGTTGGTGTTAACGCGCGCGCCCTACATGTTCCCAGCGACACAGGCCCGAGGCTGAGATGGTCTTACCGATGATGCCGCCGAGGGTGCAAGCAGCAAAGTACGTGGGCGAGAAAAGCTCGATCTTCTGGGCCGGGGCGCCGGTTTTCGACTTGGTCGACATGGCAACTGATATGGGGATACTACAGTGAGTGAGTGAGTGAGTGGAGATGTTCTACGAGCTGCCAGACTGTGCACCGAGGGGCCGAAGGTCGAAAAGCAATTGAACGAGGTTGCACGGGGAAAAGTCGAGCTGCTGGACACGGCGCTGGGCCAGAATACAAGTATGCATCTCCTGTGCTCCGAGAGCTCCGTTATCTCGGGGCTCGCGTTGAGGCTCGCTGGTACGTCGTCACGCTGGAGCCGGCCAAGGGGGAGCTCCCAACTCCCAACCTGGAACACGGCATGGTGATGTCATTAATCCATGGCTGTTACTCAGCCGCCAACAATTCGGGGGCCGGTGTTCTGCAACCAGGAAACGCCCTAGGTCGGAAGATGCCTAGTTTCGGTAGGCGCTTTTGCTTTGACGGTTGTGGTCCACCTTCGAGGTTTGGAGGCGTGTGTTTCGCGCGGGTTCAGACAGACGGTTCCAGGTTGTGACGCCAGACCCGATGGCGCTCAGGTACTGTGCCTGGGCCATGCAGGTGGTTTGTGAAGCCGACGGACGCTCCGACCCACCAGCCCACAAGCTGGCGGAAGGCTGGAAGACTGGAAGACTGGAGCTCGCGGGGGCGCGAAGCCCGCCAAGCCCGCCAAGGTCGACCCGACGCGACCGTCGAGCAACGGCCTTCCGGGTATTCTCTCCACCTCGACGCTGCACGCAACTCGGGTCCGACGACAGCTCGAAGCTTTCGCGGGCACGAGGACGAGAAGACTACAACACGAGTGCAACGGGTTCTAGTCTACTCACGCAGGGTGTGCATCAATGCCTGGATCGAGCACGGAGGAAGATCGAATGCCGGGTCAGACAGCCTCTGTCATTGAGACTATCAAAGTAACCACAATCCTAGTCATGCCTCACGAAATCGCCTTCCTTGTCCGCAGTGAAGTGAACCAAACCATGGCTGCGAAGCACGCCAGAGAACCCTTCTGCCTTGGAAGTCTCACAACATTCCCAAAAACCCCAAGCTTACATTCTCCGGCGTCACTCGAGAATAGTGGTTGGGAGAACGGCGGATCGGCCTTTTGCCTTTAGGCCTCGCCATCGTCGGCGGCGGCAGTAGCAGTCTCCTCGCCCTTGTCCGCCTCCTCCTTGACATGCTCCTCCTCGGAAGCCTCACTGACAGTCTCCTGACTCTTGGCCTTCGCCTTCTTGGGGGTAGCTCGGCGCTTCTTGGGGGCAGGACTGCCGTCGCCGAGCTCGTCGGCACCAGCGTCAGCATTGCCGGCCGCATCGTCACTGGCTGCCTTCTTGCGCTTGCCGCTGCCGCTTCCAGCAGCCTTCTTGGGCGCCTTCGGGCCGGGGGTCGAGATGGCACCGTCGGCGATGTTGATGTCGGGGAAGGCCTCGAGCAGGCGCTTCTTGCATGCACGCCACGAGACGCGAGCCGAGTCCTGGCTGCCGTAGTTGGCGGCGCCCGTGAACTTCTGCATGTTGATCTGAATGATGCGCATTAGCCTGTAGTCAGAAAGCTGGGAACATGAGGCCAAAGAAACTATCGGATCTCAACGCCGCCGGCTGAGAGATGAGATGGGATGAGGTCCTCGGGGGGGCTTGCAAAACCAGTTGCCTCCACAAGTCAGGCTTGTCGTTCTACACTGACAATGGCCCGGTGCTCCGTTCTAGCAACTGATCAAACATCACCCGGTGGTTCAATATGACTGGCGACGCCGGTCAATGAAATACTGAGCGCTGACCATGTCGCCAGGCCGGAACCAGGGCTAATGAGAAGTCTCCGTCGAACCGTTACATCTCCGTGCCTGGGCCCCAGCCGTTGGTGGAAGGCAGGAAATGTAGGAATACAATAAATACTGGACCGGACGCGAGGTCAGGACTTACCGTGGGGTTTTCCAGGCACTGCCAGGCGATGACCATGAGCTCCTGGTCGCGCTCAGTCAGCTTGCTGACCTTGGGAGCGGCCTTGGTAGCCTTCTTGCCCTCAGCAGACATGGCGATTGATAGCACCGTCTTGTAGATGATGGTACTCTGTGAGGGGAAGTGTTGGTGATGACGCGAGGTGGCAATGAACAACTCGGTGATGAAACAGAATTACAGAGCCCCGAGGGATGATGTGGTGAGCAGGTGTATTGTGGTAGGTCGAAATGGGAGGGGTTAATGAGAAGAAAGAGGAGGATTGGATATTAAACCCAGACGACTTATGGTGCTGGGACGGAAACCAGGACAATCCGCGTGGGAGACTGGAATATCGCGATTGTTGGCGGTACCTGTCGTACGGCAACCCGCTACTTCGGTGATGTGAGACCTCGATTCACGATGCAGAGGACAATCGCCGGACTGGGCCTTGACCAAAAAGAAATAAAAAATTAATGATTACTGTGATTTGTCCCAAGCTATGACTCTGTCTGAACAAAGCCGGCCGGCTTCCATGTTACCTTTTTCACTCATGGGATTTCATGCCAGTCCTACATAGACATTAATCCGAGGCATTAAATTCCGAGCAGTGGTTGCTGTCAATAATAGCCACCGTTTTCTCGCACACCAATGCTTCAACCCCTATCATAGCCTAATGCGTCAGCACGTGTCAAGCTTGGTGTTTTCCCCCTTCACACGGACCATAGGCAACTCCGTGGGCGGACTTTGTCTCTAAAATCATAAGTGAATCTTATGATTTCAATCAATAGATCTCGGATTGTCTTCCATAACTCCAACGGAACTCTAATTTATTGTCGTTGGCATTACTTATCAGCTGTTCGGCTCCTGCTTTGATGGAGGATTCATGAATGCATCATACAAATCAACAGCTCCCCTTTCATTACATCTCGCTGATATAATTCGCGCCAGTATCTAATCAACATTTCAAGCAGTGTGAATAGGCACGAGGTTGAGTATTGCGCATGGTATAAGAAGTAGCGTTGCGCGAAATGGACTCCGCGCAAATTCAACGGCTACGTGACTTCTAGCAAGTGGACCTTGGTTCTTGGTGGATTCAAATTGAGTCTGCGTTGTAGATAGACTTGCTCTCTGCTTATGGGGGTTGTCTTTTGTACAAGGCTTTGGGCGATTGGATCATTGAGTGTCAGGCAACATCTACATCTAGGTTGCATACAGTACCGCCGCAGCAAGCAAAAGTTTCGTCCGGGGGTATGTTTCAACTTATTCCACCAAGATAAATGCATCGCGTCGTCTGTCACTTTAACGAGTGCTTTTAGACCTTCTCAGTCGTCTCAGTAACGGGCTCATGGTCTCCGCCCCGCTGCTTCTCGAGGACGGCCTGGAGCTCAGCGACGAGTCTGGACTCGCCCTTGCGGGTCTTCCAGGGCTTAGGACCGTCCTTCCCGAACAGAATCTCCACCTCCTCAAGAGTCTTGCCGCAGGTCTCGGGGTAGAAGACGAAGAACCACACGGCGCCAACCATACAGAGCACACCAAAGACGATGAACAGGTTGTACTTGATGTTGATGAAACCCGGTGGCGTGAACATTCCAAGGGCAAAATTGAAAACCCAGTTGGAAAGGGCGGCCAGGGACATGCCCGTGGCACGGGTTCCGAGAGACCAGACCTCAGCTGCGTAGATCCAGCAGACGGGTGCCAGCGTCAGCGCGTAGACGACGATCAGCAAGTACGAGAAGACGATGACAGTGTTGGCAGGCGCGCCGGAGTTGACGGCGAAGATGATGTTGGGGTTACCACCAACGCCCTCGGGGACATCGTAGTGGTTGTGGGCCATCACACCGCCAATCACAAAGTGGCAGAAGCCCATGCCCAGAGCGCCGAGGACCAGGAGGGTTCGTCGACCGGTCTTGTCGATGAAGAGCCACATGACACCGGTGAAGATGATGAAAACGGCATACTGAATGCCTGAAGTGACCATGCCGACATTACCGCTCAGACCAGCCATCTGCGCGATGTACGTGAGGTAATAGACCATGACGTTCGCACCAGCGAGTTGCTGTGAACGGGACGAAAATGTCAGCACCATGTCGCTCGGCAAGATTTCGCAGAGTTCGGAGTGCAGCTTACCTGCCATGCTTGAACCGACATGCCAGCCATGGTGCGCTTCCACATGCCGTTCTTGACAAACTTCCTCCATCCCCGTCCGGCTTCCCGCTCAGCCTGGAGAGTGACGGAGATTTCATCCCACTCGGCAAGAACGAGGGGGTCGCTGATATTTCCGTTGGCCTGGATTCGAGCGAGGACCTCAACGGCCTCCTTGTCGCGGCCAACTTTGGCAAGCCAACGGGGCGAGCGAGGTAAGAAGGGCAGACCCAGCATCAGGAAGAAACAGGGGATGAACTGCGTGCCCCAAGCTGTCCGGAACGAAGCGGCACCTGGCATGAAGCTACAGCCGTATCCAATGAAGTACATGATGAGAATACCAAATTCGACGGCCAGCTGTTGGATAATAACGATCGATCCTCTCTTCTCGGCCTTGGCGATCTCGGCCAGATACACGGGCACCTGGGAAGAGGTAATACCTACCGTAACGCCGTTGAGGACGCGGCCAGCGATCAGGGTGCTTGTGTCCTTAGCCGCAACCTGGACAGCGGTCCCGACGAGCCAGAAGAAGCATGCAAAGAATATGGAGTCGCGGCGGCCGATCTTGTCGGAGATGGGGCCGGCGATGGCCGAGCCCGCAACGGACCCAGCAGCAAGGGCAGAGCCAATGGCCCCCTGGAGGGCGCCGGCCGGGTGGTGAAAGAATTCGTTGTACTGTTCGGTGACGACAATTGCCGACATGGACGAGATATCGAACCCAAAGCTATCAACATGGCTTTAGCACGGGAACTAGACTAGACAAGGTGGTCACGACGCCCGACTGTGACTTACAGCGCACCGCCTAGCGTGGCGATGATGGCCACGAAGTGCACATTATAGATCTTGGGGAAAGATGGAAGCCCCATGACGATGGTCTGCTGATACGAATCTCAGGCTCGCGGTTGGTCTCGGTGGTCCAATCTTGGTCAGTGGTGACCGCAAAAACAACCCCTAGAAGTCAGCGAGCCTCCCCAGAGGGGATAGCGAGCCCTCTTGTATTTACACAGTAGCACAGACACGAGGCCCACCGCTACGGGAGCGACAGCTACGGACGTCGTGTTGTGTTCGGCAAGGAGGGCTGGGAGCTGCACTGCGACGGGAAGCACATGCTTTGTCTGAGATTGATTCCCACGAATCAGAACCTTGGACACTGTGACAATTCACCAGGCCTGACTGGCTTCGGGACTTGGGTAAGGTCTGGTAGCCATTCTTACCTCAGACGTTCGGGGCCGCATGGAGCCGACCCTGGGCACTTGGCCATGTATCCGCACCCGTGGTTGGCTGGCGGCGCAAAGCTTGCGTGGAAGCGGTCCAAGTGGGAGTCGGTGACGGTATGGCTTGTGGTTTGTGGTTTGTGGTTTGTGGGGTTGGAGATCCTGGCGATGGTCCTGGCAGGCCCGTGTTTGTCGACTGGAGATGGGCAGACTCTGGTCAGATCATGGCGGGATAGGTATAGGTAGGCACCTCGCCAACCTGGAATGCACTGCAGCCCCCCGGCTTCCCCAACCATTTCCCCATCCACCTCCATTTTTCTGTCTCTCTCACGCCTGCTGGGCCGGCTCCTGCTCAATGCCCGCGCAACCAAGGCGCCGTGAGCACCCGGGCCACCACCAGTCAGCTCATAGTTGGTTAGTGACCGTGTCTCGAAAACCTGTGGAATGGCAACGAGGCAGCCTGACGTTCCAAGGCCAAGCGCACCAGAGCCTCTCCTTGCAAGTGGCTGCTGGCTCTTGGAGATATGCGGGGTAGACCTGGGGCCACGGGATGCTGCCATTGGCGCGCATATTCGGGGGATGGCAGACTCGGGAACGGGAAGTGGAGTCAGAAAGCTGGACGACGATGTGACTGCCGGACCCGCCTCGGCTCGCATCGAGATTACAGCTCGGTGGCTTGCTGCTGTGTACATAGTAAATGGCCTTGCTAGGTGATAGGTTTCCCTTGGCGACCGGCAGGCAAGCGGTAGTGCTCCACGGGGCCTAGCCTAGCCTCCTCCGGGGATGCAGCATTCAAAAATTCCAGGTTGGTTCATATGGAGGGCCAGAGATACGTAGTAGTTATGAGCGTACGTCTGCGGGTCATATTTGAACCAGCTATGACTGTTGAACAGACAGAAACTTGCAGCTTTGCCGGGGATGGGTGCATCAGCGACATGGAGAAGACCCATCCCAGCAGGGTCCTTTTAGGGCTGGTTGCCACCAGGGATTTCTGGCAGCTCGATCGGCGCGAGATGCTCCGGGTAATGAGGGATTGCAACGACCGCTTCGGGACCCTATTGGTAGGACCAACATACGACCGACGTCCTCCAGTACCCGCGCCTCTCAACACTGCATCGTTTGCGCCGCGGGATCTGTTTCACATTGTCCAACTTGCTTCTCAAAGACGACATAGACCGAGGTGACACCTACATGCGACGGTGGGCTGGTGGCTGCTACGTACATAGCTATTTGCTTGCGAATTGTGTGAGTGGCAGTTCCCTGCGCGGAAACAGGACATTTGCCCAATGGTTTCCAGATGTCTGGGATCCGGAGGCATTGTTTGATATATTGGAGTAATGGAGCCTTGAACGCTGACGCCCTTAGTTAGGCTGTAGCCAGCTTAGCAACCAGTGCTCACGTTTCAGACGGAACCCGACATCGATACTTAGGCCGTTGATCTTACATAGGCACTGCAGACCCCGCGACAGACCGACAGGTCTCGATCTCTGTTCGAACCCCGGATCTACGACCAAAGAGACTAATGGAAACCCGACAGTCTGGATCATCATGGACTTTGCACGTAGATACTCAATACAACCTGTGGGGTGGCATGCATATCTCCACTTGCGTAGCTACAACCCAAGACTTTCGATGGTCGAGTGTTGCATTGCAGTTGGCCCACGGAGAAGCAGAGCCTTGGTTGCTTACTAGGACAGCGCACGAGCGTCTTGGAGGTAGGCCATAGTAATAATACTCTTCCTCGTCCATTGGTTCGCTTGGGTTCGGATGAATGCCCTTTGGCTCCTCTGCACCCGATGAAGATGAATGATACATCGCCACGCTTCAGCTCAGACAGGGCAACTTACTCTATTCAAACACGCCTTGGGTAGGTAGCATTGAAGCATTGCCTCTCGGAAGCCTCGGACCACATGTATGCAAAGAGCTTCTTATCAAGGCGCAGATGCACTGGCGTGATCTCTTCCAGCCTCCATCGCGAACTTAACTTTCCAAGGCACACCTACAATTTCCGCAGTATCTATTTTCGTGCAAAATGTGCAACCTCGTGTCCTGCCCCCGCTACAAACCAGGCTAGATTGAAACGTCAGGAGTCGCCCTTGTCTCTGATAGCTATGATGCCGACTGAAGAAGCTAGATACTCGGTGACGAGGAAGAGCAACCCTGCAAACTCGGCGAAAGTCAATTACCGATGGGGACAGGAAATATAGAGCGTGAACGTAATTGCTCCATTCTTCTCCAAGGGCCAGCAATTCGGATCTCGCGTGTGTCTTCGGTTATGTCAAGCCAAGAGAAACAGACACACGGCCCGCGAAGGATTTTCTGATCTACCGATGATGGTTGTTTAAATACGGTAGGCCAACTTCCTACCGTGAATCTTCTAAGACTCGAGATGCTTGGACAGGGAATGGGCCATCAATCCACGTCCCGCTTTGGTATTTCACTGCCTATAAGTCCCCATATCTCGCCTAATTATGCGGACCTACTAGTTCACACCAACATTAGATTCCAGTTACTTATTTCAAAACAGACTCAATCGACTATTTGCGGGTCTGATGACTGTTATAGCCCAGATTCGAGGCCTTCTACCCAGCTCCTAGAAAGCAATTCGTCAAATCGGTAGGCTGCCCCGGGGACTACGGTGTATACACTACTTTGACAGTCCTTTGCCTAGGTTACTTGTAACTAAACGACGGGGGTGGGTGCCTGGTTTGAAGCACCAACTCGATGGACCCCTTGATGCACACACCAGCTCCCCAATGGCGTTAAGTAGCGTCTTTGGCTGGCAAAACGGCCGATCATAGCGCTGGAGGTGCACCAAAATCAAGCGCGTGCAAGAGCGAATAGTTAACACAGTCGACTCAAAGAATCACATGAATGCCTCAGGATGCAACTTTGGCGGGTGGCGAAGGTTGTGTGCTAGTAACTATCTTATACTTTGAAGGGAGGGATCAATCCTTCGGAAGCCGGATCGCATTTGAACGCTAGTTGGGACCGGACAATACGGTCCGCACATTCCAAGGACTTTTAGCTACGATCTAGCCTGCCGTCTTTCTTCAGCCATGTAGCCGCCTTGACCAGCTGATTGGCCAGCGTGAATAAGAGGTCAGAAGACGGCTGACAAATATGATTCGACATGCTCACATAGGCGGAGGCCCACGCAAGCCACTGTATGTTGATCTCCAGAAACCGTAGAAGTAAACTGAGATGCCTTTTGCGGCAGACGCATGTCTAGCTACCTGTGTGCTCAGTTACGCAAGGCTTTAGACGGGGGTTGCTGCTGGACTTCCCACATAACCTCCAAGAGGCTTCGAGGCCGTGAGAGGTTCTCAGCTTCGGTCATCTTTGTATTGAATAGTCGCAAGGTCGTGTGTGCAATATCAAACTAGCCGAGAGAGTTCAGTCGTTGTCTTTGGGAACAGAGCCCCGGAATATGACCCTGGAAACGTTGTAGCTGTCCTAGTTCGAAGAACACGTGCACGTGAGTCTGGACTTCTCAAATATTGCGAAGGAGGTGCGGATGTAGGATCGTGGACCTTTCAGGCCCCAAGCTTGGCCATTATCATTTGACGTAATCTGGTCTGGATTCCCACACTGGCGTGTTCAGTAAGGCATAGATCCTGCATTGATGTAGCCGTGCCTAGTCCGGAGCCTAAAGGCGCGCCTTGTGTGTGAGGCGGATCGTTAGCAGCTGCCTTCCTTGCGGATGCAGCTGGTCTCTGCCAATGATGGTGCAAGCTACCTAAACTCTATCCCCAGCTTGCCGAGGGACTGACTCGTTGTGGCCCCATACCTGACACGCGCTGCATCCGCTCGCCGAGTCCCGAGCGCCAGGGGCCCATTTCACTGGACGATAATCTGCCATTTCCGTGGCAAACATTACCATTGCTTTGTTATCACCATTGGTATTTATGCTTTCGCCTTACAGCTAGCTGGGGCTTCGGGCAATTCGTAGTGCCGGGCTAGAAGGGTCTCTCTCCCTCGCTGCTGGACCCTGGGAGCGGAAACGTAAAACGACTCCATTCCTTCGCTAAGCAGCAGCCTTGAGATCCTGACTTTGTTTTATATATCCTCGTTTCAAAGATGGACTGAGTCTCTATCTTGCCATCGACGCCGCCGTCACTGGACGGCTGGGATGATGACTGACTCCGCGGAGCCTTTGGGGGCCGCTCCGCCGCCCCCTGGAGTGGTACCGGATTTCGATAATCCCGCCGATGCCGGATTTTTGGCAGATCGCGCCGGTCTCCTTACCTTCGCGTCTTTGGCCACTGTCTTCTTCATACTGCGTTGCTATGTCAAGATATTTATCTCGCCGCGAATGATGGCGGAGGACTGTAAGCGAGAACACTGTCTTGAACGCTGCAGAGTGAAGGGCTGACCGCCTTCTCCAGGGACATTTATGATCGCATGGGTATGTGAAAGAACCCCGGTAGCGGGTGAACACCCCCGCTAATGTAGTAAGGCATCACTCATTGCCTTCATTTCGACAGTCCTTATGAGTAAGTCACTTCAGGTCTCGAGCTGGTAATTTACATGCTGACAAAGGTCAGTGACGCACTATGGCGACGGCCACCATATCTGGGAAATTACAAAGGAGGAATTCACTACGTTACGAAAAGTGAGATAGGGAGAGAGAGGTCCAGTCCACGCGCGATATATGCTAATGTGTTGTGTAATACAGTGGCTCTACATTCGCAGTCTAATATTTGGTCCGGCGTCTTACTTCACCAAAGTTACCCTGCTGCTCATAATCGCTCGAGTATTCTCTGTCAGGGAACAGATATCCAGGGCTATATACATTTACATATGGGTGCTATTGATCTGCTTCTTGCCAATTCAGGTCATGAAAACCGCAATTTGCACTCCGATTCGAGGCTTTTGGGACTCATCTGTGCACAATGCTCGCTGCTTGGACCATCGCCATCTCTTCGTGGCTGACAGAAGTCTTTCAATCATCACCGACATCTTGATTTTGGTCATTCCTATAGTCGTCACATGGTCTATGAACGTTCCAATTCGAAAAAAGATCAAGATCGCAGTACTACTTGGCGCAGGTGGCATCGCCACTGCTATAAATTGCTTTCAACTGTGGAAAGTTGTTCTATACGCACGTTCCGATGATGCCACCTCGGATATGGTGGTACTGGATCTGACCATGTGAGTATTGGACATCTGAGATTTCACAGGTTTCAATCTTTGCTAATGCGATGGTTCACAGTACTGCTGAACTCACCATTGGCCTAATGTGCGCCTGTCTCCCACCGATCAACCTCCTGTTGCAGAGACTCCGGTCGGCCAAAGCCGATTGCAATATGCCACACCCTGAGAAACGGGCCCTATGGAAACTGGGTAGACTTGAAAGATCTCACAAAGGGGTCAGTAGTACATGGGGCGACTCAGTCATTACGCGCCGTGGGACAACATACGATGATATGTCGGACGTTGATGTCGAGATGGCCATGTTGACTGGGAGACCTCTCACAGTTGCATCCGCTGATGCCTCTAAACACGGATCCAATATGAATCGTTCACTGAATTCCCTGGAGGGCCGAACTGAAGGGTGGCTCTCATCCGATATCCAGCGAGAAGAACTTACGCCGTCCGGCATATTGGTACCTGATAGGATCTGGGATGGATTGACGATAGACCGGGTTGGGCCTCCAAGGATAGTCTCAGAGCATCAGTAGCGTATATAATTCATACCAAAATCCTTATAATCCTAACTTCGTGCTAGAAGTTCCATGCGACGTACTTGTCTCAGCCGAGTCGCACAAATCACCATCTCGCAGTTGGTATAAAAGTAAACGTTCTCTGTAGGGCGGAGTTATATTCACCTCGCCAGCATCACGGAAAAGAGACCTGCGGGAATTCTCTAAACGCGCTACCTTCGGTTAAAATCCGAGGACTACACCTAGGATGACGACGCTAGCTTCAGCTCAGGATATTCAGGTAGCTGCCTGCCACTTTTAGGTCCCGGCGACGGCAGTCGTGCTATCTGCTGGACTGTGGATGTGGCCCACATGGCATTGTGCAAGGTCCAAAGACCAAGACGTGACGATGGAAAGAAGGCGCCAGGAATCAGGCCTGGCATCTTTTGGCACTTGTTGATTGGGGTCGGCATGAGCGCTTGGTAGTTTTGGAGCGCAGTGCCTACATTGCTGCCATGTCGTGCCAGTGCTCCTGCGGGCACGTATGCGCTGATCAGACGACCCGTGGTCCACATACCAGTGAAAGGACTTGGGCAGTAGCCCGCGTCTCCCAAAAGCACAATGCAGCCTTTGTAGGGCTGCTTCATCTTGACCTGGACGACTTCGTGAGCGTAGAAGTCTTCTCATGTCTTCATTCCATCAAGTAACCTATCGCTTTGCCAGCCAGCGCCTCGGTGCATTTCCGCAAAGACTTGTGTTTTTTTTTTCCTTCTTCAATGGACTCTTTGTACGATTCTTTCGGGGTCTCCTCATTGCCCATTGAAAACAACAAAACCTGCGTCACAAGGTGGTCAGAAGTTCTCGTCATAATCAGCCTTCTTCCTATTGCATTATATGCTTTTGCGACATCCCCTCACCCTCTGTTCGCGGGATGCTATAGTATGCAGCGTCAACCTCGAGTGTCTTGTACGTTGTATCGCTGGCCTCCTGGTGAGATACAAGTACTCTGGTTCGTGATGACTGTCCATAGGCGGCAACTACAGCATCAAAGCATCGTCTGTAGCCATCAGAGAAAGTAGCATCGACCCTATCGGCATCTTGGGATATCTGAGAAACGGCTTTGCCGAATTGATACGTCAGGCTCCCGTTCCTACCTAGTTCTCTGCCCTTGGAATCTTGCTCGTGGCTTTTGTCGTACATGATTTTGCCAAGACTTCCACGCATAATCTCTTACTCCGAGGTCAAAGTTGGCCGCCGCTCTTCTGACGGGCTGACGCCGAAGGATGCCAGTAATTTTGCCTTTTAGTTTAATATCGCAACTCCTGTCTTGTTCACGCACGTTGACTTCACAGTACCCATCAATCCCATCGGTTTTCGGCCTGTCCTATGTCGTAGTAAGAGAAATGCAAGGAAAATAATGAAATGCCCGCGGCTAGCCATTAAATAACCATAAAACATAGATGTCGGGCAACGTAGGTGATCTGCACATCAGGGCTGCAGAAATCACAGTACGGAGGCAGGTCAAGGTCTTTCGCCAATTATTTTAAGGCAGCTCTAGGTTTTCGTGGCAACTTTCCTCATATTAAATATGATCAGGCTGCAGATAGCCGCAAATACTACCATTATAAATTATCTCGAGTTTATTAAGGACATTAGGCATATAGGTTTTAGAGTGCTGCTGGAAAATAATAACAGATTTTACATTTTGAAGCAGTGAAGTGAATAATCTATTATCTGTTATCTGTTATCTAATATCATGCGTGAGTGATACATAAGCTTTTAATAATGCAAGCTAGAATCGAAAATCGGACTAGTCATTGTTCACAAGCATAGGCAGTGGCGAACACTCCGCATCAATACCCATGCTTGGTCAGCCACTTATCCAAGGATGTTACCAAGGAATGGAATTAGACAAACGAGTATACAAGTAGCATGGATCCTGGATGATCCTGCAGTAGCATAAGTTGGCTGCAATCCCAACGCGGCGTCAGTCTGAATGCCTTCAATGGGATCGGCCTTGGATGTAACCGTGGGGCTTTGTCGATCGCCTCCTTGAGGGTTTTCTTCTGCCGGCCCAGATGCCGCTGCGCTAGATTCAGCAACACCGGAGTGCGTGGAGATTTTGAATGTCGACGCGGAGAAGGCAAACGTCCCGCGACCTTGATCCTGACTTGCAGCTCCATGGGCCGTTGGGAGAGAACCTAAGGTGATCAGGTCTGTCGTTGTCGGAGAGGCGTCTGAGAGGACGGGTTGCGTAAAGTAGATGCTGGTGGCCGAAGCGTCTTCAGCTGGGTAAGTTGACGTAAGGGTGTGCGTGTCTGTGATAATACTTCCAATGTAACATTTAGTGACCGTTGGATGGCAAGAAGTGACAGTATAAGTCGTTTTCTGGGTGTACGTTGACGTAGTGTGGGGCAGCAAATTGTAGTTAACAACAGGGCTTAAATATGGACCATCGGTGTAGTGTTTCACAGGATCCTCTGTCGACAACGCGGGGTACACCTCCACAGCCTGTGTTGGCTCTTCCACTCCAGGACACCAAGTCGTCGTTACGGTGTATATCTCACTAGTAAGCTGCCCAAGTGCACATTTTGTGACAGTTGGGTGGCATGAAGTGATGGTGTAAGTCGTCGATTGAATATAAGTCGACGTATATGTAGGAGTACTACTAGGGTCTCTTTGTGTCGGATACGTGGATAGGCCAGGCTTGTTCCCAGAAGTGGGGTATTCTCCAGGGCACCATGTGGTGGTACCAGTCTTGGTTTCAGTGGTAACGACGCCGGAATATGTGTAGACTGAAGTAAAGGTGTACGTTGAAGTATATGTTGGTTTAGAGGCAGGGTAAGTGATGGTGGTAGGCCTTGTAACAGGGGCCTCGGTGTTCGTAGAACTTGATATTGGATACTTTGAAGTAGTTTGGGAAACAGGTTCCATGGTCTTACTTGAGGTAGGGACTTCGTAGGTCTGTGTCTCCGTCGTGGCTGGCTCCAGGGTGTCTGAGGATACTGGGAAAGTGATCGTCGGGTAGATCGGTGTCTCTGTGGTTACTGGCAGCATAGTGTTGGTAGAGCTTTCCACGGTGGTCAAGGCCGAGGATGATACGGGGCATTCCGAGGTAGAAGTTGTCTCTGGAGCCACAGAAGATGTGGACGACTCCGTGGTGGTTGTGGCAGTTGTCTCTGGAGCCACGGAAGATGTGGACGACTCCGTGGTGGTTGTGGCGGTTGTCTCTGGAGCCACGGAAGAGGTGGATGATTCAGTGGGCAATTCTGTTGTGGTCGTGGTCGTCTCTGGGGCCACAGAAGAGGTGGATAATTCAGTGGACGATTCCGTGGACGATTCCGTGGACGATTCTGTGGTCGATATGACTTCAGATGTGGTGGCTTCCGTTGTGGTTGTGGTGGTCTCGGGGGCCACGGAAGAGGTGGACGATTCAGTGGTGGTCGTGGCAGTCGTCTCCGGAGCCACGGAAGAGGTGGACGACTCGGTAGAAGATTCTGTTGTGGTCGTAGTCGTTTCGGGGGCTACGGAAGAGGTGGAAGATTCGGTAGAAGATTCCGTGGATGATTCAGTGGTGGTCGTGGCAGTTGTCTCTGGAGCCACGGAAGAGGTGGACGACTCGGTAGAAGATTCCGTGGATGATTCAGTGGTGGTCGTGGCAGTTGTCTCTGGAGCCACGGAAGAGGTGGACGACTCGGTAGAAGATTCCGTGGATGATTCCGTGGATGATTCTGTCGTCGTCATGGAAGTCGTCTCTGGGGCCACAGAAGAGGTGGAAGATTCAGTGGAAGATTCAGTGGAAGATTCTGTTGTGGTCGTAGTCGTCTCGGGGGCTACGGAAGAGGTGGACGACTCCGTGGTGGTTGTGGCTTCGGATGTAGTGGCTTCAGATGTGGTGGCAGTTGTTTCGGGGGCCACGGAGGAGGTGGAAGTTTCAGTAGAAGATTCAGTGGACGATTCTATGGTTGTCGTGGCAGTTGTCTCTGGGGCCACAGAGGAGGTGGAAGATTCCGTGATTGATGTTGCTTCGGATGTGGTTGCTTCGGATGTGGTGGCAGTTGTTTCGGGGGCCACAGAGGAGGTAGAAGATCCAGTAGAAGAATTCGTAGACGTTTCCATGGTTGACGTGAATCCAGATGTGGTCGTGGTTGTCTCAGGGGCCACAGAAGAGGTGGACGATTCCGTGGTTGATGTGGCTTCGGATGTGGTGATGGTCGTCTCGGGGGCTACAGAAGAGGTGGAAGATTCTGTGGGCGATTCAGTGGACGACTCGGTAGTAAAGGTGGACTCAGAAGTAGATGATTCAGTTGTCGTCGTGGTTGTCTCGGGGGCCACTGAAGAGGTGGACGATTCCGTGAACGACTCGGTAGTTGAGGTAGGCTCAGCTGTGGTAGTAGTTGTATCTGAGGCCACAGAAGTTGTCGATGATCCCGTGATTGAAGTCGACGATTCAGTGGATGATCCAGTGGATGATTCAGTGGACGATTCCGTCGTCGTCGTGGGCTCGCTCGTTGTGGTAGCAGTTGTCTCTGAAGCCACAGATGAACTAGATGTTTCAGTGCTGGTAATAGATAGTTCGGTAGTCGAGCTTGACAACTCAGAGGTCGAGGATGACTCTGGAGCTACAGACGATGTGGAAGATTCGGTATCTGTGGTAGACTGAGTAGTTGAAGTAAAATCAGAAGTAGAGCTGGACTCTGTAGTCACTGTGGCAGTTGTTTCCGGAGCTACAGAAGAGCTGGATGATTCTGTGGATGAGGCGGACGATTCAGAGGTCGTTGTGGTTGTCTCTGGCGCCACAGATGAGGTGGAAGACTCAGAGGTCGAGGTGGACTCGGTTGTGGTAGTAATCGTCTCTGGAGCTGTAGAAGAGGTAGACAATTCGGAAGTGGCAGATGAGGTAGTGCCAGAGGTCGAGGACGACTCTGTGACTATAGAAGAAGTGGAAGATTCGGTGGTCGTGGTGGATGACTCTGGAGCTAAAGAAGAGGTAGATGTCTCAGAGGTTAATGATGATGACTCGGATGTCGAAGTAGGCGTCTCGGTGGTTGTAGTAGGTAACTCCGAGGTTGAGCTTGATAAGTCGCTAATCGTAGACGTAGACAAGATAGTCGATGTACTGCTATCCGAGGTCGAAAGGGACGTCGATACTGTAATAGACGCTGTTGTATCTGTGCTTGACTCTGAAGTGGAAGTAGACAATATAGTCGATGTACTACTATCCGAGGTCGAGAAAGACGTCGACACCGTTAGAGATGCTGTTGTGTCTGTGCTTGACTCTGAAGTCGACGTAGACAAGATAGTAGATGTGCTACTATCCGAGGTCGAGAGAGACGTCGACACCGTGAGAGACGCTGTTGTGTCCGTGCTTGACTCTGAAGTCGAAGTAGACAAGATAGTCGATGTGCTTGACTCTGAAGTCGAAGTAGACAAGATAGTCGATGTGCTTGGCTCTGAAGTCGAAGTAGACAAGATAGTCGATGTGCTACTATCCGAGGTCGAGAAAGACGTCGACACCGTTAGAGATGCTGTTGTGTCTGTGCTTGACTCTGAAGTCGACGTAGACAAGATAGTAGATGTGCTGCTATCTGAGGTCGAGAGGGACGTCGATACTGTAATAGACGCTGTGGTGTCCGTACTTGACTCCAGAGTCGAAGTAGACGTGGATAATATAGTCGACGTGCTGCTACCTGAGGTCGAGAGTGACGTCGATACTGACGTCGATACTGTAGCAGACGCTGTCGTATCCGTGCTCTCGACCGTAGACGTAGACGTAGACAAGATAGTCGACGTGCTGCTATCTGAGGTCGAGAGGGACGTCGATACTGTAATAGACGCTGTGGTGTCCGTACTTGACTCCAGAGTCGAAGTAGACGTGGATAATATAGTCGACGTGCTGCTACCTGAGGTCGAGAGGGACGTCGACACTGACGTCGATACTGTAGCAGAATCTGTCGTAGCCGTGCTTGACTCTATAGTTGAAGTAGATGTGGACAATATAGTCGACGTGCTGCTGTCCGAGGTCGAGAGGGACGTCGATACTGTGATAGATACTGTAGCAGAATCTGTCGTAGCCGTGCTTGACTCTATAGTTGAAGTAGACGTGGACAATATAGTCGACGTGCTGCTATCCGAGGTCGATAGGGACGTCGACACTGATGTCGATACTGTAGCAGACTCTGTCGTGTCCGTGCTTGGCTCCAGAGTAGAAGTAGATAAGAAAGTTGACGTGCTACTACCCGAGGTCGAGAGTGATGTTGATACTGTGATAGATGCGGTTGTGTCTGTACTCTCAACCGTAGACGTAGACGTAGACAAAATTGTTGACGTGCTACTATCCGAGGTCGAGAGAGATGTCGACACGACAGTAGTAACCGAGGATTCTTGTCTTTTCACGTTCCTCCTGACAGGGATCGCGCTTGCAAAACCGCCAACGCTGTTGAAAACTTCAGACCCGTATGTAGGACGTCCTTGAATCCTCATTTCCCTACCCATCGCAGTGGCCATAAATCCGGCCAAAGCCGGTAATAGACCAGCAAAAATAAACGAAGTAGGCCGCATATTGCTGAGAGGTTACCGGGAATTGTCCAGAGCTGGACTCACAAGATTGGTGCGCATCTCGTAAGATTTTGCTGCTTGCGCACTTATATACTTATGCTTTTCTGAAGAAAGGAGGAGAATTGACGCTCCTATTTTGTTAACCGAGCTGTGTCTATAATACATTGTCTCGCGTAAACACGAGGCATTGCGTTGCGTACCTGCAGGGGCGCTGCAAGCCTATGTCTCACACGCCGTTCAATTGATTGGATGCTTTCACAGAAGCAAACCATCTTATCTCGAACTCAAGCACCGTTTCACGCTTCATGCTAGTACCAAATTCAGCTTCAATGGACGATATATGCCTCTTCCTCAAGACAAACCCACCATTAGGTCGGTTTTATTACAAAACCCGCCCCCACTGGCTAGCACCATGTCTCGTATTTCGCATACCAATGTCTCAGCTAATATCCAATCCGGCAGGCAGGTTCATCGGCTAATCGTAATCAGCAAACCAAACAAGGCGTCGTCGTCGGCGTCGTCGTCGTCGCTAACCCACTAGGTTATGTTGTCTTGGTCATAGGTTTCGTGGTGGATCCTAGTCAGCAGTCCACGACAGGGTGACCACAGCTCCACTACACTTCAGTACGCACCCGATTCTGTCACCATTATCGCATTGATCGCTTGTGATTGTCATTTGTGTAAAATTTATGGATCGAGACATATTTCTCGGCGTCGTACGGTCTTGCCCTCCTGGCGTTTGCAACTATTTGACCAAGGCATTCTGTGGCTGGGCCTATCCAATCACCTGAGATAATTAATGAAGACTGCGAGGGTGTAGCCAGGTTGCTTCATGTCAGCCTCGGTACACGGCTGGGGGCAAACCCAAATGCATATATCAAGGTCGTAACTTCTGGCGTCAGTTATCGTATGCAGGCTCGAGCTTGGGCCGCAAAGAGTATCACTTACCCAGTCTGCATATGCATTGGGCTGGCTATTGGACGGCAATGTGGTAGGTATAACAGTGCCTTCAGGGGTACCAGCAAAGCGTATGGGACGTCTCATTCCCCTCGTTCCACTCTCACTGTTGCAAACTGCTGATTATCCCGACAGTGATTCCGGCCACACTTGACTATAGGTGATGGTCCCAGAAAACTAAGAGCGCTGTACGGCCTGCGAGAGATCCATGCTCCCCAAGTAAGTGGTCCCATTGACATTGATCTGTAGTCGCGGGTCAAGGGACCCGTTCGCCCACAGACGCCTTCTGGGGTTGGCATCGTGTGATCATTGTTCTGTCCAAAGGCCGAGTTTCGTGGTGTGAATAGGGGTTCCAACTGAGCTACAAATGGACTAGCCGAGAAACCCGGTCAGTGCCGGCCGGTACGTTCCTCACGAAGCGTTCAGCGGATCCTGGCATCTCCGAAGTGCACTGAAAAGCTTCACCCTTTCATGGCACGATGCTCGAGACATTCCTGGAAAGCTGGCTGGCTCGGCCACGGTAGGTCTCGAGGCATGATAAATCTCGCTTGTCATGGCCGTCCCTTTGCTCTGCTTGGTGCGGCCTTCGTCGTGGGCAGAGGGCTCACAATGCTAAGAACGAACGATGAGCCGCAAGGGATATTCGGAAGTTTCAAGTACTAGGATACTGCGGCAGACGCCTCTGCCGGGGATGCGGCGCAATCCGGCATATATGGCCGGGGAGGCCTTGAATCCGGGGGCCTAAGGGCGATGGTGTGTGGCCAAGCTGTCGTGTGGGCAGTGTCCTACGAGGATTTCTTTTTCTTTTTTTCCTTCCTACCTCGGGTGTGGGTCCGCTGGGGCTCAAGACGGCCCAGCAGATTCCTAGCATAAGCGGGTGTTGATTATGTAAGGCGTCTCGTAGTCCGGACCTTGGAGCTGCGCCCCGAACTTGGGGGTCAAGTGTCGGCACTGACAAATAGTACAACAACGGGACTCCTTCTGACAAGAGAAACGGGCTTGCCTCTGTATAATCCTGATTTGGTCTCGCCACTGTTTCGCGTAGCTAGCCAGCTGATAGAGCATCTAGTCGGCCTTTGGGCCCTAGCCACGCATCATCAGCAAGTAGGTATCCTCTTGCTCAAGATCCCACCCAGATCCTTGACATTCGGGCCCTGATATAGACAGTCAAATTGCAATACAACGTAAGATGCCTGCTATTGGGTAGCCAGCAGAGTGGCGTTACTCTTCTTGAAGCTGAATACCAACGATCAACACCGATTCACTCTAGGACATACAGTTGCAATCCAACATAGGGGCTCCGCGTAATGAGATTTCTCAATACCCCTAGCTGCATCATGAGCGCAAGAGGATTTTTCCGAGGACAACACTCGCGCTCTCAAGCCGTACACGTGCTATTGGAGAGCAAATACTCCTCCAAACTTGTATATTGCTACCGAAACGTGTAACCGCAGGTGGGACTTTGGTTCTCTCGAATTGCTACGTGTACTTCTTGATCCCGTGTTTGCAAATGTTGCAACGGCCAGCAACACATCACCCGCGTATTCCATGTCTAACCACTCTCAATACCCTGGGCAGAACCCTCGATTGCGTCCACCTAGCCAGGCTATTAATAACTAGGACTCATCTATAGTTATGGGCGTTTGCGTGGAAGTAGCTTTGATTTATCGGGATCACTTGGGTGTAGCTTTAACAAAGCTGTCTTGCTGTCTCACTTTACATCATCCAGTCATTACAAGACTGATTTCCCCGGCTCAACGGCACCACATCTCCCCACCACCTCATTCCATCCGCGAAAGCCATGCTTCGCGCTTATCCGTTGAGATGTTATGGCAATCATTGTACCCGTCCACACCAGCGTGATGACGCGAGGATGATCTCAGGTGCCGCAGGTTTTTTTCCCATGCGATTTTCTGCCAGGCGCCTTCCATGGAAGGAACGCAGGGCGATTCCACAGGTCATCCAGGATTAGCGAATACTGAGAAAGCAACTCGACATCGCTATGAATTTTTTGAAGGTTCGACTATTCAATATCACGTTATATTCGACCCAGGTCCGCTCGCCTCGATTCGATTTGATGCCGTACCGCGGTTAGGTTTCCCGCCTGTGTGAACAGCAGTTTCATCTGAAATGATGATTAGTATTCTCGACTCCGGCCCGTGCAATGAGCCGTGGCGAAACAGGTGCTTACTTACAACGCTGTTGGTCCATCTAGGTTGCAAAGAGCGTTCGTTCCCCGACGCAGGTTGGTGCGTCCGAGACCTGCTCTTGATTCGACGGCCATCAAAGGCTTGTCATATGTAGACCACGGCCGGCTGCGTCGGAACTTTGGTCCAAGGGCATATTCGGCGAAGGCATGCTTGACAGGTTCGCCGTGTAACCGGATCATTGGATACCCTGTGACACAGTTATGCAGTCCTGGTCCCATCAACACCTACTGGCTCAAGCACCTTTACATCTCTTTCAACGTCCACTGTTGTTCGCGGAATGTCAGCACCAAAAATGTCACGAAGTTTCCAAAGGCCCAACAGGTCGACGACGTAGACCTGGTAAACCCTCCGAACAATGTGGCATCGTTGGTGGTGACATTCCGCGATCAACAGTGCATGTTGAAAGAGACGCAAAGGTGCTTTAGCCACTAAATGACGAAGGATCCAATACTATTAGGTGAGCCAGTGATAATCCAGCTTGGATCAACGCTGAAACTGAAGGGACAAGTTACTTAAATAACAAACCTCGAGCTCTGTATCCCTGTTGAGAGCAAAGCACAGAGAGGACGGAGTATTGATCTATCGCCTCACGAACGTGGCTAGCTGGCTCTCTGGAGCGCCAAGCCGGCTTCGACCATGAGATGTATTGCTTTGGCCTTACTCCATGCGTATGCCGATTGAAACATGCGCCAATGTACAGTAATCCTCTTACATCTACTAATAGCCACGATGATGTCCCTCAGTCCACCCAGGTTCGTCATCATCGATGACGAACCTGGTCAAGGCTATGTAATGCAACGACTGTCAACTGTTGTGCACATATCGTATGGAGTGGCCAGCAGTCATGACGCGTAGATCATGAGAACTGTTGGCGATCATTATACGGGTGACCAACCCGGAAAGAGTAGGACTGCATCCAACCCGCCTGCTTGCGAAGTGGTGAAACGCTTGCACCAAAAGAATGAACAGAGATATCTGTGACCGAACACGAGATGCTTGGGACGCGCAACATAACTGAGCTCTTCGTTCTGCAATATTCATGAGGAACGGCGGCTTCGGCGATGAGTGCGATCCTGTGGAAGTGTACAGTCCCCCGATGAATAGGCACAGTATGTTCTAGTTCTGGACATACCCGGTGAATATGATGCGCCGAAAATGATTAATCATGCACTGAGAAGCATGCCAGCTGGGAAAGGCGAATGTAGCTAGACATTTTAGCCGAAGAGAGACTGCGTCCTTTCTGACAAGCTGCACTCGCTAATTCAGCTGAGAATGACAAGCTAACACCGCATATACTAGGTACGAGTGATTACTCGCCGCACTTGAAAGAAGAAAAGTCTTGATCGGACAGGCCCTGCGTTTCGGTCACGGACCGGGTCGCCCGGGTAAGCGGAAAGCCCGAGTTACCTACACAGTAGACAGAGGAAAAGTTCCCCACACAACTTTCCACCGCTGGCATGACCCTTGCAGGAAGGTGTCAAAGCGGGAGGAAATCGTTCGATGTCTTGGCTGGCACGAACTATCTTTGCTCCAGAGGGATCAAAGCGGCCTATCTTGTATCGATCAGGTATAGTTGATACTCATTGCAGGTCATCATTGGATAGTAAATACATATGTAGGTACCAGACACGGCAGCCTTCCCCACATAAATTCCTTGGCCATGAGGATAATCTGCACGCAGTAGTAGCAACCACCATCACAAAGTCACGATTGAGTATTAAAAATAGAAAGTCAACCTGCTATATTCGAATTGGTTATATCGAGCAACTTTTCATAGTTGCTCGTGGGAACAGCTGTAGTTCAATGGATCACCCATCGATAAGTCAGGTTTGATTACAGTTTACCGAGCCCTGTACAGGTCAAGGGAAAGTTGGTTTATCCTTCTTTGGCAACTCTCAAAAAAGGCGGCGAGAGGTCTTTGTTGGGGTGAGGTCCTCTTGCTATCCCTGACAAATTACTCGCAAAGATCAATTGGACGTGCCTGCTGAGCTATACGGGTGTTCTGGATAGGCTAAGACAGCTTAATACTATATCATATAGCTTGCCTACCGAATGCACTTTAGCCTGCACTTAATGGAACCCTCTTTTGTAACCCAACTTAGCTATGAGTAGGAACATGTCCAGCTCAAGCAAGACCGTTTCTATAGACAGCCTTCAGCTAGCAGGCAGAGACACAAACTCTAACTCATCAAATGTCTTAGTGTTGCGTGGCGATTCAAAAAGGTTCTCGGCTCGCTAAGCCTGGTCTTGTTAGCTGACCTTGAGGCGTGCTTTAGCACGGGACTCAACCCAAGATGCAGAGTGTCGTCCTCCGTTATGCATAATTGCCCATGCCTCGAGTTAGGGGCTGGATACGAGTATAACATGGTAGGTCTGATTCGTACGTCCTTATTCATTGGCCTGGCGCGTTTCAATGAGGATTACGATGTTCTAAATTTCGACACCATCCTACAGCAGTCTGTTCAACCCAGGATACCCGCTGGATAGCAACCACAGGTTGCACCTATCATCTGCAAGCTAGCTATGGAGCCACAGTCCTCGGCCTTACTTCCTCATCCTACCCTAGGATAGACTTTGTGATTGCTCAGTTTTGTCCCAGCCAGGTGTCACACGTAATTCGGGAAAAGTGTGCCTAGTGTTTTAGCGTATGTGAATTCTGATGAGAATTAGCGAGAGGCGCTAGTAATAAGATAGTACGCAAGCGTGGGGAGGAGAATGGGGCGGAAGGTGAAAAAGCAAAGTCGAGAGGAGAGTGAAAATGGAAAGAGAGGAGGGAGGGCCGATGAAAAGCAAATTCTTCGGATACACCATCTACGTTTCTGGAAGTCAAACTATAAGAAGTGCAATTTATGCACGGCCAGCGCTGGGAATTGTGCCACTCGTGTATGACATACCGCTTGGACAACACCTAACTACTATGCAGAGCACCCTGACCTGCCTGACTGCTGACACCCTGACACACCCCTGCCTTAGTCTCTCTCCACGGTGAGTGCCCTGAGTGCCGACCCTGGCATCCTTGCAGTGATCTCCATCGCGAGTGCCGGACCGCCAAGCCAGTTCAATAAGATCGACAAACCTCATTCGCCAATGTTTAAAAAATTCTTAAATGCAGGTCCATGACAGCTGCATCGTCTGGTCCTGCGTTCCACACCCTACAGTAGAAGACTCACGCTGGGGTGTGGTGTGAAAGCTTCCACATCGCTCCCACGGCGAACAACAAACAACGACATGGACTCTCGGGAATTGAGCCTCACCCGATATATGCCAAGCTTAACATGTGGCCAATCTCTTCAAGGTCGCTCTGGGGCCACGGTCAAGTAGCTCCAATCTTGCAAAACCAGCAAAGTTTAGGTGTCAGGCGGGTCTGTATTTCTACTGCGGAAGGTAGATTTGGTCGAATAGCCCAGCGTCTGCCGGACGCCGTGCCATATCAGTTGAAAGAGGCGTTCCAACTACTATGTAGAGCTTGCTGCCGGTCGCGCTGCTGTCCCAGCCTACCAAGCAACCAAGCCGTGCACATCCATATCCATATATTCACCGTGGTTTGGCCGGACAAGATCATCCTTGCCTCCGGCCTCCCCAAGAGACAGCCTCGAGAGGGCCGTTTCTTGCGGGTCGGTGCTGGGAAGCCCAATTAGCGCCGCGAAGATGGGGGCGTGCGGCTCCGGCATTCATGATATCTTATCACGATCGTCTATAATACCCACCCTGAACCACGGCCGCTCCGTCAGTGATGGGCAAGATAACCAACCTCCCTCCCTTGCGCCCGGCAGAAGCCTGATCTACTTCGCAAGGCAGGCCATGTTTCGCCGTCAGTGGTGTTGCGGCAATTTCAAGTGTGCACAACAAACCGTGTGGGTATCTGTAAGATGTGGTTCTCCAGGGGCGAAAACCGGCCATCGCGAGTGTGTCCCCCGAGACCAAGGCCCATGGGGTTTATATGACGGCAAGGTTTTTCTATGGAGCTCTATTCTATGAGTATGGGGGCCCGAAGGTATATTTGATTGAATACCTGTCACGCGATTTCTGCTTGCTCTGGTACCTGAGGTGTCTCTCTTGCTCCCATTTGCATATCGACCATCCGATTCTTCAAGGATCTCAATATCTCCAAGTTTTCTCTTCCAGACAGAAACACACTTAATCTCAATCCAAGGAACAACTATACCACCAACCAGTCACAATGGTCAACGTTCTCTGCATGGTCCTGGGCCTCGCCGCCACGACGCTGGCTTTCCCTACCTCCTGGAACCAGTCGTTCCCCCAGGTCGCGCCGCCGACCAACTACACGCAGCACCACCACTGGACCAACCACACCTACGTCGCCAGATCCGTCAACTCGACTGCATTGAACACCACGGCCGTGGTCCTGAACGGAACTCACTACTAGACAGGACGCGAGTGAGGACCCGGCCAGTCAACAACACACTTTACTCAACACACAAGTGGCGGTAGCCTACGTGACAAATGGGCAAGCACAGGGGAAAGGGGACGCGGGCAGGCAATCGCCAGATGGGAGGAGGTAATGCAGTAATTTGGAAAGGGACAGGAGGACAGACCATACACTATTCGCCTTCAATTCCTCCAGCACGGGCCGCCTTCAATTGAAAGGCGCCTGGAAACGGGATCGATGCGAGGTGCTTGGACGGTTTCGACTCTTAGCTGCTCGTACCTGGGAGCAATAGCATGAACGGCGCCCGCTGCGCGTATGCTTGATATTAGGCGGCGGTACTTGATGAGATAGACAAAATGTAACTTTCCGGATAGACAAAACGACCTAACGATTCTCAAACCCCCAAGAGTGGCTTGACTTTTTCAGTTGAATATTTTCTTCGTTTTGATGCATCCACTGCCCCCGGCTAGGTTCATGTAGACGTTGTGGTACTGGAAGTCTCTTCATTTCCAAACTCGATAATCCGTACTGACCAAGCTTGATCTCTACCCTGCCCGAACTCCTGCCTACTATCCTGAGCTGGCCTCCACGACAGCCGAATGACCAGGGTGCCGTTCTGTAAAGACTATCAACCAGGATCCTTGGATCTCATGACGCATACCTATCCGATGTATTGTTGACTCCCCCCTCCCTTTGAACGCCGCCTGCATTGTGTTGAAAGATGTACGCCCCTTTTATGCAAAGGCGCGTCGCCCAAACTGTACATTCCATGTGTGTGGCCGCGTGCCCCTTATCCAGAAACGCCGACGCCCTCCCTGACGACCCCGATTCCTAATCCATTCCCGGGCCCGTTTGCGCCCGCACCGAAACCTGACAGCGCCGAATTGGACCGGCTGTGACCGCTTCCCCCGGTGCCTACACTCCTCTGCGCACTGACGTCCCTCCGGACTCTTCCGCCGACCATGCCGCGCCGGTTCCGGCCCGTCCGTCCGCGGCCGAGCCAGTTGAGCTTGAGGAGCCGTCCGAGCTCTGTCACCTGCTTCGACCCCTCGTCCGGTGCCCCGGGGGGTGCCGGGCCCAATTGGTCGAGGCCCGTGGTTGATGGCGAGTTGTTTACCGACACACTGGCTAGCACGCTCATACATTGTAGCATGCGGCCTACCATGTCGGTGACCTGCTTACTTCCGCTCTCCGCTTCAGCGCGGTCCCGATCCGTCCGGTCGCTGTCCGCTCGACTCCTGCCTGGAGCGAACGGCCGAAGTAATCCCTGCTGGCTGCCAACGTCGCCTCCCGAGGCACCTGACCCGAAAGACACATTGGAGATGGCCCGCGAGCGGCTTGGGTTGCTTCCCTCGTTCAGAAGCGTCGACGAACTTGAGTTGTAACTAGCAACGCTGGGGTCGACCGACATGGCAGTACCTGGTCTAGCTTCCCCCACACTGCTCAGAATGGAGGCGTCTCGGGGAGAAGAACTCATGGCTCCCTCCGAGATGGGTGGTGGGCTAGCCAAGGCCAGGCTCGCCAGGCTGCTGGGCAGGTGCTCCAGACTCAACCGGGAGAAGATGGTCTTCAACTTGTCGTAGCGCGGCAATATCAAGACATCGCGGAAGGTCAGCAACACGAGTCTTCTGACGTCCAGAACGGCGCCAAGTTCGCGCTCGGTGAACGAGTGCGCACTGCCGCTAGCCACACCACCCCAGAAGTCGCGGGCCTGCTCTGTGGTCAACAAGGGCCCAACGCCAGAAAACTCGAGATCCAGAGGCAGGAAAATGGCCTGCATGTAGGGTAAGATGCTTGTGAAGGTGGCCATCCAAACATCGGCCAAGGCCGGGATCAGGCGGTCCTCGGTCGTCTTGCGCAGGGTGTAGTCCAGAGACGTGAAGCCGGTAGACAGGAGCTCCCTCAGATCCTCGATGATTATGTATGCCGAGCGCCGCTGGATGCAGTATTGTATATGCATTGTGACGGCCCTGTTGAAGTCCTCGATGGGGAGCCGTAGGTCTTCGCCCTCAAACACGACGAGCAGCTTGGCCTTGAGATACGGCCAAGCGTCATCGAGCATCATGTTATGCAAGCCGTACTTGGAGCTATCCACGGGCTCGAGTGGTAGATGGGAGAGATTCGACTGGGTCTGCGTCAGCGACGAGCCCAGACTCCCCGGTCCCGGCCACTCGGAGTTCATGGTAAAGACGGACTCGTTATCGTGGCTCATGCCGAGCTTGGACTCTTCCTTCCGCTTCTCGCGAAGGGCGCGGCCGCCATGCCGCAGGTCGAGGCCCGAGACGGACTTGCTGAAGCTGGCACTGTTGGGCCCCGGGCTCGGCGGGAGGTTGAAATTGTAGAGACTGGACGGGGCGTTGGGATCGACGGGGCGCGAGTTGCTGGCGGCCGAGGATAGGGGCAGGTGATAGTCTTCCTTGCCGCTGATCTTGTGCTTCTGCCGCGACAAGAAGTGGTGTTTCTTCTCCTTCTCCTTGGTTTCCTTCTCCGTAGCCGTGTCTATGGGGCGTATCGTGGCGGACGAGGAATTGGCCAGGTTGTACATGGACTGGCTGTCGGCCAGGCTGGTGGTGCTGTAGTTGGCCCTCTGCAGGGACGCCAACGCCGAGCCAATCTTGCCGGGGCTGGGCAAGGGCCTCTCCTTGGACTCGCCCTTGGTATCGATCTTCTTGGGCCGCGAGAACAGCTTGACCTTGGACTTCTCGGCCTTGACCGGCTTCTCGGGGTTGGGGAGGGACGGCGGAAAGGGCGACTGCTGCGACTGCAGATCGGGTGTGGGCAGGCCGGGCGAAGACTGCGGCGACGTCCTGGGAAAGGCGATATTTGCTGCCGTGGTGGCGGCCTGGTTTCCCAACAGGCCATTGTGGTATGCCCGGTCGCCGGCACTGCTCCCGCCGCCCAGGGCGCCGGCGTCGCGCGGGATGCTGGCCTCGGTCAGACTGAGCATGGGAGGGCTCAGCGGGCCTCGACTGCTGCTGTTTTCGCCGGGGCCGGCACCGGCACCCTGGAGCGGTCTTGTTCCCGGCCGGCGCGCAGTGTCGGGGAGCTCGCTGCCGGGGAAGGGCACGGTCTGCGACCGGTGGCGGTTGTGCTGCTGGTGTTGCTGGACTGCGGCCTGGGCGGCGATCTGGCTGGCCGACAGGCCGGGGGAGGGCATAGCCGGCGCGTGCTGGATTCCAGTCGGAGACGAGGCAGTCTGGGCGAACTGGGCGAGGTTGGAGGAGCTCGTGGACGGCAGGGTCGAGTCGAACAGGCCCTGGGTCTGCGAGTGCTTCCGGGAGTGGTGTCCTGCGCCTCCCGGCCGCGGGGGCGGGGGCGCAAGGGGCGAGACGGTGCGGACGCTGGCTGCGTCGTGGGCGTTGTTGCTGGGGCGGCCGGGTCGCGAGAAGTTGTGCAGGCTGGTCGAGCTGCTGTTCGGCAGCGCCGTGAAGTTGGAATACGAGGGGCTCGTGACGCCGATCGGGGATTGCGGGCTGCGGGTCTTGGTGTACGAGATGGAGGCGTCGTCGCTCTCGGAGGACTCGATTCTGCGTATCTGGGGCCGCACGGGGTACTGGGAGGAGGCCTGTTGGTGGTGCTGGTGATGTTGGTGTTGCTGTTGAAGGCGCAGCTGTGAGGCATCGTCTCGGGCGGCGCTGGGTCCTCCTCCTCCTCCTCCGCCGCCGGCGCCGGCCCCGGACGCTGCGGCGGCGGCAGCAGCAGCCGAGGACGACACGCTGCTGCCGGGAAGGGGGGAGAAGCTCCCTGGGGCTCGCTGGGGTCGGCCAGGCTGCATTGTCGCGGATGGGTGTGTCGTCACGGGCTGGGCGGCTGGGCTGCAGGGCTCCTGGGGTGGTCGGTTCAGATCTAGAGGGGCGGAGGGGGGGGGTTCTGTTACATGTTGCGCCCCGACTTGGCCAAGGGTGCGCAAGGCGGATCGTGGGTGTCGGGGGTTGTGTAACAGGTCGTCATAGACAGAGGCGATGTGTCTGTTGTCTCCGAAGCAGTGATAGCACGGAGTAGAAGAAAAAGGTCGATGCCCGTTTCACGTAGCTGGACCTTGAGACGGCTGCAGTCTAAGACGGGGCGCGGCCAAGCTTCCAGAACAACACAACATGGCAGCCTCCAAGTTGAAGGCGGGCGAGGAGGGACCCTGACCAGCAGCAGTTCTCCAGCCCGGTTTATCAACGACCGGACTTTGACTTAGTAACTTGGACTGTCCAAGTTAGTTCCCCAAGTTAGACGCTTGGTTAATGCCTAGGTTGGGTAACTATGTATGTAGGTATGTAGGTAGGGGGAAGAGGCGATCCGTTTCGGCGATCAGTTGGACTTTGCGCGCCTTTCGTCCGCATTCAACCCGCCGACTGGTTGTGAAGACCTGGGAAGCCTCTGATATCGGGGATGGATGGGCGTTATAGGTACAGCAGGTTGGACCCGTTGAATGCAGTGAGTGAGTGCGCGAGCGACAGCCTGTCAGATCAGCCAAACCCCAGGGACGGTCCCAAGATGATGTTGCATGGTGGCTACGGTGCGGCTCAAAACCCAATTGCGACACGGGTGACGGGGTACGTAGCTAGGTACCGTGCAACTTTGGCCAGGTAGCCACAAGGATCTGGGAGCTAAACTTGGAGCCGGCTGAAATTGCCCCGCGTCGGCGTGGGCGTGGGAATTGGATGCCCGAGAACTGGGACTGGGATGAATCCACCATCACCCACCCTGCAACAACTCGACACATGGCGACCAGGGGTTGAATGTCTACCCAAGCAGGCACCTAATAGATAACTCACGCATACACACACATACACACACACACAGACAGAGAGAGAGAGAGAGAGAGAGAGAGAGAGAAAAGAGGCAGATCGAGTACCACCCCTCACCCCTCCTCAATCGCATCAGTGAAAGAGAATAGTGCGCTTGTATATATATATATATCATGGATGCCATTTTGTTTAATTACTCGTAACCAGGTGCAGGAACTTCTTTCCAATCTCTCTATGTGGCTACATGTATTTGTGCATATGTACAGGTGACTGCACCAAGATCATCATCGTAGTCAGGTGGTTTAGGTGGAAAGCCAGATCTACTATATAGAATTATGCCATATCCCCTCGGCTAGTCAGCTCAGCAGGAGGAGGAGGCAGGGCTTATAACCCGATGATGCGCATGGCGCCGTAGCCGATCGTCACCACCACCGCCAGCGTGATGATACTGCTCGGCACGCCGCGGGTGATGAAATGCTTGACCTGCAAGTATCGCTGCCCAGTCGCGTCCTCCTTCATGATGGCCGCTGCAAACAGGGATTAGCACCTCGTAACCAGGCCCCAAGAGGCGAGAGGGGACGAAAGAGGGAAGGAAAGAGGAAAGAGGGGAGGGGGAAGATGGGTGTCCACTTACTCATGTTGGGAAACCCAGACGTCGGCAGGCCCATGGCAGCCGAGCACATGAGGGCCGCGCTCATGACCAGCAGGTTCGGGTGTGGCTCCTCCATCGCCTTGCCAATGTCGCTGACCAGAGGCAGGATGATGAGCGCCGCCACCGTGTGGCTGATGAACGTCGCAATGAACAGGGTCAGCGTGCTGAAGATCAGGAGCACGACGTACAGGTCCATGCCGTGGACCTGTCGGGAGATGTCCTCCGCCACCGTGTGCAGCAGCCCGGACGACTTGACGGCCTTGCCCAGCGAGAGCCCGCCCGCCGCGAGGATGATGATGGTCCACGGAAAGTTGTTGAAGTCCTCCTTGGTCAGGATGCCGATGCCGAAGAAGATGACGATGGGCAGGATCGCGATGACGCCCATGTCGCCAAACGTCGACTCGAGCTGGTGGCTCGCGCACCAGAGGCCGATCGTGGCCACGCAGATGACGGAGACGAACCACTGCCCGATCGTGAACGTCTCCCTCACCGTCCGGATCGGCACAATCGTCGTGCCCTTGCCGGGCTGGAACGTCACCAGCAGCAGGATCCAGATGAAAATGATGGACACGACGCCGACCGGGATGACGACGAAGAACCACCCGCCCCACGTCGGCGCCGGCTCCATGAACCCGAGGGCGACCACGTTCTGGGGCGACGCGATGGGCGACAGCATCCCGCCAATGTTGGACGCGAGCGCAATGCCCATGATGACGGCCTTGGACATGTTGGAGTCGGACGGCAGGTTCCGCAACATGGGCTACACCGTTCAGCCGGTTGGTTGGTCAGCTGCTCACACACGTCGCGTTCCCGGTGGGACACATACCTCAATGATGGAGAAACAGAGCACTGGCGCCGCAACGTTGCTGACGAGCATGCTCGCAAACGCGGCAACGAACATGTTGGCGACGAGGACGGTTCGCGGTCGCGTTCCGGCCTTGCTAAGGACGAAGGTGGCGATCCGCTTGTCAATCTTGGTCTTGGAGAGGGCGGCGGCGACGGTGAAACCGCCCAGCAGAAGCATGATGACCGGAGTCCACATGGCCGAGAAGACATAGGCAGTGGCACTTTTCGAGTCCAGCCTGGCGTAGGGCGGGTCGTCGGAGCGGACGACGTTAAGCAGCACACACAGAAATGGGATCAGGAGCGACGTGACGAAAAGGGGGATTGCCTGTCGAGTTTGTCAGCTACTCAGTTGGTTCACGTTGATATCGCATCGTTTGGGGAGAGGGAGCTGACCTCGGTCGCCCACAGCAGACTGACGAATACCAACATGGCCAGGCAGTTCTGCTGCTCGGGACGATCCAGGATGGGGACGATCAGCAGGGCGAGGAAGACGGCGAGGATGATAAGCAGGGTCAACATGGGCTTCCCGAGCACCCATGTCGGACAGGTAAAGCGGCCCAGGGGCGTCGCGATCTCCTTGGTCGGGGGCAGCGGCTCCTCGTCGCCCTGCAGTCTGGTCTTCATACCGTCGTTCTGAGCGCCCAAGAGCCCACGGCCCAGGCTGGCGGCCTCGGCGCGGCGCTCGATACCGATCAAGTCACGCCAGACCGTGTTCCGCTCCCAGACGACGTGCTCGCGAAGGTGGGAGCGGAGGTCCTTCTTGGCCAGCTCCTCGTCGCCCTGGGTGACGACAGCGGCGTAGGCCTGCTCGAGCTTGCTAATGAAGACGTCGAGGCGATCCAGGGTCTCGGGCCTGAAGGGGGCGGCAGGCTCCACGGACTTGGCCATGTACGTGGGGCGGAGCTCCTTGCCCAGGATCTTGTCAAACTTCTTGAGGACCTTGCGGAAGCCCGTCTTGTTGAGCTGCGCGTACGACTTGAGCTCGCAGAGCTGGACGTAGAAGCTGATGAGGCGCTTCTTGAGCATGATGCCCGACGAGAACATGGACCCGATCTCGGCATAGTCGTCGAAGCCGGTGCTGGCGCGGCGCACCGAGCGGTTGAACTCGGTCGAGGCCGTCATGTCGGTCGAGGCGTGCATGACGTTGGCCACGGTCCTGCGCCGGCCCATGCGCTCGCCGGCCACGCTGGACCGGCGCTTCTTGGTCAGGGCCGAGGTCTCGTCGTCGTCGTCGCCGCTGTCGCTGTCCTCGATGCCGTCCTCGGTCGACCGGGCACTGCGGGCACTGCGGGCACTCCGACCGCTGGCGACCTGCCTGACGTGATCGGCGCTGGGACCGGTCGTCGGCCTCGGGGCGGGATCATGGCCATTCCCGCCCGACTCCACGAAGGAGCCGACGTCTCGCAGCAGGTCCTCGACCTCGTCGAGGATCTCCCTCTCCTTGATGGCGTAGAAGGACTCGATCTTGTCCAGCTCGACGTTCAGAGCGCGGACGAAGGCGGCCTCGGGCTCGTCGCCTCCCCGATCATTCTGGAGCAGGGGCCTGGTCTCGACATCGGGGGCGCCGGGGTGGTGAACGGTCTTTTCCAAGGTGTAGATGCTATGGGGAGAGGATGGCCAAGTCAGCTCCCGGGGCACGACACGGGGGAACAGGGCGGTGTGGACAAGGAATAGGACTCACAGCTTCTTCAGGTTGCTGTAAGCGATGTAGTGGCTGCTCCAATCCGGAACGGCATTGAACTGAATGCTGTGGGAGAACTTCATGTCGTCCTGCTCGTCGAGCCAGCGACGCTTCTGGTCCCGCTTGGCGCGTTGGCGTGCGTCCCTGGCGTCGCGACGTGCTTGCTCCTGGATCTCGGCGTAGTCGTCGAGCTCGTAGGCGTCGGCGTGGGCTTCGGCTTCGGCTTCAGCTTCTCTGCTCGAACTCCCCCCTCTATCCCTCAAGCTCGTCGGGGTGTGCCGGTGTGGATTCTCAGCTTGATGCGCAGCAGCAGGGTCGCAGTCGCGGAAAGAGGAGGGGGCAGACGGGGTCTTTGGCGGTGCAATGGTGAATAGTTGGCAGCTGTAGATGCACGCACGGCGAAGATGGAGCACGTCTGAGGCAAATAATACGCCGACTAGGATGGCATCAGTAACGTAACGCTTCGATTAGACTTGGTTGTTTGTCAGGTGGGCGGGCGAGCCTCACTCTCTACTAGAGTCTGGACTGGACAGACGAGACCGGAACCCAGGCAGGACCCAGAAAACAGCCGAGCTAAAAAAGGAGCAAATGGAGCAAAAGCAGCTGGGGCTAGGCTTCGTCCAGTCAGTCCACGCGAGAGACAGAGAGAGAGACAGCACGCTGGAGGTTGTCGAGCTTATCCTGGCAGACCCAAGTTGCAGCGTGTATACATAAGTTAGCTAATGGATCGACTACCTCACATAGTTTACACAGTAAGTTGCTCCCCAACTTCCAGGTTGTGCATTTGTTGCTTGCCATTCGCCCATGATCTGTGGCTGTCATCAGCCACCCCACCCGCGAAAAGGTGATTCGGCATTTCCACCTCCCCAGTAGCTGGCCAGCCACCAATGACGTCCAACGTGTGGCGCATGTGCCGGATCTATTCGCTGCTGTCGCAAAAAGCGTCCGACCACATCGCGAGTTGTAGTACCGTAGTAAGAAGTACTTCATACATAAGACTCAACACTTGACTTCTGTCGTGGTAAGCCGGCCAAACTGCAGGTGACGACTGCCCACAGGCCACATGATTACAGTGGTTGCAGGTTGTCAGTCTGATTCTACAGCGGCCACCCACTACGCGTCGCGTCACAAGCCGTGGATTGCACAGCTTTTTCGCGCCCATGGCCAGCCAGACCTAATACGCCATGCCGAGGCTGTCGAGCTTCACTTCATTTCTCACACACACACACACACACACACACACCATGACCTCGTTCGAGAATCTTCATCACGTGGATTGAACCTTCCTCATTGGACCCAAACACAGATCTTCTTTATTTTCGTTTCTTGACTCTTCTACCTCTCCAAGTGGACACCATAAGACAGCAGTAATGCTTGAAGCAAAATAGCTCGCGCTAGAATATCGAGGCAATCCGAGTTCTTACAGCACGTGCTGCCGCCATGGAGCACGGGATAGTTACCTATGCAACCAATCAGATTAGCAAAGATGATCTCGAAACTCGGTGTCATCAAAGTAAGTGTGTGGATTATATATCTTCATACATCCAAGGAAGGAATTCTGACCCTCATCTGCTGCCTAAAAGGCTCGTGGCGGCAGCTCGAGTGGAAACTGCGAATTAGGTGGAAATTGAATCACTAGACTCGAAAGGCTGTGCGCATGAAAGTAAAAAACGACTAACCTTTTCGTTCATGGAATGGTTGACCAGACACACACACATACACACACACACACACGAGTGCTAGATGGTTGGTAAGTCTGCCTCCGAGGCAAGCGGGCGTGCGAGATGGATAGCAAATTGTTTCAGCGGCCTGTTCGCATCGCAGCGACGAAGCGACGAGTACCCTGGGGTGAGTTCTTCTAGGAGAGAGTATGTTAGTGATGAAGGCTCCGAGACAGGCGGTGGGCACTCGATCTGGCATAGCATCTCTCACTCCCGTCTTCCACCTCGGGGAGTCCCCAAGACGTGGTACAGGAGTCAGACAGCTTTACTGGCAAGTAACAGGCTCAGTTGAGCCCGAACAGTCGTGATTTCTTCATGGTCGATTCTGTTGGGAAAAGAAGACAATGTTGTTTGGATGTCATCATTCAAGGGAGAGGGATGTTGTGGGCGTTTGAGCAGAATGTGGCTTACCATTTGGTGATGTGACAGGCGGCCACCTCGCAGCCGAAGCAAATCGCGATCATCACGGCGATAGCACCGAGCCTGTAGGGCCGGTACTTGCTTGGGGGGCTGAGAGACGAGCCGCCTGGGAGAGTGGTGAGGAAGAGGAAGGATGGTGCAGTGTTCTTCGCAGCAAGAATCGCGCATTTTGATGTTCGCGAGAAAGCAGAAAAAAAATTAAAGCGGGTCGCTAGTCTGCGTGGGGTCTGCGGCAGCTTGGTTGATCCGGAACCTTTGGGCGGGGCCACCTCAGTGAATACCTTGGGCAGCTGCGAACTCGTCTATCGATAGCTCCCTGGCCTTCCCTGCCAGTGCCAGCACAGTTCGGAGTAATTAGTAACAGAGGCCCCTCTCCAAAATTAGAAGCTTCGCAACAATACGAGTGAGTGTTAAGACTTCATGCAATTAAACCATCGTCGCACAGCCCAGCAGGAATCACAACTTGCATTGGTGGCATGATATTTGTTTACCGAAGCTCATTTATATGCTTCTACAAAGGTCTCAGCCATCGAGCCTAACTGCACACCGAAACTGGTGACTGGAGCACTCCAGGCTGCAAGAAACCGACGGTTGCTGGATAACAAGTATATATAGGTATACTGTATTTATAATTTTATATATACTCGAGTGCAGTCGCTTTCTGGCTGTTCTCGTGGGTTTACCATCTTGCAGCCTCCGGGTAGACTCTGTGTGCTTGCCGTTGCCAGCCTGCTTTATAACTTACATGATAGATTCCCAGTTGTGTACGTTTCTTCTTCGCGGCCTGTTAAACCACCACCACCGATACCTATCCAAACTGGGGCTCGCCCTCCGCCGAACCTCGAGGGGGCTTTTGGCCAAAACGACCCTGTCGGCCACTGGCTGGCAGTCGGATTCGAATTGTCGGCCTCACCGCTGAGAAGTGTGGGGACCAGGCGCCTGTCTGTAACTGAATGTGCCTCGTCCCAGTCAACACCCACCGACCCGGCCCGCAACCTGCCCTCATGGTTACCATTTGAAGGTGAAATCCCGGGTTCCGGAGGGGTCAACGCCCATCAGCTCACTCGCGTCGGCTGCTAATGCGTGGTCCCTGGATGAGAGGGGCCGTAACCTTGGGGGAACTGGTCACAGAGACAAGTCACAGGTGCTTTGGAATTGATTGGTTCATCAAGCAACTCACACGTACAGTTGGTGGTCTGCGACGAGCACGGTAGACAGCCTACAGTGAGTGAGCAGTGAGCGAGCGCAGGGCAAGTTGCTGTAACCAGGGAGTTGCAGTATCTCCGGACTTGCTCCTTTTCCGCACGTGCCAGCGCCAGTTGAGAACGAAGGCGTAGCCCGTTACTGTAGGCCCTACACTCCTCGAGGACGGGTACCTAATAGACGGGACCTCCGATCTATCAAGCCAGCGCTCGGCCAGCCCAAGATCTTGTCGACCACGTCTTATACTTCCGCTCGCTCGCCCACCAGCATACGGTAACATCTCGACGGCGCGCCATCAAGGTCGGTCGATTCCAGTGCATCTTGGTCTGCCCCCAGCCACAGACATTTCGACCAGGGGGGGGTATGCAATATCCGTCCCGGAATCCGTCCCACGAGCTGCAGTTTCCGGGGCCGAGCACGGACAAATAGTTGATACGCGGCCGACCAGCCTATCACGACGGCAAGCCTCCTCCCCTCCCCCACACACCACACACGCTCCGTCTGTCTCTCTGTCTCGAGGGACGGACTGGCTGACTGGGGCAGCCAGCACACGAACGAACGAGCAAGCGAGCGAACGACGGCCGCCGCCCGCCACGACCGCTGGTCTCCCTCTCTCTCTCGCTCTCGCTCTCTCTCTTCCTCCCCGTGCTCTGCACTCTGATCCTGGACTCTGCGCCGGGGGACCTGGGAGCCCTTCCCTTTTTTTAGCCTGTTACCCGCCATTTGGTATCATAACACAAGCAGCCCATCCCACACGTTTCTGTCTGGTCTTTTTGCGATCGCCAGGCCACCCGCCTTTTCTGTCCCTTGCTTGCTTGCTTGCTTGCTTGCTTACTGTGACTTGCTCGACTCTCCCCCCCAAGGCGATTGATCACCTACCTCTACCCACGCCTTTTTGGACGAGAGACGGGACGGGACCAGGACGCAGCGCCCAAAAACCCAGACCAAACCCGAGCCCAGCCCAGCACCAGCCTGGTTGGGATACTACTACTACTTAGTTACCTGCCTTGGGCATAGCAAGCAAAGCAGAGAGCACACCACAGCTCAGCCCAGCCCAGCCCAGCCCATCCCCATCCCCATCCCATCCTATCCCAGCCGCGACGAGGCACGCACGGCACGCCAACGCCCGGGTTTTTGCGCATCGCAAACCGCATCGCACCGCTTCTATCACTCTGTCCTGTCTCGCCACGCATCGCATCGCGTCGCATCGCATCCTCGCCTTGCATTGCCCGCGCTGTCTCGCAGCGACCGCATCCCGCGTGGCATATCAGGGGGGGCGGTGTCATCGGCCTTTTTTTTCTTCCTTTTTCGCGTCCATCGCTCAGGCACGCAATCCCTCGATCCGTCAGCCCTCAAGTCAGGCAGTCGAGCCTTCCTGTCTGTCCGTCAGTCGGTCGGCCTGCCCCGTCCGTCGAGTATCTTCATGCATCGCGTCGGTGCCCTCGAACCACCGCCATCTCGATAACACGCGGAAGCCCAACGGCCTCGTCGAAATTCCCCGTCGCGCATCTTGATCGCGACTGTATCGTGCTTCGTGTCGCCGGACCGACGCCTGTCGCAGTCGAGTCGCACCGCGCCGCCTCGCACCCCAATCGCGAAACAACCCACCCGAGGGGCGATCGCATCATTCCAGTGCATGAAATAGCGCAGGGGGGTTTGGGCGTCGATATCCACGAGGGTGGATCATCGACGAGAGACAATCAGTCATGATGACGAGTATGCCTGGCGGACCTGGTTTTCACCCAGGCATGGCTCAGGTTGCTCACCCCGGCCATCCCATGGCCCCCGGTATGGCTCACAACCCGAGCCAGCCAGGAGCCCAGCCGGGCATGCCTCCGCAGATGGCCGGCCACATGGTGTCTGCGCCCGGCGGGCAGCCCAACCCCGCCGCCTTCATGGCCGGCGGCATGCATCCCGGAGGCCCTCACGCCCAGGCCATGCAGCATCTCAACCCCCAGATGTTCCAGCAGCAGCAGCAACACGCCCAGATGCAAGCTAGTGAGTAGTGAAACCCTGCCCTCCGCAACACGAGCACGACGAATTAACCATCGCTCCCCAGTGGCAGCTAGCAATCCCGCCGTAGCTGCGCAGATCCGGCAGCAGCAGATGTTGGCTGCCCAGCAGAGGCAGCAACAGATAATGGCCCAGGGCATGTATGGCAACATGGCCAACGGCATGCAGATGGGCCAACCCATGGGCCAGATGCCTCAGCTGACGGCTCAGCAATTTGCCGCCATGAGGAACGGCATGAACGCCATGCAGCGCGTGAATCTACCTCCTCACCTCCAGCAGCAGGCGCAGCTAGCGCAACAGGGACAACACCCTCAGAACCATGCCCACCAGCAGGCTGTAAGTCCATAGGACCGTGAAGGTCGCGTGAACATTCTGCTGACAACCTGACAGATGATGCAGCAGCTCATACAGCAGCAGCAGCAGCAACAGCAGCAACACCAAATGCAGCATGGGAACCAGCCCGGACATCCGCAGATGAATCCTCAGCAGCAGCACATGATGCACTCCAATGCCCAGGTTATGGCCGCCATGGCTCAGCAGCAACAAGCTCAGCAGGCAGCAAATCAGCAGCAGCAACAGCAGCAGCAGCAACAGCAGCAGCAGCAGCAGCAGCAGCAACAGGCCCAGCAACAGCAGCAGCAGCAGCAACATGCTCAGCAACAACAAGCTCAGCAGCAGCAACAGCAACAACAACAACAACAACAAGCTCAGCAGCAGCAGCAACAACAGCAACAAGCTGCTGCAGCACAGCAGAGCCAACCGCAGCCTCAGGGGCAGCCAGCACCTCAACCTCCACCACAAGGTGCTCCACAACCGCAACCCACAACACAACCACCACAACAGACTCCTACGCCAGCCGGAGGTCAACCGAGCCAGCCACCCGCCCAGCAGCCTAATCCTGCCCAGCCGAATCAACCGGCAGCGCAAGGCCAGGCGCAGCCCGGACAGCAGCCAAACCCGCAGCAAGCTCAGCAACCCCAACAGCCCAGTAATCTGCAGCTGCTGCAGGCCGCCCAGATGAAGAATATCCAGCAGCAGATGCAACAACAGCAGATGCAGAAGGCTGAGGGCAACTTGAAGGGTCAATGTATACTGAAGCTCGTGTCGTTCGGCGAGCATTTGAGTGGCTTTTCGGTTTGTTTGCCCACACATGTCGTACTTTGCGTCTCAGTACTAACTTTTGCTCTCAGAACGCCAACGGAGAGGACGACATGCAGTGGCAATTCTTCGTGAACCAGTTCTTTTCACCGGCCGGGTCTTTCCGCTTCGGTCTGGTTGACTCGACGACCCCGCACGAGCCGGTGGACAAAGCCTACGAGATTGCAGCTTCGGCTTTGCCACGATACTTCCAACAACATTTCAAGGGCGGAGTCACGCGTATGCAGCTGCTCCTTGGTCATGGCATCGTTGACAAATCTCTGCCTGACGGTTCTCATTTCATCGAGGACCACAAGTCCAGCATTATATATTCGTTTGGCGACACGACTCGCGTGATTAACAACGGCCGCCTTCAGGCTATCTTCGATCCCAATCAGAAACTCACCATGCTGGAGTTCATGACTATGTCTCAGGACGAGTTTATTTCCCGATCGATGGTTATCAACGCCGCCCTCCCCAACCACAACTGGGTAAAGGAATGGACCAAGCTCAACGGTGACCCGAAGCAGTCCCCCGAAATGAGTAAAAAGGGTAAAACGAAGCAATTTAAGTCACCCCCGACAGCTCCCCCCGAGATCGACATCCCCCACTCCGCCGTCAAGACAAATATGGGAGTCCCACAATCCGTGTTCGGTTTCCTCGAGATGGTCGAGGTCATGAACCTCCTTCAGCCTCTCATGGGCTACTCACTTCAGAACCCGCAATATTCGCCATACCAGGCTCTCGATCAATACGTCAACCAGAATATCACAAACGGCGGGCCGCAGCCCGCCATCAATGGTCAGCAGCCGGGCAGCATGGGAGGTAACCCACGAACACCAAGCTTCAGCCAGTTCCCACTGGGTGCTTCACCAGCGGCTGCGCACCACCAACTACCAGGGTCGCCTCACATGGGAAGCCCTGCACCTGGTCATATGCAGGCGCCCGGTATGGCCCTTCAACAAAGCCAGCAGGGCACAAGCTCGAGCGGTCCTAGTGCGAACACCAGTCCTGCCAGCAACAAGCGTCGAAGACCATCAGGCGTCAAGACTGAGGACGAGAGCAATGCTGGGACTCCCGCTAGCATGGCCGGGGGTCAACAGGTCAATGGTATTGGGAAAGGCAAGCCATCGACTCCCCGTATGCAGAAACGCGTCAAAACCGGCGCGTAAGATGCTTCGACGCAGTCAGGGTACATCCATACATCCATGGCTCGATCCAATCACGGATCTACCAAACTTGGCGACGCAGTGGCTGATCTCATGGGTGTCCAAGTCTGAGGCTACTTTGCACATAGTGCAAGCCAGCCCGTCTCGGGTTCTGGCGCCACTTACTATATATCCTATCAACATGCGTCTCTACGAGCATCTAGGTCGCTCGTGTGCGCGGAGCCGTGAAGCAAGGCCGACTCGGCTTGTTATGAATAGGAATTGTCGTACATTTAGCGTGGGTTTGGATGTAAAGGGGCGAGTCACGGCGGCGTAATACAGGGGCATTGGTCATATTCCCCATTGTACGATACTTACTTGAAGGGCAAACGGCGTTATTGGGGTTCATTCCATTAGGTTTGTGTGTCATCCTAGTACCTATGCATCGGGGCTGTTGTGGCGAAAGGGATCTTGAAAAGGGGTCGCGGCGATGCAAAATTGCTACATGGCCCGGTTCTGGTTTGGGCGGTTGGTCTACGGCTGTGCATACCCCTTTTTACGCGTCTACCAAGAAAAGGTTCCGTTATTCATCGTCCATCTCGCTGCTGTGAAAGATTCCTTCCTTGTCGTCGTGCCATGTATATCGTCTACCACTACATCTGTGGCAGTTGCATTCTTCTACTCTCCGCGCTCCCCGTACAGGATAATCGACGCAGGCTGTTGAAAATCGCCTGTCATTGCTCTCTGGGTCATGGTCTGCTTATAATGTTGAGCTGCCGGTCACTGGACCATTCTTCCCTACCTCACTCTCGCGGGGATCTGGTACTTTTTGGTGCCCATTTCGTTCGTAGTCAGAACCACTAGTCAGGCATCTTGACACTATTTATTCTTCCACCTCGAAGTCCAGCTCATTTTCTTCGATGACGTCTCATCGGTTTTGCTCAACGTCTGGAATTTCATGTTCGGCGTCAGGGTCGAGTTCCCTTCTTCCTGATACCTCCTCTTCCTCTCTCTCGGGTATGAGCACAAAAACTTTGCCGCCTTGCTGGCGATTGTTCATCGACCTCAGAAGGTCCCGAAACTGTATCTCGTTCATGCTGCTCAGCTCAACCGCTGTGCCTGCCAGGCCACTCCCATCTACTGGGCATAGGCTCATTTGGACCTCGTTGGGTTCGACAGAGAGGCAGTATCGGCGGAACACGGTGCGTACAACAGATCTCAGTAACGTGGCAAGGGGGGTCTGGAATGATGGCGAGGTCACAAGGAGAAAGGTGTCTACTGTCTCGGCGCACGGAAATCCAGGCTGACTGCGTCTTCCACTTGAAGCATTGGAAACGAGCGGGAGTGGCGGCTGCAATTGTAGCACTTGCGTTGGTTCGGACAGATTCGTGGTGTGGAGATGGTATTGATCCCTCGGTCTGCAAATGTATACCATAATCTCCAATGGTCCGTTGCCGTCGTGTATTGGCAGAACTCCGTGTGGGTTCAAGCGAACGTAGGAAGCGGCTGCCTGACGGCTTGTACGCGGGTGACCTGGGGATGTCACGGAGGCAGCGAGCGCATCGGAAAGGCTGCCATGGGCTATCCGTGAGTCCTCAATGCGTTTCATGCTGTCGGTTCAGAAAGGCTGAATACTTATACAAGTAATGGTTAAGTTACTCGACTTGTGGCCGGCTCCTAATATAAACAATCTCTCAATGCAGTTTGTGCCACTCCCGCGTGTTCTGAACTTCTCTCAATCATGGCTTCTACACTTGTCTATCCGTGTTTCGATGGGGGTTCACGTCACTCTATTTAAATCACAGCACGATCTAGCTGTCAATGGCCGATATTAGACGTTAGTATTTGCAGTACCCAAGCGTTGCATCACTTGTTCAGCGACTGTTCTACACCGTGACGGACACCATATATATCATAGACAAGTTCCGAGTCAATTTGACTAGATCCTACTTAACACTCCCAGAACGACATTCAAAAAAACGTTCGACAACGCCGACCATAGACCCCAATAAATTCAGAACCGCAAACTCCGTGGGGACGGGAGAATTTCTCCAGCATAACATTTCTAAATATACAACTGTGACCCCGAGCACTTCGTAGTCGTCAGTTTCGCTTTTTCTCTTTTCTTTTGTCTCAAGGCGCGCCTGCTCCATGTTTCACAGCTTGGGTTGTAAGGTCACCAGAAGGGTAGATCATCTCGGTTTCCATCCGAGACATTAATGGCTCTGGGTCCGAGAAGGCCGGCGAGGGGCATGTCTACGCGAGGATTCCGTCATCGCCTAGGAGGGATCGCCGCCGAAGTAATGAAATTCTCCAGTTGCGGGAAGACAGCGCCAGGCTAGCACCACAGGCCAGGCTCCACCTTGTCGTTTAGGACGACTTGGGAGCCGGTACCCGTCCACCCGGCATCGGTGATCGGGAGCGAGGTCGCGACGTCTGTCCCTGGTGTGAAGCCTGCCCATTTCCTGGTGCGTTTATGGGCGTCATTGGCTGAGGACCTGAGAGGATACGCTTGGCTGAAGGGCGGGTAGGCATTTTTGGGTAGATGGTAAAAGCTGTCTCTGTATCTCTGGAGGGCTACACCTGTTTACATGTGAATCGCGAGTGTGGGCTCGTAGGGCAGGGCTAGCTGCTGTATCGACCGAAACTGTGAAGTCAAGGAGTGTGTGGTAGAAGAAAAGAGATAGAAACAAGTGTTGCCTGCACTCGGCCGTAGTCCAACGAATGAAGGAAGATGGAAAGGAGTGTGTGTTGTAAAGGAATGACTGTGTTTGTTTGATGTTGCTTCGTCTGCGAGACACAGGATGTGAATGTCCAGAAAGAGAAGTCGGAAACAACAGGAGCGGAACGGAAACGATAATATACTCGCTATCCTTCTCGTACGACTGGTCGGATTGCGCGTCGTTGTTTCCCCCCTTATCTGACTCCACCGGATGGAGACCCCCACCGAGCAGCTGTTGAAACTAACGGCGCGTGTTCGTCTTAATTACGCTGACTCGGAGACTTCATACCACGCTACAACGAGCTAGCCAGCGATGCAGCAAATAAGAAAAGGGGATCTGGCTAAGCAGGGTGACGTGCAGTAGCCAGACGGCCGCCGGTTGACTAGTGGCGCCACACTTTAAGGTCAACTCCCAGGGGCATCGGTGCAAGGGATGGGTTGTTTGTGCCTATTTATATTTGGGAGGGATGCGTGCACTGTTGTCATTCGTTTGCAACATCCTGCCGGAAGTCCCGGCTGCCCGCTCGACTTGTATATGCATGGCATTCTGGAATCATGCTTACTGACGGCACTAGGGGTATCCTTACATACGCTCGCACTAGAAGCAACTCGAAGGATGTACGGGCCATTGTTTCAACCTGGGGGATGCTTCCGCTGGCTTAGTCCCCGTCATGCAAGTTGAGACGAGTCAACCGTCGCATAAGATGTTGCATGGTTCGTGGGGATCGCCGTGCTCACATGTCAGGCGTTGGATGTTTTTCAGTATACTGCTCTAATTCCGATTATCAGATCCGCCAGCCTGCACGAGCAATTTCTGTTCCGTTCTCATCAACCTCATACACTCTCGCTACCCACACATCTGGCGTCTTTCCCACACCTAGATCCATATCCGGCATGACGGCGAACACTTCCGGGAAGCATTGCACTCGCCTGGCTTCTAACATGAGCTCCGAGAACTGGTCCCGGCTTCACTCGTCTAGCCTCATCGGCCTTTGTCCGGACGCTGAACCTCGTACACCAATGGTGAAATCTTGCATGTTTATTTCCTGCTTGTATGTTGTCCTGGTATAGTGAATGATAGCTCGGAGAGGCTCTTGCTCGTCGCGACGCCTTCGAACATGATGTAGAGGTGCCTTGTTTTACGCCATAATGCATCAAGGAGGTAAACGAGGAAGCGAGTGCGGAGAGGTGGCACCCTGTCAGATAGGCGTGTCACGGCGTTGACTAGCTTGTATTGCTCTCCTCGGTCCTCCCAGGGGCTTTCCCGTTGGTAGGTAGGCTCTGGGTTGGGCTGCCAAAGCGGGAATATGCGCATCGCACAGCGGAGTGCCATTCTGGGATCGTCCACCAGCTGGGATGTAAAGAAATTGCGAGAACATCCACTTCCGAAGCTTCAGGATTTCAGGGTTAATGTCCTGGGTTTATAATTACAACCCTGCAAAAGGTCGGCCCTCTGGCGATTCACTTGAATGGCGGCGTATCGGTTTTCTGAAGACGGCGCGTAACAATAAGCGGTGGTCACACTGCCCAGGAGCATTCGATTTCATACTAATCTTTTTCCTGCCCTGGTTTTCTTGAAGTTGAATGGAAACTACAGCCCGTGATATGCAGCTCAAATAAATTACTACTTATCGCGCCGATAATCCAACGTATTCACGAGCAGCAGCCCGTCAACCCCCTCTGATAGTATGAAACAGAACACCTTCTGATTCACATCGGCCTTCAAGTAGATATTCAAAAACAGTGATTGATTGAAATTATAAGCGAGGATGTGCGTTCGCCGTTGGATTTCCAAAGCAATTCGCCTACCAGCCCTCGTCAACCGAACCATGTCCAGCATGTGCTATTGTACTATTTGCCCACATGCATCACATTCTCTTGGGTCTATTCCATGCAAGAATCCGTAAATCTACCGGCTGTGTCTATGAAATTACTAAAAGGAGATTCAAGAACATTCGACTCGGCACTGGAGACAAGGGAAGGTATTGTTTCAACTTACTATCATGGGACAATACTTACCGCCATTTCTCGCCCTACGTAAAACACGTACGGACGTATGTATGTATGTATAGCTGGCAAGGAAAATAACGCATACATACAAATAGCCCGCTCAGGCTTTTTAGCATGGATGATGATTCAGTGTCTGGATCAACCAATCAAGTGACTATATACCCCAGGCGGAAGCTCGCTGGGTTTCCTCCACCTGGACCATAGTAGCAATGGCCATTGGCAGAGTAGAACATAGCGTCAAGAATATTGATTTACAATCGGGGTCATCAATTCTATCACTTTGCAGGCAACCCTCCTGGGCTCTGATCGTTCCTGCTCACGACTGCCATGCTCTTATGCAAAAGTAGCAAATGTAAGAAATTCAAACTACATTGGTCGAGACCGTGGGATTTTTAACCATGTATCGCAGCCTCGTTTCTCAGCCTCGTTTCTCGGCTATTTCCATGGTCCTCATAGCTCGCCCGTGTCGGGGTAATCGGGCTGACCAAGTTATTGTCCGGTGGCGTCGGTGTCGCTGGACTGACAACTGCATGATTTGCCCGCGAGGTCGGAGTATGTAGCCTCGATGATAGGGGGGTGCTGGCCTCCAGTTCGAATATCGCAGCTGGTTGTCGAGGCTCACCCACGGACAATGCCGTCGCGGGTAGTTCCTGAGTCTTGTTGCCCTCCATCTCCAACACCTCATTACCAGCAAGCTCAGCACGTTTGGACTTCTTTCTTCCCAGCCCCCCTATTCCTCCACCAAAACCCCCTGCGCCTTTCTCGTCTTCTGCACCGACTTTCTTAGCCTTCCGTCTTGATCGCCATATCAAAAACGCTATTACTATGAGAAGAAACGCCCCCACGCCAACCCCAACGCCGATTCCGATCTTGGCGCCGGTCGCCAGGCCGCCATGATCTTCGTCGTCGACCTTGTTATCGTCCCTGTGTCCCGATGACCCCAAGGCTGTCGCAGAAGTTCTGAGGGAGGAAGGAATCAGGGATGCCACAGGATCTGACGCAGTCGAAGACCCTGACATTCCTGTTATGGATGGAAGGGATTGACCAGTCGAGCTAGGGCTTGCTCCCCCGCCACCTCCCGCTGTTTCTGCCGCCGAGGACGTGGCCGGGAGATCAGAGGACTGGAAGTTCAGTTGAATCAGCGGCGCAAAGACTGTGAAAGTCTTGATGTCGCCGTTCGGTATCTCGATGCGAGAGAAGTCCTGAAATTGACCTGACCTGCAGGCTACGGTCGAGAAAGTAGACGTCGTCGCGACGTTCAAACACGTAGCCGCGTAAGTCCCAGCAGCGGTTATTGAAGATGGGGTGAACCCACTATCTGCATGGTCAGCTTTCTTGGACCAGATGGTACATCTGCGTGTCTTCCACCTTCCCCGAGCGGTGATTAGTTACATACGTCGGGCAACAAGCGGCCGCCGTCTCCCCCTGCGTGAGCTCGTACTCGAGACCCCAACCAGTCGACCCGCCTTCTGTCGCCATCGCAGCAGTCGTGTAGCCCTCTGGACAAGCGATGCCAGGCGAGTAAAAGCCCCAGCCCATCATGACGCCAGGGTCCATCATAGAACTTGCGCGCGGTGGCCAGCAATCGGTCCAGTCGTGTGCATTGCTGGCTGAGTTGCAGGTTTGGCCTTGCCAACCGGTGTTGCAGGTAGAGCAGCCCAGCGCCATATAGTACGAGCATACTGCCGGCGCCGTCCATGTCGTGGTTAGCGGCCCGAGCAAAGTGCGCGGCGACGTCATGTTGGTTGATGCTACCTATGCATGATACGTAGCGACAGATGTTCCTCCGATGCTCGAGCGCAGTATTCGCGGTTGTATACTTGAGTCAGCAGTGTTCGGACTGCTCAGAGTGGAGCAAGTTGCAGAGAAGAGGAAAACAAAGGGTGGGAGTTGTGGAACGATACGCAGGTACCAAGGATTGCAACTGACGGCGGTGCGCCCGCCACTCGTTCCGTCGACCCTTTAATGATCTACCTAAATAGGTAGATAACTTGAAATGACGGGGTGACTTGCATATGGCCCACGAGTAGCCGGGGAACACCTGACGAACGCATCCGCGCATCGGGTTGCTGATTGGCTGAAGGGGGTCACCGCTGGGAAAACCTGTTTTCCGTCGATAGTGATCTATCGAACGAACCAGCGTTTGGAGACGGGCATGGTGTGTCACCCAGGAATCTGGTACAGAAGAGGCGATCCAAGCAATAGCAGCGGATCAATTCTCCCGGATAGGGAATGGATTTGGGGTTCGCTTATGCACCTCTGGCTAGTATTGGAGGGGTTCATTGGCCGAGGTTGGAGATTGCTTCCAAGAGTTATTCTTCGACCAACCCCAATTCACTGAAACATTTCCAGGGAGAGATTGGTACTTCTACGCCCATCTGCCATGAGTGTGATTCCCTTTGCGAATATGCCAATAGTCGCCTTTACTACACTGGGGGTGGCAGGGCATGCCTTCTCGTCTCTTTTTGTTCTTTCTTTCCCTCCCCGGACCACGGGCTCATACGATTACGGTAGTCTCCCCGCCGAGAAACACAGAGTTGCAAAGTGGCATGGCAGGTAATGCGAGTCACATTGTTCTCGGGGTATCAGACTCATGCTGGCTAAAATGTTAGATGCCACTGCATCAGGTGTGGAACGCTCGAGGCTGATGCGCATGTTTACCGTGTTGATCTCACCAGCCACGTCCGCCTCTTGAGCACAAGCTCTTGCCAAATGAAGCCTCAAATCTCTGCATGTCAAAATCGGTGCCCCATATGGCTGTGCTACTGTCCAGTCAGTCACTGAACGAGCAGTGGTCGCGGACCATTCCCGCATGTGCTGCGAAATCTCGGCACTTCAAACTGGCGCAGTGGTCGTTCCTGTTGCACCACGTGAGAACACTCGAATACTTATATCTTTTTGGGATATGCTATTCCGGCCAGACTTACTGGATACCGGCGTTGTGAGGGCATTGGAGCAACTCACCCTCGCCCGGGCCCCAGGACAAAGTCCTGGTTTCAATCGCGGTTTCTGAGCTCATTGATGCCCAGGTCGATTGCGCACGTACTCACGCTGGTACCGAAGCCAGTGTTGCATTGGACGTTTCCCATCTGGGAAGCCGGCGGCTGGTGGTCGTCTTCCCCGTACCTGTTGATCCGCGAGGCTGAGCGGGGAGAGAATGTAACTGGTCAGAATTTTGACATAGTCTTCCAAAGTGTGGTGAAGTATTCGTAACTTGGGTTTAGCGAAAGCCAGAATGGCCAAAGCAGGAAGTCACTGGACATCATGATGTCCGCTTTTCTTGTATTTTGAATCGAAGTCAGATTGATTGAATTTTTCACTAGTAGGTCGTTGATAGGCGGTTTTTAACAGGGTCTTCCGCTCTTTACGGTACCAAATAATAGAAAGTGTAGTTGTGGGACTAGGGGCAGGCCACACTGTGAGACAGAAAGAACTAACGTACATAGATAACAGTCACTTGCCAGGATGTAAAATGTAAGAAATGACACCATTAGACCGCTCCTCAGTTGCTCCATGGCTGTGATGTGTCTAGTAAATGCACACTGGCCCTCATATTTGTAATTCTTGGACTTAATCCACCGCAGCAATCCACCAACAGTCACAGAGAGGTGTGTTATCACGAAACTTTTTTAGTTTGTAACTACGTTAGTATCAGTAGACACCTCTCGGGTCAGTACAGACGTTGTCTTCTTGGATTTGGGGGTAGGCAAGGCGCAATGACGCTGACGCGGTGCTCATTGACATCAAGTCCAGACAATGACGCCAACCTCCAAGTGAGCAACTTGCACTGAGGGCACTGGAAATCAAATGTCGCTTCCATCTTGATACTTGTCTCGACATAGGACGAAGGAAAGGCTCATTTCGCACTGTTCGATGGTTTTTAGCAGCATAATGATATAACGCTGTCACAAACGCACCAAAGGGATGCAATGCGAATCGCTCAACACGCGGGTACCTCTCTCAAGCTTCCCCTCCTGTTTATAAGCCTCTGCTTCGTTGCCTGGTTTCGTAGTTGGGAGGCGACAAACGATTTGAGGGCCTAAAAACTACGCTATGTAAACCACGAATTTCCTGTGAAAATAAGACCAAGTACCGGATATGTTGTGACATGAACATCCTGGCTTTCCTGCCAATGGATGCTTATCTGCAGCATCAGATACGGCCCTTGCATCTGACTATGCTGTGCTGGCACTAGCGTGGATGAATGGCAATGATTCATAATGACAATCGCTTCCCATTGGTTGTCTTGTTCCACCGTCGGGCTTAGTGCGCTTCAGGGGCATACTGAGCCTAGCGGCTGAGCCTTTTTGACGAACAGGCTGTATGTGTATAAAGGAGCTTTGACTCCAACCAGGATCACCTGAATTCTCAGCATCGACTGAGCAGCAACCGTTCATCAGCAATCTGAAGCTCCCTTCAGACATTACCTGCATTTGGCTTTTACATCCCACAGCATATGCGACCTGTATTGCCAAACACAACCTATAGCCAACCACGCGAAATGGATTACCACCTACCGCCAGGGATGCATGCCATCCCCCCTCACCTTCTTGACCTCCGCCCAGACTCGGAGGTGGACCAAGACCTTTTGAACCCAAGCCCCGTGACCGACGAGAGAAACGTTTGGTTCTTCTGGCACTCTGGGTTCGAGAACATGTATCTGTATTGCCAACGCAACATTCGGGCCTGGCACCGAAGACTTTCGCGCGTGGGCTGGGTGGTCCGCGTGCTAGATAGGAGACCAGGCTCACCTCTCAACGTTGCAAACTTCCTCGATATCACAGACCCGGAGACCTTTCCACGAGCTTTCGTCGACGGTACGATTGGTGGGGATTACGCACCACAACACACATCGGATCTGGTGCGCTTTCCATTACTTCTTAAATACGGCGGAGTCTACGCCGATGTTGGAATGATGCAGATTGGGGATCTAAATCGCATGTGGCACGAGACCGTCGGAAATCCCAACAGCCCGTACGAGGTCCTTTCGTATAGCGGTGGCGACCCAGAAGAGATGAAGTTGACTAACTACCTCCTCTGCTCGAGGCGGGATAACCCTTTATTTTTGAGGAGCCACAAGCTGTTCCTTGCTCTCTGGGACGAGGATGGCGGCAAGACAAGCACTGACGGCATGCATGCCAGTCCGCTGCTTAAGGGTGTACCCTTGTTCGAATATAGCGGGTCATTCACAGAGAATGGACGGACGTATGGACCCGAGGAGGTTACCGTTATGTTAACAGATTACATCATCCAGGTGCAGGCTTTGACAATGGCTATGGGGATTGTTGACCCCCAGGATGGTTGGAATGGGCCTCAGTATGTGCAGGAGCACGTGTACGCCGTAGAGTTCATGGGTGCCCAACTCATCAATGAGTTCACAAGGTGGGACGGGACGTTAGCATACGATCTTATGTCGCTGTCTCTGCCAGGAAAGGACGATGTGGAAAACGAGGGGCAGAAAAAGGCCAGAGAAATAGTGGAAGGATGCCTTACGAGGAGCTTCGGGTTCAAACTGGCCACCGGCTTGATCCTGCGAGTGAGGGGAGACACATTAAGCTCCCTGTGGAGGAAGAATGAGGGATCGGACGACAGGCCTGGGACCTATGCGCATTGGTTACGACATGCTACCATCCATTGGACCCAAAATGAGTTGCCCCCAACGGTAAGTTGGCCGAGAGTAGAACCTTTCAAAGTTGGTCCGCTCCTGGGCGAGAGATAAAGCAGAGAACAATTATAGATGTTTTAGAATTTATAGATATCCAACCCTTGAGACTGGGGAGGTTAACTGAGCATGAAGCAGCTGAGCTTAATTCCAAATTGGGTGAAGTTTTGTTGGGCAACGCAATCAAGTGGAATAGTTAGTTTAAGGGTAAAGATTAACTCCATTAGCATTGGCCAAAGTAACCATCAACTTGCCATGCAGCGTGCATCATTACTTATAATGCCTGGTTCTCCGCGGTACTGCCAAACCCCTGCGGCAGGTCTCAAGGGCAGTCACGGGATGTTGGCATCCGCAATTCGCAGAACAATACGCGGCGAGCCCATCCAGGTCCCACCGACGTCTGCAAACGGATTGGGTGTTGACCAAAATAAATAAAGCACCTTCAAATAGAAGCAGTGGTCACCCTTCTCCTCGGTGACCCCATCGTTGTAGCACTGGGTGATGGTTTCAGACACAGCTGTCATGGAGTGGAAATTTGGAACCCACAAGACAATAACTGGTACTTAAGGGCCCATTGTACAAGGAGCGACAGGCATACATCACGCTGCACCCCTGTCTCCCTCGATGCGTAAGTTCTCAAATAACCATAGTACATACTAGCCAAGGACTCCATGCTAATTGCAACTGAATAAAGCAGATGCTACGCCGTCGATGACCACGGTTTGCTTCAGCCACACGACTGGGGTCACGGGCTTGCTAGATGCCAAGATCGCAGCTTCCAAGACTGTGGGCTCTACTGTGAGCGTCCGAACATGACCCTAAATCTCGTCGGCACTTGCGTCGAAGTGAGTAAGTCACAAGACTGCGCACTATGTGTGATAGCTAATGTCCCATAAAGGCCCACATGTTAAGAACTATGATGGAGTATTGAAATGCTTCGACCAGGACGGCGTTGACTGTCGAAAGCTGCCATTTGGGTGCCGTCGACCGACATGGGTTCTTTACTTTCAACAGCCTAGTAACTATGGTAATGGACGGTTCGAATACGGTGTTGTTTATAGAATGTTATACAGCCACCATAGGAGCATTCGATTATACGTACCTTGCAAAGATTAAGCGGGATATAGCGGAGCACCACGTTCGAGTCCTCCAACGTGTGAGTCCTTCAACGTGTGTACCAGAGGCCTCACGGCGGCTACGTGCCTCAAGTCTATCCTACGTGGAAAGGGTGGACGATCCAGAGAATCATGGTCCGTATTTCAATTCTGAGTTACCCTTACTATGAATAAGGTAATGTTCAACATTTCTAAGCCGAGACGGGATGCTCTCACCACATTTACACGCTTTCAGTCGTGATCAAGACTTATGTGTGGTCTGTGTAAATGTCGCAAAGATACATTGCTACACGTAGCACTCGTCGACGGTAAACTTGACGAACTGCAAGTTTGGAAGTTCATAGCCGGTTTGCGATAAACATTTCAGGTCCTATCCAGGCCAATGCAACTAGTGTGAAGCCGCCTTCTTTCAGCCATATTTCCCCCCTTTCACCAAAGTAGCACATATAACCTTTTATAGTTAACCATTCCTAGACCCACCATGGCTAGCAGAGGTCCTCCGAAGGCGATACTTGATAATGAGGGCAGCTTGTTCGCTTATATTGTACGATATCAGCTTATGTAAGGTGTCGTACTACCAGTGTTACTTGGATCCATGGACGATCCTGGTCAACAACTACGTCATACGTTAGCACAGTGTCCAGCTGAAGGGACGGGATTCCACAATGATACTCACTTGACGTCCCCGAGGGCCTCCATCGAAAATCATGCGCTCCATTAAACGGTCTGACGCCCATGTTCCCTCCGGCCTCCAGGTCACCGCGAGACTTGATGTGCAGTTCCGTCTGCAAAGCATCTGTATCCGGGTTGCATCCGTAAACGACATCAAAAATGGCACGTGGATCGCCACGCTCGGTCATGAACATCTTAGTGGTATTATCCTTGACCTCGTACTCCCCGTTAATTACTGCGCGCCTGATCGGATCCCATGGTAGCGTGATCACACCGTCTAACAGCGTAAGTTCACTCGTCGAGTTGCCTGCGGGGCTCACAAATAGATGCTGGTCCCCGCCGCCCCAGTCCCAAAGGTTCAAGAAGTGGTTGTGGACTTCGGGATAGGATACATTCTGGAGTTGAATCGAAAATTGCTCGGAGATGTTGTTGGGTAGAGTATCGCCTGGAATCTGACACCCAGCAGCAGCTGGCGCAAGCAGGAGCAGCAGAGGGAGAAACATGGTACAAGTTCTCAGAATCGAGTTGTTCTGAAGTTCTGAGCCGCTAGATTCGCCGGTAGGGGTCATTAACACTAGCGCTTTGCACAGGCTTCTTTATATTGCTGGGAGCTTGTTGCTTCAGCTAACGCCAAGGCCAGATACGAGGTGGTGCATTATATTGAAGCACTTGGGGTTGCAGTCTGACAATCCTACCGCGGGGAGGCTGCTGTGGCGCATGCATGGGCCTAACTACACCCTGGTAGAATCGCCTTGCTCGTGGCTCTAGTTTCTCCAGGTGTCAATTAATTCGCAGACGCAGCAGTTGCCGCTGTAGCGGCCATGTTCGACCCAACTCACTATAACAAGGCACGAGCTCCTGTCGCACACACGTTCGAGCCACTCAATCCCTGGGAATCAAGCTCGTTGATGCGATAGTAGAACGTCTGGTAAATGATGTAGCGGAGCAAAGCTAAACGCCGGATGGCCATGACAGTCAGGTTGGCGCCTCTTTTAACTAAATTAAATATAAAACATACCCCCCTTTATTATTAATAAAATATCCCTTTACTCGCTATCTTTTATATAAACGATATAAATAAATTAAAAATTAAAATGTTCGATTGTTTTATTATATTTAATATAATTTTAATTAAATAATTTATAATATAATTATATAAATAAAATATAACGAAAAATATTTTTTAAATAAAAATAAAAATATAATTTATTATAATATAAATAATTATTAATGTATTTAAAAATTTTAATTTATTAATTTACTTTTATATATATTATTATTTTAATTTTTCATTTTTATATATTTAAATTATTAAAAGTTTAAATTAAAATTATAAAAAACGGCGAATTAAAATTTTAAAAATTTAAATTTTAAAGAATAATATTTTAAATTATAAAATAAAAATTAATTTTTTTATATTTAATTATTTTAAAATAAAATAATTATAAAATCCGTATTTTTAAATTTATTAAATAAATAACTTACGTTAATTAATATAATATATTATTTTTATTACGGGTTAATTAATATAAATAATTATTATAATAAAAATATAAAGTAATTTATTTTATTTTTAAATAATAAACGTTATAATTATAATTTTCTTAATATTTAATTTCTTATAATATAAAATTTGTAATATAATTTTAATATTATTTATAATATTATAATAATTTTTTTAAACGATTTTATTTTTATTATATATATATATATTATATTTAAATTAATTATAAATATTATAACGTTATTTATACGTTATTTATTTATTTATTTATTACGTTTTTTTCGGTTTATAAATTTTAATTACTTTTTATAATAAAAAAATCATTTTTCAAATTTACTTTTTATTAATTTATTAATGTTATTTTTAATTTTAATTAACTTTTTTTAAAAATATAATTATTATATTTTTAAATATTATAAATTTAAATATTTTTTTTTTTTACTTTTTTTATAAACGAATTAATATTAATAAAAATAAACGTTATTAAATTGTTTTAATACGTAATAACTTTGTTTTTTACGTATTTAAATTAAAGAAATATTTTTATAAATTTTTTAATAATGTTAATATATATAATTTTATATAAAATTATATAATTACGGAATTTAAATTATATAATATAAATCTTACTTTTTAAAAACTTACCGTAATATTTAAAAAAACGTTTTATAAAAAACGGGGAAAAAGTCCTTTTTTAATATATATATAAGTATCCGATTTTTAAATATTTAACGATATTTATAAATATTTAAGTATTATTCATTATATTTAACACTTAAAAATATAATTAAAATTGTGTTTATATTACCCTTTATTTAACGTTAAAACGTATAAAACCGTTTATTTATAACTATTATAATTATTTAAATAATTAATGTTGTATAAAATATAAAACGTTTCCGTTGTTTTTAATTATATAAATTTTTTAATAATTAAATTAATTAATATAATGTTAAGTATGAGTTATTATCCTGAATATACTTAATATACTTATAAGTATAAATATATAATCATTAAGTATGAGTATTAAAAGTGAAATAATTAATGAATATTTACTTATACTCAAACTTAATAAATAATTACTTATATTTATTAAGTATATATTTAAAGTTATTTAATTATAGTTTTGGTGTTAATTATAATAAAAATATCGGTTTTTATTTAATAAATTAATAAATAAATTGATAAATTAATAAATAATTAAAATTTTAAATTTTAAATAATTTACTTTTAATTTTTCCGATTTATTTGTTTTATTTATTTATTATAATTTTTAAATATATAGTTTTATAATATTTGAAATAATTTAAAAAACGATATTATTTAATAATAATAATGTATTTTTTAATATATTTATTAAAAGTTAATAAATAAATAGATAATAATTTATAATATATAACGTCATTTTATTTCGCGTTTTTTAATATAATTAATTAATAATAAAATATATAAAAATAATTTATTTTTAAAGATATAAATATCTTCGTTTTTATTAAGTTTTAATTTAAAAGAATCTTTATTAAATAGTGAATCTTTAAATTTATTAAAGGTTAGCTTCGATTAAGATATTAAAATTATTAAAAAAAATTTAAAAATAAAAATAGAATCCGAAGATAAATTGAAATCCATTTTAAAAGATTTTATCCGTACTTTAAATAAATATAAATAAAAATAAAGCGCATTTAAATCGTGTAAATAAAAATAAAATATACTTAAATCGTGTAAATAAATTGAATAATAATAATATATATTAATTAATTAAAGTAATTAAATATTAAATATTAAATATATAATAAAAAAAAGGAAAGGAAATTAATTACGAGGAATCGTAATTTATATAAAATAAATCGGTATAAAATATCGTCCGAATGGAATTAAAATTAAATCCGTTGTTTAAAATTTTAAAGATTACGTAATTTAATTTAATTAATTAATATAATTACCGTGATTTAAAATCAAATTTGATTTATAATTATAAAACCGGATTTAAAATTTAATAAATTAATATAATAAATTTAATTAGTTATTACAATTACCGTGATTTAAAATCAAACTTAATTTATAATTATAAAATAGGATTTAAAACTCGATAAATTAATATAATAAATTTAATTAATTGTTTTTAAATACCGTATATTATTTATACCGGTTTTAAAATAAAAGGTAAAACCTTAAATTTACGGTATTTATTTTTTAAATCCGATAATTTAACATTAACTCTATACAATTTATTATACGGTTTTTTTTATATATTTATAATATCTTACCTTTTTATTTTTATTATTATTAAATTTATTTTTAAATTTATTTTAAATTTATTTTTATTTTTATTTTTATTTTATTTTATTTTATTTTATTTTATTTTATTTTATTCTATTTATTTTTAATATTTCTAATAATTAACTACAATTAATTAATTAATTTATTTATTAAATATTTAATTTATATTTTATAAATTTAAGAAGTAAAAGTAATTTATATTATTAAAACTTATTTTTAAAAATTTATATTAATTAATTTATTAATAATTAAAGTTTTTTTTTAATTTAAAAATTACCATTTTATTATTTATATAAATCGCCCACTTTAAAATAATTAATAACTTTTTAATTATTTATATTATACAAGGCTGTAATTAATTTGATTTGATTTATATTCATTTGATTTTAATTTAAATCAATTGAATTTGATTTGATTTTTAAATCAATTGATTTTTAAAAATCTTAAATCAAATTCATTGATTTATTATTCAATTCAATTATTTTTAAAATATTTAAATTAAAATCAATGAATATTAAATCAAATCATAAATAATTAATTTAAATTAAATTTATAATATTATAAATAATTGTTTTATTTATTTTAAAAAAGCGAATAATTTATCATTAAATTTCATTATTATAAATAAATAAAAATAAAAATTATAACATTTATTCTTTATTTTTTAAATTTAAATTTAATTATTTAATTTTTAATTATTTTATTTTAAATACATTGATTTAGTTGAATATAAATTAATATTCATGATTTATATTCAAATCATCCGAGGTTTAAATTAAAATCAAATTGAATTAATTGATTTATTAAAAACGGTAAATCAAAATCATGAATTTGATTATATTTAAATTCATATTCAAAAATCATTATTCATTTCACAGCTTTAATATTATAATAAGTTTAATTAATGTTTTATTAATTTAAAAATTAAAAGTTATTTATATTATTAAAAGTTATTTAAATGTTTTTAAATATGATAAGTAATATTTAAACATTTATAAGTTCTATTAAATATTTTAAAATCGGATATTTATATTAACTTAAATTTAATATAAAATACTTAATATTAATTTTATAACCTTAATTTTAATACTTCTTTATAAATTTATTAACGTAAACCCTTTTTATTTTAATTAAAGTTATAATAATAATTTATTACTTTATTTTAATTTATATAAATAAATAACTTTTATTAATTAATTAATTTTTTTATTATTTAAAAAATAATTTCAATTTAATTAATACGATATTTAATATATAATTTTTATATTATTTTATAATATTTTACCGTAAAATATAAAAACTATTATTACAATTTAAATATATATTTTAAATTTGATTTAATTTCCGTTTATTATTTAATTATTTTTTTAACGTTTTATTTTATTAAAGTTCGTTTTATAATTAATATATTTTTTATTTTATATATTATTTTAAATATAATGGTTTTTATAAAATTAAAAGTTATTATTAAACGAGTAAATTAAATTAAATTTAATTTAACTTTTAATTCGGTTATTAAATATTTTTTTAATAAAGTTTTTTTTAATTATTTTTTTAAATTCCGGTATATTTTTTATAATAATAAAAGGGGGTTTTAAATAAGGATCGTTAAAAGCGTTTATTAAAAATAACGTAATTCTTTATTATGTTTATTTTATTTTAAATAAATGTACGGATGTTTTTTTTAATATTTTTATTAAACTTTTTATACGTATTTAAAATTTAATTTCTTATTTTATTTTTATAAATATCGGTTAATTAAAAATATAAATTTTTTATCGAATT